CAAGTTGATCGAAGAAACACCGTCCGGAAATGCTCAGTCTTGGGTGGCCAAAGATGGTTGCCATTTATCAGTGACAGTTGACAGTACTCCTGAATCTCAATTTCCCAACACTTCAGGTACAACCGTACAAGGAACTTTAAAATGTGGCTGTTACATACGTTTGCTTTTAGTCTTTAAATGTTACTGGAGGCATGTGAAGAAGTTTTTCATCAAGTTTGTACTACTGATGAATATGCTGCTAATGAATCTTTGTTACTGCACAGGAATGAATAGAACGCCAGAGGTTTTGGTTATTCCTACTCCAGCAGCTAAGGAGCGTGCTCCAACTCAAAGAAAGAGGAAGTGCATCTTCGATGATATCATTGTGTTTCCAAATGAGTATGTTCTCCTCTAAATTGTTCAATTCTAAGTTTTCTGCATACGTTATAGCAACTTGTTGTGTAGGAGGAAGAAGTCTGTTATAGAGTTTGGTGTTAGGACAATGAATTTCTATATATCCAATTGCAGCATAGTTAAAAGAAGCATACAAGATCCGAGTGACTTGGTTTCTAAAAGAAGAAAGGTTCCTCATACTGGTCTTACTGCCTGGAAGGCTTATCGACTTCTCAATCTGCATCAGTGTTTAATGGAACCCTTGATTCCTTGTAAGTTTTGCTAGTAAGAACGATACTAGATATCAATTATTCATGCTAGCCTTGCTAAACACTTTTTGCACAGGTTCACCATTGGGGACTGGAATTAGATCAAAGATTCCTGAAGCTATTAAGACAATTACTACCCTGAAAGAGTCGTCATCTGGATCGAAATGCTCCACTGGTCAGTCTAGTACTGTGAAACCTTCTGGCAATTCAGGATCCCTTAATGAACCTGAAATTGCGGAACCTCAGCACAGTTTAGATGATTCCCGGCATCTAGCTGTTGGTGAATTAGTAGTAGATCCTCCAGCGAAGTTAGATGATGAACCTGAAATTGCTACTGGTGGAATCTCATACCAGACAGTGATTTCTCCTGAGACACCAGTTCGTTCATCAGCTCAAATAATGAAGCTAAACATACTGGAGTATGGAAATGACTCGATGGAACATATTGTTATCGCTCCTGAGACACCTGTTCAATGCACAGCAGCATTTAGATCCTTTGAAAGCCCTGAGAGGCCTGTTGCTTGCAACACGGATTTCATTGGTCCATCATTCGGCCATTTTGAGAAAGAGACTGACTCAAGAAAGGATCAAGAAACTGATTTTCATTTCATGAACGAGGTATTAAAACTATGAGTTTAGTGTTTTCATCTCAATGAGTTATGCCACAGAAGTTTTGACACTTTTCTTATTCTCTCCCCACTTAACTATATCAGGATATGATGATCGAAGATGAAAACCAGGAGATTGGTAAGTATTGCATGCAATTATTCATTTGCTTGCTCGGGTTCCTGATGTTAGTGAGAATACTGATATGAGTGTTTCCGTCACAGATGGATGGTCGGAAAGAACCAGGTATGATAAAAGTAATGCTTGGGAGAGTATAAACTGGGTTTGTTTCAGCTTTAAAAAAAGTGAAGTAAAAGAAACACACCCTAGAATGTTGTGGATCACTATTTACTTCGATGGCCCTCTCTTGTGTTTAACTTGGCTTGAGGTCTTATATTGCAGGGTGGCGGCCAGGCTCCTGCAGAGTACATTCATAGAGAAACAACGTAAAGGGGAGGAGGAAGTAGTGAACCTGCTGCAACTCCTGGAAGGAAGAACAAAGAAAGAAAGTGCGAGGCTCTTCTACGAGATACTGGTACTTAAAAAACAAACTTTGTTCAACTAAGGAACTTCTGAAAAAAAAAACAGTACTTTGCTGTGATGACACTGTGAACTCCTGCAATTCTTTCAGGTGCTCAAATGTAAAGGGCTCGTGGATGTGAAGCAAGAGAGTGGGTATGGGGAAATCCTTGTGCAGAAGCCCTCTTCAATGGAGTCGTGATCTGTTCAAGGGTTCTCGGGTTTTGGTTTAGTGTTCCATACACAGATACACTCTATGGCTGCCCGAATAGAGACGAAGAGTTGCAACTCGGAAAAAAAGAGTAGGACTTAGCTGTAGGAAACTTGAATAGGAGGAGAGGCTTGGTGTAGGGAATAGTTAGGAATCCAGGATGTAGCTTGTTTCTGTAAATGATACATGAAAACATTTATGAATATATGCAGCTAGTATATTGATATTCTTGATTACTTCTACAGTTCAACTTTCTTAACCTCTTGTTGCATTCTACATTATCATTTCATGTCTTCTATCATGGTGGCTTTGTTGCCGTGTTAGATGCCAATTATGTATAATAAAAAATGAAATTAAAATTATACAAGCAGCGGGGATAGCTCAGTTGGGAGAGCGTCAGACTGAAGATCTGAAGGTCGCGTGTTCGATCCACGCTCACCGCATTATTACAATTTTAGTTTTATGGTCTGAATCTTCGTTTAGTTCATTTTTTGGGCTCGGGCCTATTCGAAGCTATCGCGGGCCCGATTTATTGGGTTTGAAGGCCCAGTCACGACTTGCAGACAGAATCTGAAAACTTTCCTCCTTCCAATTCCGGAGTCTCTCCATCGCTCTCCCCAAAACCCTATTGTTCTCCGAATCGGAAGTCTCGATCTTAAACCCCATTCGCGGGTCTTCCTTCCATTGCCCTTCGCCTTCGGGGTGAAAGGAAAACGCTTGCTGGAACTGTTCCCTACTTTTTACGTCTTCCTTTTTGTTGGTTCGTTTTGGGTGGTGGATGCTTTGTGCGTGAGGAAGCAGAAGGGACGATTTGATATTAAGATCAACAGAATGGCAACCCAGGCAGCAACAGCTTTCAGTGGCAACGTAAAGGTACTTCCTTTAGATTTTCCATCAACAAGCCTTTCCCCAGTTTTCACTCTCCTTCGAATTTGGCGCCGAAGCTAATTCCACTTTACCGAGAATTGGAGCGCTAGTGAGCGCGCCAACTGTTTGTTGAAAGTTCTGGACGAATTGTGCGTTAGCTGCTTCATTGTTATTCGGATTTGAATGGATGATCGCATGTGGACTTTAGTGATTAGGATGGTTATACTTGCTGTGATTTTATCATCATGGAAATCGATTGCGCACGTTCTGATTACTTGTGGGTGGCATTTTCTAATTCTGGTGCTTTTTTTGGTTGCCTTACTGGCAGAAAGCACTTGCTGGCATTAAACGGATCAACCTCGATGGTCTGCGGTGGAGAGTATTTGATGCGAAAGGCCAGGTGGGATTCATGTTCGTCTTTCAATTTGATGTCTTTACCTTATGAGCTGAGCCTGCGCTGATTAACTACTCCCAATTGATGAATCAAATGCTCTTCCTAGTTTATCCAAGTAAAAGTAAGATAACATTAAGCCACTTTCTTTTCTATAGGTACTTGGCCGGTTAGCATCTCAGCTATCCATTGTTCTGCAAGGCAAGGACAAGCCAACTTATGCACCCAACCGTGATGATGGAGATATGTGCATTGTGATTAATGCCAAGGATATATCGGTTACAGGGAGAAAAATGACCGATAAGGTCTATTACTGGCATACAGGGCAAGTATCTGCTTTCATTTGATTTATCTGGTCCAGTAAAATGATGGAATTGTTCTTCTAGCTGTTTGCTGAAGTAGATGACTCTTATTTTCTCGTATCTCTCTGAAGTCTCTTGTATAGCATACCATAGCACCCCTTTCTCACTAGTGATTGACTGTGTGCCATCACTCTTGGTGCAGCTATATTGGGCACCTCAAGGAAAGGACTTTGAAAGACCAAATGGCCAAGGACCCAACAGAAGTCATTCGCAAAGCTGTTATGCGTATGCTCCCAAGAAATAAATTGCGTGATGTGAGTGTTAAATCAGACTGCTGTTATTTCTCTCTTCCCCTTTAAGGATGCATTTTGTATTGTTCTGTTTATACTGGTTCTGGTCACTGCTCTTAGTACTTTGACTGCTGTACTGCATTAGTGACAGTTTCAGCATAGGCTGAAAATTAGTGTGCTCACAGGGTTGAGTGAAGAACAGTCCATATGTCAACTATTTGCGAAGTTAGACGTGGAGATTTGGATGGATCCATCTCAAAATTCCGTTGGAAGTCTTAAAACATTCTTAATTGTCAGGTGTTACTTTCTTCTGTGCTGAATCATGACATGGAAGACATGAATCTCTTCGGAACTTGCTTGGCAAATATATACTAATTTACATATCTATGGTTGATATCTCATGTCACAATTTTCGTCGTGAATGCAGGACCGGGATAGAAAGCTGAGGATTTTTGCTGATGGTGAGCACCCCTTTGGTGATCGGCCCATTGAACCATACGTGATGCCTCCCAGGACAGTTCGAGAAATGCGACCTCGTGCTAGACGAGCCATGGTTCGAGCGCAGAAGAAGGCTGAGATGCAAGCTCAGGGCGGCAGTGACACCAGGAAAAATAAAAAGAAAGAAGTTGAAGAGGAAGAGAGCGCATGAGAAACATCCATTAATAAACCATTCTCGCTGATCAGCAAGCTCTTAAAGAGATCCCTCGTCCAATGCCTGTGTTTTGCTTTTCCTTTGAAAATGACATTCTGTTTGTGGGATATCCCAAGTGGGTTTTGTGCTTAATATAGGAGCGCAAGTTATCGTTTCTGCATATTGGTTACTATTTACATCACTTTGTAACACAAGAGAAATATGGTTCCATGAACTGAATGCTTACTTATCAAGAAACATAAATTTTGTATTTTTGAGTGCTTGTTCATTAGGGTCTTTAAGCGTTTCAAAACACCAATCATCCAGAATCATGCTGCGATGTTCTACAAGAACAACAAGTGTAGCTAAAGCACTTCTGGAAGAAAAAATCAAAGCGTTGTAGACACTCACACATTCAGAGAGATCACAAATGGAACACAAAAAGGAACAGAACCAAAACGGTTCCTGCATTCCACACACTAGCCAAGCCTTTAACAAGTACTCTACTTTCCTTCGGCAGACCTATCAAAAGAAACTACAAACTAATCACTCGAATAACCATCACCACGTTCTTCATGGTCCTTCACAACCCTCTCGAGGATCCGCCTCCTAACACCATCCATCACAGCTTGGCTCGAAGTGTCGCTTCCATTCTGGCCATCGTTTAGCACTGGATCTGACTGGCACAGAACCAATGCAACACCTAAAAGACAAAGTTCATGTGTCAAATTACAACCTGGACCGCCATTAATGATTCACAAGACAACCACAGTTCATTTTCGCCAGTAAAACACCACTTAGAGAGCTTGCAAAATGCTAAATACCGAACTTACTTTCAGGGGTACATCTCCTGCCAAAGCTTCTTAAGCCTACATAGTTTGCTTTCACAGCACTATTGTTGTAGACCAAAAGAGTTGGGAGATTACGATCTGGGTAGTTGGGTATGCAGTCAGTAGAAATTATCTTAACAAACTTCGTGGCAGGGTATTTCGTTGCCAATTCTTCCAGGCAACGAAGTAAAACCCCACATTCTTGGTACCTACAAGGAAATTCGAGGGAAGCAAAAAGGCATAAGAGACAAACCATGGTAGCAAAACTTTCCAAGACACCACGAAACTCAATGGCTGAAGCGAAATACCCATCCTTGTAGAGGAGCACCACAACCCAAACTTCAGGAGGCGCTTGTGACACCTCTCTAACGAAATCGGAGCCCGAGATAGGCACCACTGATCCGAACTTTGCAATTTTAACTGTTTCTTTCATCTCAGCCAGCCTCTTCTTCCTAACATCACAAGTTTTTATCAGAACCAGCATGAAGTTCCTAGAAAGTCGATAAGAAAAATTATAACAAGTCATCTCCTTCAGCTTCAAATGAGCAATTCTCGATACCAAGAAATCCGAAAAAACCAGGAAGTCATCTGCTTCAGCTTCAAATGAGCAATCAACAAACAGTAAGAACATGCCAGTGAGAGCACTCCCATTAGTCCATTTCAGTAAACTTAGTTCCATGGAGATGGTAACATCAAGCAAATTTCACTCGGTACAAACCGTGCTCTCCTTTCTCTAGTCAATTTTCTCAGTAACCAAACAGCCAGTAAAAGGTAGATTCAGGATTCAGCAAAAATTTATCCACCGGAACAACTTCAATTACAGAAAGCAGCTGAACAAAAAAAAAACCTGTATTCTTCCAGGAAGCGATCGTCGTCAAGATCATCTTCGAGCTCCTCGAGCTCATCTTCGTTCTTCTCGTCGATCCACGCCTTATCCTTAGGGATCGAATCTTCATCCGGAGCCGGAGTAAAAGGCGCCGGCTTGAACGCCGGCGGCTTCTCGGGCAAATTCCCTAGCTTCCTCTGAATATCATCCCACTGAGTCGACGCTCCCTCTACGTCCTTGTACACAAAGTGATAGTCCGCCATTTTCACAAAGCTGGAAGCTTCTGTTCTTCGCCTTCTTCTATTCGCTCTCCTTTCCTTCCGATTCCGATCTGTAAAAACTGAAAAGTGTGCAAAATGAATTTTCAATCCTCCCCTTTCACGACCGCGCCACGGTGGCGGCAATGGCCCAAGCATAGTCTCCAGAAACAACAAATGGGCCTTACCAGGAACAACCAGTTTGGGTTTTTTACAAGGCCTCTGCACGATGGACTGTGTCTCTCGTATTTTTTTGCCCTATCCGACTGGGCCTTTACGGAAGAAGAAAAAAACAACTGTTGGCTTTTTGAAGGGCCCTGCTTCTGCACCATGGGCAGCTTTGCTCCGTACTTTTCTCGGCCCAATAAAAGCCACCGCCTCCTTTTTGGCCTTTTTGTCTCCCAGTTTTTGAAGGGGGGAAGCTGATGGAAGCAGGAAAGCGGAAGACTGAGGAGGAGCAACAAACTCTGGTTGATCGGAAGCGAAAGGCAGAAATCTCCGAACCGCCACCGCCGACGACGACTAGTACGACGGTGACGATGAACGCGGTGGAATCTCTCGTGACGCAGATTCAGGGGCTTTCGGGAAGCCCGAACGATGTGGTGGCGCTTCACGCACACTTGAACAAAGTAGACGAAGCTCTCCGAGGCGAGTCCGCTCGCTTGCTACCTTTCCTCGACCAGCTTGACCCGTCAATCCACTCCCTCGGATACCTCTATCTTCTGTAAGTTCTGTAGTTCGTTCGCTGGGAATTGATTGTGCTAGTGTTGACGAACTTTAGGGTTTAACCGATTTTGTAGTGTAGGCGATTGTTTGATTTTGGGGTTAGTAGAGTATGGTGAACTTTGGAAAGAGCTGAAAATTTTGATCGGGCAGGTTAATGGGGAATGTCATTGTATTTTCCAAGGTCATGATGAGTCAATTGCTTGTGGAAGCATATTGGGAAAAAGTTTAGCAACCGGTTGATAGAGGGACATAGTGGATTCTCGTAGTGGGTTTTGTTCCTCGGCAGGGTTGGTTTATGGTGTTTATGGCATTCCAATGGTGATGCAGTTGATTCTAATAGTTAGTGTCGGTAGGCTTATTGATACAATCCGATCACTTGTTGTAAATAAATTTAGTCAATGAGAAGTACTTAGTTGGTTCTTCTGAAATTTGAGTTATTAGAGATGGAATGATGTCCCTGTTTGTGATGACAGAGATGCTTGTACTTCTGGTCCGGTATCCAAGGAGCAGGCAACAAATCTGGTTCTGATAACATCAAGGTTCCTCACTTCCTGCAGCACTGAGCAAATTCGTTTGGCGCCTGAGAAGTGTATGTATCTTTAGGTTGAATCCTACTTGTTCGTTTCTTTGTTACTTTAATGCCACAGTGCTATGAAATCTGACATTCTTGTTGTTTGAAACCTCTTTTGTTTCTAGTCACTGGCATGTGCAAGAGATTCAAGGATCAGGTTTTGTTAATCGAAGCGCCTATGCGTGGGGTGGCTCCATTGCTGGTAGCTGTTCGAAAAGTTCAGCCTTCTTCAGAGCATTTGACTAGTTTGCATCCAGATTTTCTACAACTTTGTCTGTTAGCAAAGTGCTACAAAACTGGGGTTTCGCTTCTCGAAGACGATATTTTTGAGGTTACTCAGCCAAGGGACCTGTTCCTTTATTGCTACTACGGGTAATTGGAACTTGCTTTCTTCTGTATCATGCATGTTTATATGTGTGTTGTCTCACTCCGGGAGGTGAATTATCCTTTTGTGATGTCTACTACTATTCTGGCAGGGGGATGATCTGCATTGGACAAAAACACTTTCAGAAAGCCTTGGAGCTTCTACACAATGTGGGGGCTACTACTATTTCTTACCTTTTCCATCCATGTCATTATCCCAATGTTTGTCCTTCATTTCTAACATTCCTTATACTTTCGTCTTATGCAGGTTGTGACGGCACCAATGACTTCGATAAATGCTATAGCTGTTGAAGCTTACAAGAAGTATGCATTAGTGTCTCTCATTGATAATGGACAAGTGAGCATTATTCATTTCTTGATCCTTAGACTTCAATCATTATTTTTTGCATGCTGAAGGGGTGTGGTTTTATAAATTTACTGGAAAATTGAACCATACTCCAATGATTAAGTGGCCGGTCTTCTATATTTTTCTGCACTACGTTGGAGTTTGACAGTTTTTTTTAATTCTACTGTTGCAGTTCTCACCCAGTCTTCCCAAGTACGCATCATCAACTGCTCAGAGAAATTTCAAGAACTTCTGCCAGGTATATTTTACTAAAGTTGTTGAGTGTGGTGCAGTTTAGAATTGCTTATTAGCATTAACTCTTGGTTATCTGTTAATCTGTGAATGCTAGTCTGGGTTGTTTCTTTATTTGGGGCCTATTGTTGGATGCACTCATTTCTTTCTCTCTGACCAGCCTTATATCGAGTTGGCCAATACCTACAGCACCGGGAAGATTGCAGAACTAGAGACGTTTGTCCAAAAGCACAGAGAAAAGTTTGACAGTGTGAGTAACCTATATCATGCATGTCAAGCTGCTCTTAATAGTTGAGACTCAACATTTTTAGGATTACTGTTTTCATCAAATCTCAACTTTGTTTCTTCAGCCATCTGACACACGTCTGATTCCTTTTGCAGGATAATAATCTTGGGCTGGTGAAACAGGTGGTATCATCGATGTATAAGAGAAATATCCAGAGGTTGACGCAGACATACCTAACCCTTTCCCTGCAAGACATAGCTAATACCGTTCAACTCAACAGTGCTAAGGAGGCGGAGATGCACGTCCTGCAAATGGTTGTACTTCCTTTGGGATACTAATGGGACTTAGTTCCTCAGATTAAGACTATCACATGCTGATGACACCTTTCATGCTAATTTCAGATCCAAGATGGTGAAATATTTGCTACAATCAACCAGAAAGATGGCATGGTAAGGTTCCTGGAGGATCCCGAGCAGTACAAGTCATCTGGAGTGATTGAGCGTATTGACTCTTCGATCCAAAGGTACTACAAGTAGAAATATATGTACTTCAACCATTTACATTTTGAATGTGAACATTCGAAGGAAGTGAATTTTATGAACAATTGATTTGTATAGTGCAGTTATTCCCTAGACCGCCAGTAGGTCAATGTTCATGCCTTTTATCACGTAGATGTTGATATGATTTCTGTTTCAGGTTGATGACACTATCGAAGAAGTTGACTAACATGGATGAGCAGATGTCATGCGATTCACTTTACCTAGCAAAGGTAAACTCAACAGACAATTTAGCTAAAGAAATGTTTCATTCCTAAGCTTATGTTGGAACATTGACAAGTGACACTTGATAACTTGTTTGTGCTACAGGCCGGAAGGGAACGACAGAGATTCGACTTTGATGATTTCGACTCAGTTCCTCAGAAATTCAACATGTGAAAGAGAGATGGTGGAGCTTTAGAGGTGTGAAAAATGTCCCCTGCTTGTATTTGTTCTGCACGGGGAGTAATTAGAGAGATCTAAATTTGCACGGTTCCAACGTAGGATATCAGAGACTAGACATTTGGTAGACGGATAGTAAATCCAATATTCGTCCTCTTTTTTAGAAAATTTTATTCCAAGATGTGACAGTTTCGCGATCTGGACAGAGCCCGTCGTACATATGAGTTCTTTCTTCAAACATCGATGCAGTAAGTGATAGTTACAACTCACAAACGACCATTTGCAACAAACCTACTGACCCTTCTGTAGAGCAGTAGATGATGGATGTTCTTGCCAAATGGCAAATAGTCTAATTTTTGCTTCCACCAAGATGATAATGGGAAGCTCATTTCTCTGATTTCAATAAAAGCAATAATGGCCAATTCACTCATTGGTGCTGATACACGTTTGTACAAACAAGTACAAAAACCCTCAAAAAATAAAAGGGTTGGTGAAAAAAGAATAATCAACACACTATTCCTAGTTTCAAAACTTCAAAAAACTATGGGACTATGGACACACGAGGAAAGCAACAGGACTGAAGTTCGGTAACGAATCAGCTTTTGGTGCTCCTCTCCTTGCATAGAGTATGCCACTCTTGCAGAACAGCCGACTGGAGCGCCATATGTTCAACTTCTTCGGCCGTCAGCTTCGACAGCGTCCCTTTCTTCTCTTCCTTGGCTTTGTCTTTCCCCTCCCCATCTTTCTTCTCATTTTTCTTCCTCTCTTCCTCATCGTCATCGTCCTCATTCTCTTCTTCCACTTCGGATTTCGGTGGAGGTTGCGCCGCTTTCAGCAATGCTATCCGCTCCATTGAGATCCTCAGCCGTTCTGCCGCTGCTTCCTTCACCTCGTCCTCCGGCATGTACTCTACCCCACCATCGGTTAGGTCATCCAACCATCCCTGTAAGTCCGACTCGATCTCCTTGGTGATTGAAACGTCGGATGCTCGAACAACAAACTTGCATATCATGGTAGTCGTCTCGTCGCCCAGATCGACGTTCCGGCTCACTTCACTAGCCCCAAATACCATCATCCCAAGGAAGCCTCCGAACCATGTCTTTGCAGCATAGCAAAGCTGATGATCAAACAATCAAGATAGATAGTCAGTCAGTCAGTGAGTGGAATACCGAGCGATTAGTAAGGGAAAGAGACAGCAGCTGAAGCAGCAAGAATGGCCAAGCAGGCAAATACCTGAAATCCTGCCACTGTGCGGATTACGTGGGAGCAGACTCTGTGGAAAGGCTTGGAAGACAATGACTTCAGCCCACTAAGGAATGGAGAGGAGCCATATTGCTGCGCAGCAGTTGCCTTGAAGCCACTGCCTTCATAGAGATAAGTACCAGTACACTCCACTACAGCAGGTAAGCTAGGCCAAAGGCGAAAGAATTCAACTGGTGAAATCTTGTAAGGCAAGAGGAGTTCGGTGAGCGGAATTTTGTACGGCTGGCATCTCAGGATCACTGGCTCTCCGAGTTCTGGTCTTAAGCTCCTCTTCTGTCTGAGGATCTGAGGGTCTTCTTCAATATAGTCGGCATTATAGTCTCCTGCTGCACCGCTACCGTAGAATGGATAGTATAGGACCTGAACCCATAGAGCACAGCTTTCGAAATGGGACACCCCAACTGTCACGCTGCAGAGCACTGGGTCCTACAAAACACAAATTCAACAAGAATATGGATCAAGGCAACTGATGGTCGAAGAACAACCAAAACGAAAGCGTCAGAGGACAATTTCAGCAAATTTCATGTTTTGTTCCCCTCAATTAGCCTCTCATCTCCTCTCATTTTTAGAAAGCATACGACTCAGGACCTAAGGGGGCTAAAGATCAATCAATGGAACCAAATTCAGTGGTGAAAGACCGACTTCGAATTCACGGGACATGTAAATCATCAGGGACGATAAAATACAGAGTTTATGTTCAAACAAACATAGTACAGGGACCAAAGAAGCCATTAAACCCAAAGTGACATAAAGGTCATTGATATGAATAATCTCCCGATAGGTGTACCTGTGAAACAAGATGACGCAACTGCCGTACAGCTTGGGGAGATCCATCCATGAAATACAATGCACCCGACAAGCCAACTCGAATATCCACCCGATTCAATTCAAGTTCTGTCAAATTTAAGACCTGTAACAAGAACTAACCATTAGAAAAGATATGCCTGAATGAAGAGGTTCCCCTTGACTGCAACATGTGAACGGAACATATCAAACCTTAAGATGCAGTGTTATCCTTCCATCACCAGAGTCAGCCAGATGATAAGCTTCGACATAGCACGGATCACTACTCCCAGACAAAGTGGATGCAGGAGGTTGAACTTTGAGCAATGACGAGTCGACTCCTTTGGTTACCAATACTGTCAATTCACTCGGATCAGGCCTCCAAAGCTCTAAGATAGCCTTGTGGACTAATCCTTCCAGCTTTCTGTCCTGAGCAGCAGCAGCTTCATAAAACTGGACAGTTAGTTTGTGGTGGGTAAACGGGTAATCACCTCTAGCCTCATTGACTGCAGCCCACCTGAAAGAGGAAAAATTGTTGAAATTATATGAAAAGATGCAGTCACTAACAAATTCAAAAAGAAGAACGGGATGGGAAACAGAGAAGAAGAGTTCAACTAATAATAATGTGCACAGTTTTCCGTCTACAAAGGACATTTCAGAAAACAGACGATTCTGAAGAAATAAATTTAGTAGGTTGAAAGTATTAAGACTGCAATGTTAAAGAAGTATCCGGGTGACGAAGTACCCTAATTCAGTGACTTCCTCGTAGCAACTAAATAAACCAAGAAAGAGCCATTGTAATGATGAATCACAGGAGAGGAAACTATATCCAGTATGCAGAGCCAATCATCGGTTATTCACTGTTAGAGGATAATTACAAGGGAACTATTTCTTAAAACGTAACAATAATTAATTACATATTGTGCATCTAAACCATTATAAAAAGTGGTAGTGTTTAAATATGCATTCCATTATTGCTAATGGTTTATATTAAGAGATAGAGTTCCACTAGTTATCCTCTGATATTGCATAAATGATGATTGGGCACACCTACACGTACCGTTTATATTCTCCTCTCTCTACTAGCAACAAATAACATCAAGAGAGGAGATACTAATGGTAAGCATTACATTTAAATTAGCCTTCCTCGCCACCATCCAGTAATCATCCAAAAAAAAGCTATAGAACCCTATATTCATGTTAATAGAAATGCCTGCAGACCGAAAAGATATAGCATGAATCTAGTAGACTTCAGTTTACAAAGGGCTAATAAGTGTAGGTTGACAGAAACAGGTGGAAAAGGAAAAGGCATTAGCAAGAATAAGGCATCATATATATTTTAAAGATGGAAACACACCTGCTATCAGTATGAGCCTGAACATATTTAATTCTCTGTAAAATCAGGCGGCACTGATGCTTGCTCACGGAATCGGCCAAATTACTGCCTCTGAATTCCTCAAGCTCTTTGGACAGTAACTGGCCAGCCCTAGCATTGCGGGATCCCAACCGCTGAGCACTTAAAAGAACTGCTTGAACATCTTGGAGTCTATTTGTTGTACTTGCAGATGAATCCATGTTGAAAAGAACTTTGTGGATGTTTGATATTATCATGTTCAGAGGATCTTCAGGGTCATCAGCTAGAAGAGGATCCAACCCATCTAAGTTAATATGTTCGGCGATAGCCCATATGACTCGTGGACATACTCGTTGGGTATGCACCTAATCAAGTGATGCAGAAAGTTAAACACCAAGAGTCTGATTAAGGCCCAACTGAACGATTTCAATCGGGTAAGGACATACAATTAAGATTAAGATAAGATTTAAAGCCTGAAAGATTGTTTTAATAGATAGACACTGTAAAACTACAACTAACTTTTTCCTTAAAACTAGTGTTCCCCTCGAAGAAAAGATGGTGTAGTCAACAACCTAGATTGCTCGATAAAAAAATACTTGCAGAAAGAACACAGTAGCTCCATCGATGTTTACAAATATAATATATTGATTCAAAATCAGCAATCTCGTCAGAATAGCACTAAACATCAACCGACTGACATTACAGCTGAAGTTAAACTTGGGTTATAAACTAAGATCCCAGGCCTACATGAGGAACGAACAAACTATCAATACTAGCATTAGATTAGAATTTAGATTCCCTGCATATTCAGAAGGTAAAAAGAAAGGCAAATCAGAAAACACTTGAATTAAATAACGATTTAATGCTTTGGTGAGTGAGACCTAATAGTATGTGTGTACCTCTCGAAGATCCTTGACAAGTTGACGTTGAAGATTCTGCAATCTTGTCTCATTTAAGATTTGATCTTGAGAAGCACCATCTTTTACAGTTTTTACACCTCCCCTAGTATCATAGATATGGCACAACCTAACTAGCAATTTAAGATAGCAGTCAATTGCATATGTCCTGCCATCGCAGTCCCACTTAACACAAGGCTTACAAACTTCCACAACCTCCAGAGCTGGTTCTGTCCAGTTTAGCGCACCATAAGCAGTTCCATAAGCCAGAGCCCCAATCACTCTGCTCTCCATTCCGGAGTTCTTTTGCTCAGGTAAAGGTAGAGATAGCTGGAAGCAACTTTCCACCAATGAAGCAACCAGCTCCTCTCTGAATAAACTTTTACTGGTCACAATGTTGAGATCATCTCTGATCCTTGCATCTTCGAAGAGAGAAGCAATATCAGTTCCTACAAGAGGTTTTTGGCCTCTTCGAACACTTTCCTTCGCAAAAAGGTCAACACAAAGTGCAGTTCGACAAATACACGCTAAAGCATGCATACGGTCTGATTCTGCCCTCAAATTTCTAACCATAACAAGCAGCCTTTTGAACAATGAAACCTTCAAGCAGAAACTTTAGAAGTATCAATATGTATTCGACACCAACAATATTCCACAAATTGAAAACAACATATCTTTCAAAGGGCTTTTCCCTAGGAGACATCTCAATTCCGCTCTGTGTAAAAATAAATTAGGCAACCCTACTGATAACTTCCAACATCTTAAAACCCCAGAAGCATTACTTTCTCGTCACCTAGTATCCAATCCACCAACACATTCAGAATTCTGAAACTAGGAGCCCAAATTAAAATGAAGTCAGAATAGCAAAAATTATACCTGCATATGAAGATCAAGAAGATGGAGATTCGTAACAACTGCTCTAACAATACTCTCCCGCGCTGAAGAGAACTCTTGCCGGTCCCAAAGAGTCAGAATCGCGATAATCGACTGAGAGGCCCACTCAGGCTTCCCTCCAGGCACATCCGCCAAATATAACATATTAATTCCCACGTCAAATATCAGCGCAGGATCCAAAGAGGAACCCAGGAACGGCGCCAAATGCGTCACCACATCAGAAACCCCAACAAGCTTATCAGCATTGGAGTCCACCACGGTGCCATTAGCACCACCTGCAGCCTTGGAGAGCTTCCTGATCACCTCTACATTCCCCGATGCCACAGCCTTCACAGAGTACACGAGTGGGAAAACAGTAGCCCTGAAGGTTTCTACTGGCAAGATCAATGAGCGCGACATCAGAGCATTTCTTCTCTTCCAAACGAAATCCACCATGGAAGACACCCATTTCGACCTAATCGCTACTGAATTCTCACTATCCACTAACTTATCCCCAGCTAACCTGCTCATTCGCTTGGAATTGAACTCCTGAAACAACCTCCCGACGGATTCGAACGCAACTTTGGCAACGGCATCAGATTTATCCAGCATGTTCTGCCCAATACGCGACCACCAACTAGAAACCTTCTCCAGCAAATTCACGTTGTTCTCGCACAGCGTGACCAAATCGTCCCGCGCCAAAACGCATCCCAGCGTCTCGGTGATCGAGAACCGGAGGTTATCGCTGAGAGAATCGAAGCAGCTGGCGATCTCGGTGCTGCAGTCGGTGATGACTTTGGAGAGGGAGTAGGACGGCATGGCAGCGAGGATGGAGATGGCGGCGGCGGTGACGTCCGGGTCGGGGAAGTGGAGGTCGTTCCGGACTCCAACGCGGACGTTGTCCCACAGATCGGCGGTCAATCGAGTGGATCTAATCAAGTCGAAGGCGAGCTTCTTGCAGATGGCGGAGGCCGGCGCGGCAACGATCTCGTCGACGGCGGTCTTGGCGATGACGGAGACATCTCGGCCGGCGGCTGACTGCTGGAGGGCTTGCAGTATGGCTCCCGACTGGCGGAGAGCGTCGTTGGAGCGGAGGTCCGCTTGGATCTGAGCGAAGAGTATGTCCATTATCTTGGTCTTTGGCTGTTCAAAGACCAAGATTCGGATGCTTCGTCAGGCCGCTAATTCTCGCCGACGGCAGAAGGAGAAGAAGAGAGGGGCTGCGGGAGTGGAGTTTCCGGCAGATTAGGACAAGAAAATGGTTGTGGAGCTCTGAATTGGAATCAATGGCGGATTCTTCTTGAAAAATTTTGAGGGAAAATTGAGAGTTGGAAGGAAACACTCTCTATGGTCGCTTATTTTGCTTTCTTCGCGCTGTCATAGCTTTGCTTTTTCATTTTACTTTTTTGGCCGAAAATGAAATAATTTCAGTAACTTATAACTTATAAGTTAACGGAACTACGGAAGGTGATTGGTTATAAACTTGGGCTTGTAGAGCCCCTTGAGCTGCGGGCTAAAGGAGCAGGCCCATTATGTGTACCGCTTACATTCTTCATCAAGTATTAGCGTGTGTGGCCGGCCCAACTACTTCCAGCAATTAGTTTTTTTTTTTGTTTCTTTCTAAATTACCCTTTTGGATAAGATGGGTTAAGGATAGGGTACCACAATAGTAGATACCTCCACCGACTTACAGACCAAGAAGATACAAGAAATCGTAAAGATCATAATGAAGTCCAGGATAACGAAGGACATTCTGTGTGGAGTCCAGAATAACGAAGGACATTTCGTGTTCTTGGAGAATTAAGCATAGGATGCATACTTTAGGAACTTCTTGTAAGTTATTAGGTAGACATGAATGAATGATTTAACCACTTGCCCCTGCGTGATTGGTACGTGTCTCTCTTATATAAGTAATAAGATCAATATCATAAACCAAATCGATCTTGCCCTTAATTAGTTCCAAATCTCCCTAGCTAAATCCTTTTCACTATTAAAGATGGATTATGAGGTTTAGATATTCTTGTCACAAATGTCACTATTAAAGTCAACCTTTATCGGTGTTCATGATGTGCTAGAAAACTACACTCCCTCCCAATTCCCAAATATTACATCATAACATCACAAAAATGTTAAGAATCTTTATTTTCGTATATTTTTCATCACTTAAACACATCAAATGTCTCTCAGGGAGTGTGCGAGTCTTCTTCTACAAAAACAAACTGGGAAATAGAGTGCGCGAAATTTGCTATTAGTGCATTTGGGTTTGATGTTCTTTGGTGGTGCAATGGTTGCTGGTCACTAGATAAAGTGACCATGAAGATCATTCCTTCTAAAGCAACCTCAACAACAATATATGTAGATGAATTGGTTGGATTTAGAGTTGTTAACCAAGGTGCTCATGAATGGCCCAACGTTTGACTCGATAAAAAAAATTTGCTTGATTAAGAAAAAGTTAGACTCTTAAGCCGAATTTGAGCTTAACATTGTTTAACTCATGAGGCTCGTGAGCAAACTTGACAGGGTAGTTTGTTGAACCCAACTCATAAAATCTCTTGTTTTGAGCTCATGAGATGTCTCAACATTGTGATTAGAGAGCCAACTCGACTACTAACTTATGAGAAAATCAATCTATATCTTATAAGTTGACTTGTTGATAATTCATAGATTTATTAAATTGTATATCTCACATGTATAAGACTTTAGTATGTGAGCAACTATGTCTCGTATATGACACAATATCAATTAATCACACGTATCATATATGACATATAAATATTAGGGTATAATTTATGAATTATCATAGAGTTGAGCTCTAGCCGAACTACTGATCTTAATGATGAGTCAAGTAGATTTTAATAAATGACCCAGCTCGAGCTTGACTCGACTCATTATAAATTAGCCAATCTCGAACTCTGCTCGTTTATTAACGAGCCAAAACTAAACAAAGCAAAACTCGACTCGACATGACTCGGCTCATTGATGGCCTACTCGAACTATAAGCTCATTCATTTTTTAGCAGCCTCGTGAACAAATATGAAAACGAATTGGTTGATGAAACATACTCCGTTGTTGTTAGATTTTAAAAAAATCACCATGATAGCATTTTAGTTAGAACATGTAATCTAAACACTCTCACAGTCATACAATCTTATTTTGTAATTACGAGGTAAGGACACTAATCGAACCTCCACTTATCAAGTGGATGAATATGTTGGCAATAATGCAGTCAAAAGCGCGATTCTACCTAAAAGCGTAAAATTGTAAGCTTTTAAGTTTTAAAGCGTAGATTTTGACTACATTTGTAAAGGAAAATCACGATTCTACATAAAAGCATTTTAGTGACCTAGAAAGGTAAAAGCGTAAGCTTTTATGTTTTAAAGCGCGATTTTGACTGCAATGGCTGTTCGTATAAACTACTGGATTATATTAATATTGTGCAGCTCTTGGCATCAACTTTATGATGAATTATTGAGCACTTTTCTAAACAACAAAGTTTTGGAAATCATGAGACTACAATTTAGACGACGAAGTTGTTAGCAATAGCGCCAAAACAATCTTCCTTAAGTCCTTCCTCAGTATCTTCCCGGCCGGACTTTTGGGTATGGAGTTCACAAACGCAACTCGCCTTATCTTTTTGTATGGTGCAACCTGCAACGCCAAACAAAGAACAATCAAATTCAACTCCCATTCAATTCCATAAGAAGAGAACGTATATGAATATTCTACATGTTTCGCGACGAACTCCATTACTGATCTTTCATCGAGGATACACCCTGGTCGCCTCACCACACATGCAAATGGAAGTTGCCCTGCCTCCTCATCCGGGTACCTGCAACAACAATTTGTTCAGTCATAATTCGTTGTTAACTTGAAGAAGTCGAGCTGGAAAAGTTTGCTACGATTATGTGCAGAGATGAGAAGATAGAGGGTTACGGAATGACTGCTGCATCGGCTACGCCTGGATGGGACTGCAACAATTGCTCAAGCTCTGCAGGGGCAACCTAAAATAACCAAATTTTAACACTACTATTAGTAGGAACATAAGGTATGTTACTTGTCACAAGAACCCGACCTCTTTTGTTTAGAAAAACTACATCCATAATAAAACCAACATGTGTTTCATTAGTCGATTTCGTGAACTCGTGCTAACTCATCTCATCATGAGCCTTCATCTATAATGAGTAAGACTTGTCACAACCCATTACCCTTAACCATCCAACAAAACCCTTTAGCCAACATAACTTACTATAGTTGAATAAAAAATGGTTAGTCTATTTACCTGGTATCCATTGTATTTAATCAACTCCTTGAGTCGATCCACAACATAAAGGAAACCTTGATCGTCAAAATAACATAGATCGCCGGTCCTCAACCACCCATTGATAATCATGTTTTCGATGGTCCCTTCAGGATCACCCACATAACCTGCAAACAACTCCGCACAAATTAATCTAGCTTGTCCTAACACAGAAAACTCTAGGTGTATTTCGCTCTTTACCTTTAAATGTTGTTGGCCCTTTGACCCAAAGCTCTCCTTGTTTTCCAGGAGGCAAAACTTCTTGTGTTTCGGGATCAACGATTTTCGCTTCCAAAAGCCCGTAAAGCCTCCCGACAGAGCCCCATTTTTTAGATTCTTCAGGACCAAGTACTCGAGAGACTGGCCCCGTCAACTCAGTTAAACCATACCCCTAATAGAACAAATGGTCGACATTAGTAGAAATCCTCATTAAATTTTTTCAAACATAAAGTCGTTTGTATGCGAAATTGTATGTTATTATCTATTGGATCAAAATTATTCATTTAGATAACTGAAAACTTGTTTGGAATGGTGTTTTACAACTTTCCATGCATTTGATTTTTGAAACAAATAAATTCCATGTAAGTAGAATGTTTCTTTAGTTTTCTAATTTTTGTCTCCATCTACAAGTTTGTGCCTACGATTAAATAATGAAGCGTTTTGTGGACTGTAATGGTAATTTGTAAACTCCGAAACTATGCAGTTTACCGTTACCAATTTCTGACCGCCTAAACATATAGAAAAGGAAATAAAGGCAAAGCTAATAAAATCTCAGACATAAGAAGTTGCAGACCTGGGCCAACTCCACCGTCGGGAACTTGGCCTTGAACGCAGCGATGACGTCCTTCCCCAGCGGAGCTGCGCCGACGACCAAGCTCTTCAGCGAACTCAAGTCATACCGCTCCGAGGAGCCTGATTTCACCATCGCCACAACAACCGGCGGCGCCATCGCCACATCGGTGACGCCGAACTCCTCCACCGCCTTCAGCATCCCGTCCAGACCGAATCTCGGCATCATCACCACCGTCTCCATCAGCGCGACCGACTTCAGCGAGTATATGAACCCGAACACGTGGAAAAGCGGCACCGTGTAGAGCAAAACGGGCGGAGAAGCCCTCTCTCCCGCCGCCACCGCCGACGAACGGCACAAGGCGACGACCCCGATTAGGTTCCGATGCGTAAGCATCACCCCCTTAATCCTTCCCGTCGTTCCCGAGGAGTACAGAATCGCCGCCACGTCGGATTGACTCGGCTGGGGGCCGTGATCGAGATCCAAATCGAAAGTCGTCCTAATCATCATCGACTCGAACTCGGGCGAGTCAACGAGAATCGTCCCGAGCCTCAGCTTCGGGAGCTTGTGGGCCGTGGATGACGTGGCGAACGCTATGGTGGGGCCGGATAGCTCGACGAGCCGGGCGATTTCCGACCCGGTGCTGAGCGGGTTACCCGGGGAGACCACGACGCCGATCGAGAGGAGGGATAGGTAGAGGATCGGGACTTGAACGCAGTTGGGGCAGATTACCAAAGCGACGTCGTGTCTAGACAGCTTGAGGACGTGCTGAAGGTAATACGACAGGGATTTATGCCGTTTGAGGAGGTCGGAGTAAGGGATTCGTTGACCGGTGGCTGAGTCAATCAGGGCCGCCGTGGAGTCGGGCCAGTAGGATGCGGAACGGATGGAGAGGGCGTAGTCGACGACGGAGATGGGAGCGTCGTCCTGCGGGAGGTGAATCGGCGGTCGAAGGCTGTGGAAGGTCTTGGTTGTCGGGTTGAAGCCGCTTTCTGGGTTCGTCTTCGTTGAGGCCATCGGAATTGTTGGGGATTAATTCTTGAGGGGGAAGAGGAATGGGAGGATGAATTTTTTGCAGAAATGGCGGGTGGATGATTTTATAATAATATACTCGAGTGGCATCAAGCGGGGTTACTGTCTTTACTGTGTGACTGAACTCCCTTGGACTGTGTGGTGGCGGTAACATCCATGGCGTCGATGGTGGATGGTGGTGGGTAGGGTAGGAGAGTGAGCATGGGAAGTTGGAACCCGAAGAAACTTTGGCACATGATTAATTACACAACATAAAAACTATCGCTGAGATTTATTGATTATTAAGCTAAATGCTAGCATGGAAAATTTTAAAAAAGTTAGAGATTTCGTAACAATTTAACGTTAAATTCTATTGTCATTTTCTAAAATATAAACTTAATAAAATGTTGAATGCTACATAAATATAGTATTTAGATATATCACATATATAAAGTGAATTTCAAAAACATATTTATTATCTTATTTGAGAATTCCAAATACATATACTAGTATTAGAAATTCTTCATAGTCGTTATTCAAAATTTATTTGTAAACTTTTAAAAGACAAAAACTATATAAATACTAAACATGATTTTGTGACAAAATAATTTGGGATAAACTTTTGTAACTCATGAAAAGGCCAATTTTTTTATAATTAAGAGTTTCACCAATCACCACCAATTAGGGCTGGAGGTTCGGTTATCGGTTGTCGGTTAACCGGCCGGTTAAATCGATAACCGAAAATTATATGCTTCGGTCGGTGGTCGGAGCTCCTGATAGGTAATTCGGTTAACCGAGTAACCGAAAACTGGTTATCCGGTTAACCGACAATAACCGAAAATAACCGACCGGCCACCCCACTCACCAAAACGACGTGAAAATACCCGGTTATGAAGTTTATAACTTTATGTTGTTGAATTTGAGACATTAATTTGGTGATTTAGATGTATTTTCTATGCCAAAGTGATTGAGACTTTACTTTGGGTGTGATTTAGATGTAGAAATGTAACTTAGAACCTTTCATTTTAGGCGATTCTAATAATTTTACCCGGTTAAAACCGAACCACCATCATTTTTTAGGTTATCTCAGTTAACCGACCAACTAACCGATAACCGAGGCATTGACGTCGGTCGGTGTTCGGTAGGGGAGATGGTGGTTCGGTTAATCGGTAACCGACCAATCGGTTATCGGTTATAACTGAACCGAACTGAATCCACCCCTACCACCAATATGCTAATCCTCTTGAAAACACCCTCACTAAATAGCAATACCTTAAACACTGATCTGTCCTCTTTCTCACAATAAAAATAGGGATGACAATTTCGACCTGACCCGTTTTACCCGACCTGTTTGACCTGTTTTGGGGCGGGGCGTGCATGGGTACCTCTCGTCGACCCGACCTGCCTTGACCCGCCCCATTCTCGCCTAAATTACAAGTAATCTTAGTCAAATTACTTAAATTTTACTCGTATTACCTCATATTTTAGCCATAATAAAGTTATAAATAAGTGAAAATCTCAATTTCTCCAATACTTTAACTACATTTTATCATATTATGATTTATTTCTTGGTAGTTTAAGTGTTTAACATAAATTACATATTCACTTGATCGACCTGCCCCTACCCGCAACCCATAATAAATTACCCGACCTGCCATGAAGCGAGATACCCAAACCCAGACCTCCCCAATTGCCATTCCAAAATAAAATCCCAGAGTTTTGTCCTTACCATCATCAACACCGGAATCCCGAGTCCATTCCCAAAACGCCCATAAAAAACCGTATTTTTTTGGTTCGTTCCCACTTTTCCCGGCTTTCCCTTCCCTTTCCTCCCGCTCCCAACATTTCACTCTCAGTCGCAGATTCCCTTCGCCCTCCCTTATCTCCTCCCTCCGCCACCGTCCCCACACACAAAAAATCTCCTCCTTCCGCCATTTCCCCTCGGGCCAGCAATCCAGCTCCGTGACTACACTCCTCAATTCTCCCAATTGGGAATTTCCTGAATTCCAATGGAAGCCGCCGTTGCATCAGCTCCCTTCAGCAACACCTACTACTACATTCCTCCACTCTCCTTCCTCTCTAGGGTTTCCATTTCCCTCCACCCCGCCTCCCGCCGCCAACAACAACAACGACACCAGTTTTTCCGCCGCTCCTCCTCCTCCATCCCGTTCTCTCGTGGCCGCAGCTGCTGCTTCGCGTCCAGCCCCGAGGCATTGGTCGCCGCCGCCGCCAATTCAGCTCTCGGACGTGGAGTTGCGAACAAGAGAGGTGGAGGAGACGGTGAGGAGAAGGAGGAGTGTGGCGATTTGAAGTCGTGGATGCATCAGAACGGTCTCCCTCCTTGCAAAGTCGTTCTTAGAGATAGGCCGTCTCTCGACGAGATGCTTTGCTCCATTCATTACGTCGCCGCTAGCGAAGATCTTCAGGTGATGGACGAAACGTGGATTAGATTAGTTAAGAGTTGACCGAGTTTCTTTATTTTCTTGCCCTGGCTTAAAGCTTCGATGTATCGCAGGCTGGAGATGTGGCGTTTTCCGTCCCGAATTCTCTCGTTGTGACGCTCGATAGGGTATTAGGAAACGAGACAGTTGGTAAACTTTTGATCTCTATGCCTTTATTTTCCTGGAATGTTGCAGTTCTCTGGAGTATGTTGATTCAATTTTCTTGACTATTGCAGCGGAATTGTTGACGACGAACAAGTTATCGGAGTTGGCATGCTTGGCATTGTATTTGATGTACGAGAAGAAGCAGGGGAAGAAGTCGTTCTGGTATCCGTACATACGAGAGCTTGATCGTCAGCGAGGTAGAGGTCAACTTGCTGTTGAATCTCCATTGCTGTGGTCGGAGGCTGAGTTGGCTTACCTGACTGGCAGCCCTACTCAGGTACCGAGTACTTCAATCGTTTAATGTTCAGTTACTTATTGATATTGAGATGTATTAAGGCTATAATTTGGTGTTTCTTTAAGTAGGCTGAAATCATCGAGAGGGCAGACGGAATCAAAAGAGAATATGACGAGCTTGATACAGTATGGTTTATGGCTGGTTCTTTGTTTCAGGTTATCTTCTACCCTACACAAATTTGTGTCTGATCCCTATAAGATTGACCAATTGTTCGGTAACCATTATCAACGTGGTTCTTGATTTGTTTTCTGCAGCAATACCCCTTTGATATACCAACAGAAGCATTTTCCTTTGAGATTTTCAAACAAGCTTTCGTTGCTGTTCAGTCATGTGTGGTGCATTTGCAGGTAACTTGTAAATTTTGTTGGATTTGCGTTCAAGGGCATAGTGAATCAGCTATGTGCATTAGAATGTTGCAAAAAGCTTACTTCGTCTGTTTTTATTCCAAGTTTTGCAAATGTAATATGTTAATGTTCTTTATCTCTACCCATAGTATGCAAGACTTGAACTGTTGGGATATGTTCCATCTTGAATTTTCGTGTGGCTATTGAGAAATTATATAGTTCTAAGTCTCTGTAATTATTGTATATATCCGGTTTGCTGTATCTTCAATGTGCTAGTACTAATATGAGCTTCTGCTAGTTGCTGTCCTTCCTTTCCTATCATCTTTATTGAGCTGGTGTTGAGATTGAATCTGAATATACTTTGCCTTCTATGCTCAGAAAGTCAGCTTGGCTCGTAGATTTGCTTTGGTTCCTCTGGGACCTCCCTTGCTATCATACAGAAGCAGTTGTAAAGCAATGCTAAGTGCTGTAGAAGGTGCTGTTGAACTGGTAGTTGATCGCCCATACAAGGCCGGGGAACCCATTGCTGTCTGGTATGGCTGTGAAACAAATTGTGTCATGTTGTTCTGTGGGTGTTCCTTATGATGCTGTCCATTCTGGTTATCCAAGAGCTGAAGTTACTGAAACTTCCAGGTGTGGACCGCAACCCAATTCAAGATTGCTTATAAACTATGGTTTTGTTGACGAGGATAATCCTTATGACCGCCTCATGATCAAGGTACTTATTCTTGGGATCTCCTTTTGAAATTTAAGTTTTTCCTCATCAACTTTACTGATTTGTGGTTTGCTTCAGGCTGCATTAAACACTGAGGACCCTCAATATCAGGAGAAAAGATTGGTTGCTCAAAGAAATGGCAAACTCTCCATGCAAGATTTTCTGGTAGGACTTCCTTCTTACTTTTTCTTTAAATGAAAGTTAAGCGTAAGATTCTCAGTTGAATATTCTATTTTCCCCTTTTTCCAGGTTCAAGTGGGGAAGGAAAAGGAAGCTGTCTCAGATATGCTTCCTTATCTACGATTAGGCTACGTATCAGATACTTCTGAATTGGAATCCGTCATGTCCTCGCAGGGTCCAGTTTGTCCAGTAAGTTTATGTGCATTAATTTGGCTTCCTGGATAATTATTGCTTCCCTGAATATTATAATAATCTAGTTATGGCCATGAAACATAAAGCAGTACTGAATTAGAAGTTCACCAGAGAGAGTAATTAGTCCTAAGCAGGCTTGTTTTGGAGAATACAGCTAAATGTGATCTCTGCCTTGTTGCTGAAACTTATTGCCTGTTGCAGGTTAGCCCCTGCTTGGAGCGGGCAGTATTGGATCAGCTTGCTGAGTATTTCAACAAGCGCCTGGCTTTGTACCCAACTAGCTTAAGCGTAGACGAATTGATGGTATTATCATTGTTTCCATTGAGGGTAGTTGATGATATAATCTACAACATTGGTTAGTTTTACTAATTCCTTACTCTTTCTAATCATATTAGTTGGCGGATGATAAGTTGAACCCAAAGAAGAGAGTTGCCACTCAGCTAGTGCGATTGGAAAAGAAAATACTTAACGCGTGTCTGGAGGCAACTCGTGATCTGATAGCACAGCTACCTGATCTCACAATCTCACCGTGTCCAGCTCCTTATGCTCCTTCGTTGAAATGAGAAAGGTATATTGAATAAGGCTTCCTAGACTCAGAAACTATCGTTCCTAGTATTTGAATAAGCTTACCTTAAGACCCTACATTTCTAGATGTGTAGGTTTCAGAATATCATTCATTGGCTCCGGAATCTTAAAGAAGTTTTTTCGCTAGACGGGTAATATGGTCAGTATACAATGCAGGATGAAGGCTGGCGTATTGAAATGTGACAAACCAGATATCTTTACTGCCATTTGTTTTGGTTTGCAATTTTGAACTATGCTGAAGACTCTTATTGGGTTTGCAGGGTAAAGAATTCTGAACATAAGTCAGGTAGGCAAATCATTGACCATCGAAGAGATATGAACTATGGAGTTCATGCTGCCTCTGGCATTCAACTGGTGAAAAAGGGCCGGCATCAGTGGTGGTTCATGGGCATAGCTTCAAGTCTGCTGGTTGCTGGCTTTTTCATTTTGATTTTCCATCTCGAGTTCTACTTTGCAGCAGTTACATGAAAAAAAAATTCTCCTCCCTCTTCTTCTGTATAGCAACTCAGCAGTACAAGTATATGACAGGCCAAGGCCGATCAATCGTGTACATTACTACTGGTAAGGATTAGCCAACTTTCCCTTGTAGCAACTTGTACTTAGTAATAAATAGCTCCTCCCATTTTAACAGTCTTTTGCCAGGCAGCTCTCGCAAGTTAGTAACATGTACATAATACGTGTTTGCTTGGTCTGTCATAGTCAAACAAAAACAGCTGTTTGTGAGTTTTTGAAATGAAAGCCCAATAATTCTCTTTCTTTATGGCCCAAGGGGCTCAGAGCCTCAGACCCAATAAGGTGGGTCTACTGCCTTCTTTGAACATGGTTATTCTAATGTTTCATGCTGAAATAGTGAAATATATTGTTGGAAAAGGTCCTTTTCTGCAGTTACCGTTGGTTGTCACCTTTTTAATTGTTTACATTTGTTTGTATACCACATGCTGCATTATTATATTTTAATTCACAAAATCAAGTGACCAGAAAACATGCCCAGCCCACCAACAGCAGAAAACGACGACGAGCCTGAAACCGTAAAAATAAACAATAAATCCCACGTACGTACTCCTAAGGCAGAATAAATGAGCCCGTTACTACCACTTGCCACCACTTTACCATGCTTTATTGGCCATTGGCAACTTCTAATTGTTCCCATCTAAAGCACCAACCTTCATGGAAAACTTTAATCCTGATTCTAATCGTTTCATAATTGCCATCAGTCGTATTCATTATCTTCAACTTATTGTCTACATCAGCCCTTAATGATTTAGATTCCTAGACTGCTACAAGCATACAACAAAAAGCTTCCAACTGATGCGAATAGGGATGGATTTTCAACATCATTCTAGTATATTGTTTATGATTAACTAGTTATATAGATGGGTAACATTTTAATAATTTAAAAATCAATAAATCTATATTCGTGAGAGAAAAATATATAAAATTTAAAAATTGCGTACTCTAGTCGCCAACCACCATATCGATCTATTATTATCCGGTTTCAGTTCCAGAAAAGTAACAGTTCTCTACTTTCTTTCCCTGGTTTTGTTTCAGAAGACCAAAAGGGGAGTGAGCTTTCAATTTCCGTTTTCAAAAAGCTGAGAGGGAGAGAGAGACAAAGGAAGGCCGCGCCGCCGGGAGAAAGCTGGAATCAAAGAAAGCGGTTTGACTTCCCCGCCGGCGGGAACATAATTTTCGTCCAGAAGGTTAGCTCTATTATACAGTCGAGCACAAATGAGCGCCAACTCGCGTGGGACTCGGCCCACGCGCGGCCGCAATCCTCCGCCACACCACGGGCCGCAGCCGGAGGTCTACAACATAATCCCAATCCACGACCTCCTCACGGACCACCCGTCCCTCCGCTATCCGGAAGTACGAGCCGCGGCGGCGGCGCTGCGCGCAGTCGGCGACCTCCGGAAACCGCCGTTTCTCCCCTGGGAGCCGCACTACGACCTCCTGGACTGGCTCGGCTTGCTATTCGGCTTCCAGCGCGACAGCGTGCGGAACCAGCGAGAGCACTTGGTCCTCCACCTCGCCAATTCGCAAATGCGGCTCCAGCCGCCGCCGTCGTTGCCGGACGCCCTGGACCCCACCGTTCTCCGCCGCTTCCGCCGGAAGCTACTTACGAACTACACCTCCTGGTGCTCGTACATCGGCAGGAGGTCCCAGCTCATCCTCTCCGGCCGGCCTAGCAGCGACGACATAATCCGCCGCGAACTGCTCTACGTCGGGCTCTACCTTCTAATTTGGGGCGAATCTGGAAACCTAAGGTTCATGCCGGAGTGTCTCTGCTACATCTACCACCACATGGCCATGGAGCTCAACCAATTCCTCGACGAGTGGACCGATCCAGAAACCGGTAGGGCTTTCCTCCCTTCAATCTCCGGCGAGTGTGCGTTTCTGAAATCGGTAATTATGCCTATTTATCGGACGGTGAAGTCCGAAGTGGACAGCTCCAGGAACGGGACGAAGCCCCATTCCGCTTGGAGAAACTACGACGACTTGAATGAATTCTTCTGGAGTCGGAGGTGCTTCAGGAAGCTGAGATGGCCTTTGAATTTCAGTAGCAATTTCTTCGATACGGTGGATAAGATTCATAGAGTTGGCAAGACTGGTTTTGTAGAGCAGAGGTCGTTCTGGAACTTGTTTCGGAGCTTCGATAAGCAGTGGGTACTGCTGATTCTGTTTCTGCAAGCAAGCATTATCATTGCTTGGGAGCAGACTAAGTATCCTTGGCATGCAATTGAGCGAAGAGCAGTCCAAGTTAAGCTTCTGAGTTGCTTCATTACATGGAGTGGGTTGAGAGTTCTGCAAGCTGTGCTAGATGCTGGAACTCAGTACAGCCTTGTCACTAGGGAGACATGGTTGTTGGGGCTGCGAATGAGCTTGAAGTTTGTGGTGGCAGTGGCATGGACAGTTGTGTTTGGGGTCTTTTATGGGAGGATATGGAGCTCGGGGAGTTCCAACGAAGCTGACCAGAGGATCACTATGTTTCTCCAAGCTGTGCTGGTCTTCGTTATCCCGGAATTGCTTGCCATTCTGCTCTTCATACTCCCATGGATTCGAAATGCCATTGAAGAATGGGATTGGAGTTTTGTATACTTGTTCACGTGGTGGTTTCATACCAGAACATTCGTAGGCCGGGGACTTCGAGAAGGGCTCGTCGACAATGTCAAGTACACTGTGTTCTGGATACTGGTTTTAGCTTCAAAGTTTGTGTTCAGCTACTTCCTCCAGATCAAGCCGATGGTTGCTCCGACGAAGGCGATTCTCAAGGTCAACATTTTTCAGTATAAGTGGCATGAGTTCTTTGGCCATAGCAATCGAGTTGCAGTGGTAGTAATGTGGATGCCTGTGATGCTGATCTACTTCACCGATTTGCAAATTTGGTATGCCATCTTCTCCTCTTTTGTTGGAGCCACCGTAGGCTTGTTCTCCCACTTGGGCGAGATAAGGAACATTGGTCAGCTCAGACTCCGGTTCCAGTTCTTCGCCAGCGCAATGCAGTTCAATCTAATGCCCGAGGAGCAACTTCTCGGCCCGAAGATGAACCTAGTGAAGAAGCTTCGAGACGCGATTCACAGATTGAGACTCAGATATGGGTTCGGCCAACCTTACACGAAGATTGAGTCAAGCCAGGTGGAGGCCACAAGGTTTGCATTGATATGGAACGAGATCATGATGGCTTTCAGGGAAGAGGATTTGATCAGTTATAAAGAGCTCGAGCTCCTGGAGCTTCCGCCGAACTGCTGGAACGTTAGAGTGATTCGCTGGCCCTGTGTTCTTCTCTGCAATGAGCTACTGCTAGCTCTGAGTCAGGCGCTCGAGCTGGCTGAAGCACCCGACAGTTGGATTTGGTTGAAGATCAGTCAGAGCGAGTACCGGCGCTGCGCTGTGATCGAGGCATATGATTGCATCAGGTATTTGTTGCTTTCGGTGGTGAAGTATGGTTCAGAAGAGAACTCCATTGTTGGGAAGTTCTTCAACGAGGTAGATGGTCACATTCAAATCGGAAAGTTTGCAGAGAATTACAACATTTGCCTGCTTCCCAAGATACACTCCAAGGTAATACAATTAGTTGAGCTTCTGAGGAAACCCAGGAAAGATGAGAGGGAAACTGTTGATGTATTGCAGGCATTGTACGAACTTTGTGTTCGTGAGTTCCCAAAGTTGAAGAGGTCCATTCCCGAGCTGAGAAATGATGGTTTAGCCTCCCAGCGTGAAACAGAGCTGCTCTTTGAGAATTCTGTTCAGTTCCCCGACGCTGAAGATGAGTTCTTCAATCGACAGCTGAGGCGTGTGCACACAATTCTCACGTCACGAGATTCCATGCACGACGTTCCTAAGAACATCGAGGCAAGACGACGAATTGCTTTCTTCAGCAATTCTCTGTTCATGAACATGCCACGTGCCCCAAATGTCGAGAAGATGATGGCGTTCAGCGTGCTGACACCTTACTATGACGAAGAGGTTTGTTTCGGTAAAGAGAATCTTCGCACTCCGAATGAGGATGGAATCTCGATCCTGTTTTATCTGCAGAAGATCTATGAGGACGAGTGGAGGAACTTCATGGAGAGAATGAAGAGGGAAGGAATGGAGGACGAGGATGATGTGTGGGACAAGAAATCAAGGGAGCTTCGTCTTTGGGCTTCGTACAGAGGGCAGACATTGTCGCGAACTGTTAGAGGGATGATGTATTATTACAGGGCTCTGAAGATGCTTGCCTACCTTGATTCGGCCTCTGAGGTTGATATTAGGGCGGGAACGCAGGAGATTGCTTCTCATCATTCATCGAGGAGGAACAACCGACAGTTGGGTGATGATGGTCTGAACTCTGCCGGAGGGGGAGGAGGAGAGAGACCATCATTGAGGAAGCTGGGCAGAGCAACGAGCACCGTAGGGCTCTTGTTCAAGGGACACGAGTATGGGAGCGCGCTCATGAAGTTCACCTACGTTGTTGCTTGTCAGGTTTGTATCATGGTTAAAATCTCGATTTGGATCCTATAATTTTTTTCTGTGATATCTTACGCAAACATTTCTATTCTGATTATGATAAACAGGTCTACGGGCAGCACAAAGCCAAGGGTGATCCTCGAGCCGACGAGATCCTCCACCTCATGAAGAACAACGAGGCGCTTCGAGTTGCGTACGTCGACGAGGTCCACTTGGGGAGAGATGAAGTCGAGTACTACTCCGTCCTGGTGAAGTACGATCAAGAACAGCAGAGAGAAGTCGAGGTATACCGTGTCAGGCTGCCCGGTCCTCTCAAGCTCGGGGAAGGGAAGCCCGAGAATCAAAACCATGCATTCATCTTCACTCGCGGAGATGCAGTTCAGACCATCGACATGAACCAGGACAACTCCTTCGAGGAAGCTCTCAAGATGAGGAATCTGCTGGAGGAGTTCAAGGTACATTATGGAATCAGGAGGCCGACGATCTTGGGTGTTCGTGAGAACATCTTCACCGGTTCGGTTTCCTCTCTTGCCTGGTTCATGTCTGCTCAGGAGACGAGCTTTGTGACTCTTGGCCAGCGAGTTCTGGCGAATCCTTTGAAGATTAGGATGCATTATGGTCATCCGGATGTGTTTGACCGGTTCTGGTTCATGCCACGTGGCGGGGTCAGCAAGGCTTCTAGGCTGATCAATATCAGTGAGGATATATTTGCTGGGTTCAACTGCACCCTTCGAGGAGGCAATGTGACTCATCATGAATATATACAGGTACAGTATTCTGTCGTCATAACACGATCCGTAAACTCTTACAATTCCCCAAGTTCGATTTTGCTCATGTTTTCGATTTTACATAACATCTCGATGCTGATTCCAGGTGGGCAAAGGCCGGGATGTCGGATTGAACCAGATATCAATGTTTGAAGCCAAGGTAGCAAGTGGCAACGGCGAGCAGATATTAAGCCGAGACGTCTACAGACTAGGCCACAGATTGGATTTCTTCCGAATGCTCTCGTTCTACTACACTACAGTTGGCTTCTTCTTCAACACAATGGTGGTCGTACTAACCGTCTACTCCTTCCTCTGGGGCCGTCTCTACCTCGCTCTCAGCGGCATAGAAGGCTACGCCATGGAAACTAGCAAGAACAACAAGGCCTTCGGCGTAATCCTGAACCAGCAGTTCTTCCTCCAGATTGGCCTCTTCACCGCCCTCCCAATGGTGGTTGAAAACTCCCTCGAGCATGGCTTTCTTCCTGCCGTCTGGGACTTCTTGACCATGCAGCTCCAACTGGCATCTGTCTTCTACACTTTCTCCATGGGCACCCGAGCCCATTTCTTCGGCCGGACCATCCTTCACGGTGGTGCCAAGTACCGTGCCACTGGCCGCGGGTTCGTGGTCCAGCACAAGAGCTTCGCTGAAAATTACAGGCTCTACTCTCGGAGTCACTTCGTCAAGGCTATTGAGCTCGGTGTGATTCTCATAGTCTACGCAGCTCACAGCCCCATGGCACAGGACAGCTTTGTTTACTTGGCGATGACGTTATCGAGCTGGTTCCTCGTCTTGTCGTGGATCATGGCCCCGTTCGTATTCAACCCATCAGGATTTGACTGGTTAAAGACGGTATATGACTTTGAGGACTTCTTGAATTGGATATGGTACAAAGGTGGCGTGTTCACCAAGGCAGAGTACAGTTGGGAGACCTGGTGGTACGAGGAACAGGACCATTTGCGAACCACGGGACTCTGGGGTAAGCTCTTAGAGATCATCCTCGATCTCCGGTACTTCATGTTCCAATACGGCGTCGTGTACCAGCTCAACATCACCGGCGGGAAGACCAGCATTTCAGTTTACCTGCTGTCATGGATTTACATGATCGCGGTGATGGGGATCTATGTCGTGATGATGTACGCTCAAGAGAGATTTGCGGCGAAGGAGCATATCAAGTACAGGCTGACACAGCTCGTGGTGATCTCAATGACCGTGCTTGTACTGACTCTATTGTTGGACTTTACGTCGTTCACGTTGCTGGATTTGGTCAGCAGCATGCTGGCGTTTGTGCCCACAGGGTGGGGGCTGATAAGCATTGCTCTCGTGCTGAGGCCTTTTTTGGAGTCTACAGTGGTTTGGGATACGGTGGTTTCGTTGGCGAGGATTTATGATCTGCTGTTTGGAGTGATTGTGATGGCCCCCGTGGCGTTGTTGTCGTGGTTGCCTGGGTTTCAGGCCATGCAGACGAGGATTCTGTTCAACGAGGCCTTTAGTAGGGGCCTGCAGATTTCCAGGATTCTTAGTGGGAAGAAAACTAATTGATGGGTCAAGCAAGCTAAGGTAAGCGACGTAGTTCTTTGTGCTGTGTTGTTTTAACAGACCAGGTCATGGGTGACAATTGCTCTGAAAGGAACAGCCCTTTGAAAATGGCAGATCTTTTTTCTGGATGGGAAGACATAGCTCACATTTCACTGGGGGCACTGGGGGCACTGATGTTTTTGTGCCCACAGGGTGGGGGCTGATAAGCATTGCTCTCGTGCTGAGGCCTTTTTTGGAGTCTACAGTGGTTTGGGATACGGTGGTTTCGTTGGCGAGGATTTATGATCTGCTGTTTGGAGTGATTGTGATGGCCCCCGTGGCGTTGTTGTCGTGGTTGCCTGGGTTTCAGGCCATGCAGACGAGGATTCTGTTCAACGAGGCCTTTAGTAGGGGCCTGCAGATTTCCAGGATTCTTAGTGGGAAGAAAACTAATTGATGGGTCAAGCAAGCTAAGGTAAGCGACGTAGTTCTTTGTGCTGTGTTGTTTTAACAGACCAGGTCATGGGTGACAATTGCTCTGAAAGGAACAGCCCTTTGAAAATGGCAGATCTTTTTTCTGGATGGGAAGACATAGCTCACATTTCACTGGGGGCACTGATGTTTCGTACCCCTCGTAAGACGAGTCATTAACAAGACAACAAGGTAAGTTCCCCCCCCCCCCCCCCCCCCCCCCCCCCCAACTCTAGCCTTTCAAATTATCCTTTACTATTGGGCTGTGATTTCTGAACTGTTGAGAATGCTGTTCTTGACTTGCAGGGCACCCAAAACCTGCCATTGACCGTGGAAGAGATGTAGAATTTACAATGATTTCTCTGTGTTCGAATGCTTACAAACTCGCCTGCCGTTGGATGAATCTGCATTCAGATTTCTGATCCATGTTCAAGAGCCTGCTGGTTTTCCCTGTCCAATTGGGCGTTGTTCATATTCTGGTACTACTCTCCCACTTATTTCAGTCCTTCCTACACCGAAATTGTATGAAGTTCTCGCATCCTCTGTATATCACGTAGCATTACTAGCGGTTAAGGTTGTACATTACTAGAGAAGGACTAGGTAGCTAATTCCTTTTGTTAGTAATAGCCCAAAAGGTCAATGTTGAAACAAACCAGCTAGCTAGTTCAGCAGCTCTCAGTGAATTGTAAATGATTTTGATTCAAAGAGCTGTTAGTGAATTGTTACGGATCAAAGAAGAGATACATAGTTGCATGATTCCTATGAGTTGAGTGTCGAAGAACCCGGCATGGATTGAATGAACATCAGTCCGGTGATGATCGAATGGACATAGCTTCAAAACCCTAGCTAGGAGGAGGTCGAGGGGGTTTGTTTTTTTTCTGTCTCACACTGTTACTTTTTCCTCACTTGTTTCATCTGTACAGCACTCACCAACATTAATAGCAAAACAAGGTGTACATTGCTAGGAAAAGGATACGGATCAATGTGGCTGCACCTGATCTAAGGAAGATGCAAGAAAGGAGACCAATCCGTTTCGATCGATCTCCGCAACTTGTTTCAGCACTTCTTCCTACGGCAACATTACATGGTAATAGGACTTCATCGTTACTAATTACATTAGAATAGAGTAATAATTGAATCAACCATTTGATTCGGGATCACAGCAACACATTTCAACTCATCATCAGAACCTGATGGCACGGCGCCTCATCATCCTTCGTCGCCGCCGCAGCTCTGGAATGCGGTGGAAGTACCCGAAGCCGTACACTCCAAGCACCGTCGTGAAAAATCCAGTACCGTATCCAATTCCTGCTGTCATCCACGAAAACCAGAACCCTTCTTCATTCTCCAATCCTCCTCTAGGCGCTGCCTCCTGTGTTGCAGGTGGTGGCGTATCATCGCACGGTTTGGCAATCTGTATTCCGCACAATCCGGCGTCGTTGTTAGCGTAAGAATTGGGATCATTCATCCTGTCCATTTGGGGGCCGGCAGGGATCCGGCCGGAGAGATTGTTATCGCTCAATTGCAGATTAGTGATTTGCAGTAGTGTCCCCAAAGATCCTGGAATCTCTCCCGACAGATGGTTGCGAGACAAATCCAAACTCTCCAATTCTTTCATGTTGCCAAAGCTAGCTGGGATTCGACTGGAGAGACTATTGTGCGAGAGGTTGAGCACTTTGAGACTCCTCAAGTTACCCAAGCTTTTCGGGATTGCACCTGACAGTTGATTATTGGATAGATCAAGGAAAGTGTATAATCCCAAGTGTTTGTTCGGAAGCCCCTGATGATGAGTCTTCCAAAAGACTTCCAACCATGAAATGGATGCAAACCTAATCATATCGTCGTAGAAATAAGCCGAGCTAACATTCATATTAGACTCCATCATTGATAAGTCGTTCGGAGCAACTGTCATTCCAGTCAACTTTCCTAAACTGCTGGGCACCCTGCCACTGAATTTATTTCCCGAGAGGTCTAATATTTGAAGGCTTATGGGATTGGAAAGAGTTGCTGGAATCGGCCCTTGAAAGAGATTGTTGCGAAGACTCAAAATTCGTAAAGATGAAATTTGAGACAAAGAAGCTGGAATCTCACCTGAAATTCTATTGTCACGAAGATCAATGAGATAGAGTCTCTCTGGATTGATTTTTTGGCAAATAAATCTTAGAGAAGTAGTTGTGGGCGACTTCAAGGGTAATTAGCATAAATGGTCACAAATCTTTGCACTTAGTACAAAACAGTCACAAACCTTTAAATTGTAACCATTTGATAACAAAACTTTTTTACTTAGAACAAAACGGTCACAAATTAAACAGTGTGACCATTTCATACCAGTTCAAGCTTTTGTTACCGTTTCGTTGCAAATTAGACTTTTGGTGACCATTTTGTACAAATTAAGTTCAAAAGTTTTGTTAATGTATGTTAATGATATTATGTTGTTTAGGATGACAATGAGAGAATTCAATGGCTCACAAACGGGTTCCAGACTGCTTTTTAGTTGAAAAAACTATGTCTACTTTCTTACTTTATTGGTATCGAAATTGAAAGGTCAACTGAGGGCATTCTTATTCGGCAAAACAAATATGTCGATGAACACGTGACCTAACATCTTATATGTCGTTCAAGTGGTTAGTGTCATATACTTAACGAACAAACTACCCGACCTCAAAACATGACCAACATTTAATTTGTAACGATTCAGTAACAAACCTTTGCTCTTAAAACAAAACGGTCATGAATTAAATAGCGGTGACCATTTTATACAATTTTAAAGTTTTGTTACCGTATTGATACAAATTAAAGGTTTGTGACCATTTTGTACTAAGTACAAAGGTTTGTTACCATTTATGCTAATTACCCGCGACTTCAAGGGCTACCAAGGAATATGCACGGCCAGAAGATATGGAGATATTGCCACGAAAGATGTTGAAAGAAAGGTTGATATACGATGGACAGCTATAAGAAGCATGTCGGCAAAGAAATATGAAAGGGTCGCCTGTCAATTGGTTTCTTGATAAATCCAGGTAAGTCAAGTAGGTCATAGTTGAGATGTGGGGTCCAAGTGACCCATTGAAATTATTATCGGAAAGAATCAACACATCGTAGTTATTTTGCTTGGTCTTGTTAGCATCTCGATTCGGAAAAACTTCTCCCTCAAAATTGTTCTTGGACAAGTCAAGATATTGCATATGTGTATTGAGAGCCAATTCAAGAGGCAGAGTACCTTGAAGCAAGTTATCTGCCAAAACCAAGTCAGTCAGGTGCATTTCAGCCAACCACCCGGGGAAGGTTCCTGTCATTCGGTTGCTTCTCAAGTCGAGAGTCTCTAGATCAGAATGGTTCGCCAGCCAGGGAGGGATTCCATTGGAAGCGATGTTGCAGGATATCAGGGATACTTGAGTGAATCTGGATTTTGGGGCAATTTGCTTTGCATATGCAAATGTAAGGTTGTTTCTCCCCAAATACAGACGCTGTATCATGGACAATTCGAACAGCCAAGTCGGAACCTCACCGGACAAAAAGTTGTTGTCGAGCTTTAGATCTATCAACTGAGTCATGTTTTGAACACTAGGGATCTCCCCAGATAAAAAGTTGTCTTTCAAATACAACGTCTCCAACTTGTGCAACTGCAACAAAGTCGCGGGAATTTCTCCAGAGAGTTTGTTGCCATGCATAAAAACACCCACGAGATTGGTCAGGTTGCCAATCTCTACTGGGATCTTCCCTTCTAATGCATTCCCATCACACCGAAGTTCTTGCAGATTAGACAGAGCGCTAAACAGCTGAGGAGGAATTGGACCGCTGAAGTGATTATTAGACAGCTCAAGTGTTTGAAGTTGTGTCAGATTCCCTATTCCAGGTGGGATTCAACCTCGTATGTAACTCTGATACAGGTCGAGACAGCGTAATGATGTGAGACGAAAGAGCGGAGTTAGAACATCCGAACTCACCCCTGCTTCCAGCAGCTCATCCGTGAAACCCGTCCCTAGGAGGCCAAGCGCCATGACGAATTGACGCCGGGAATCACAGGAAAGCCCCGACCACTCGCAACAACTCGTACTGGCGTTCCAGTTGGAAAAATCGCCGCCAGCAGAGGAGTTTCCAAGGTATAGGGACCGGAACTCGAGGAGAGCAGCTTTCTGGTCGCCAGGACAGCAACCACAGGGCACTCCCCAGATGATGATCATCATCATTGGTAATAATAACAGTAGACGATAGTCTTTCAAGTGTGTTTCCGCCATTGTTAAATCTGGCTATTTTGGTTTGCTTTGTCTGTCTTTGGGGAAAGTGTGTTATTAAGTAAGATACTGGAATTTGGAATGGAGCTCTCTGTCTATAAGTAGTTCTTCTTCTTCTTCTTCTTCGGTACATGGACTGAAGCGGACTAGGCATTTTCCAACGTCCAGCCCCCGACCAAGAAAATTGAGATAGTGCTCCATTATTGCTAAGTCAAGTGGTCTTGACTTGGAGTCTTCCGACTGACTGAGTGGAGTTCTCAGTTCTGGCCTTCACTTCCGACGACTTCCAAGTCCACCGTGTGGGACGGGAAAAGGTCCGTAAGTTCCCTAATTTATCCCACCAATTGTGGTAATGGGCCGAAGTGCTTCGGCTCAGTAGTTTCTGGAGGATTTGGTAAATGGGCCTCTATTAATCGTGTGATCCTCCAAGACAGATCGACCCATTAACATCATCGCACGGCCCGCCTGTTAATTCCCATGCATGCAGACGGGAGTCACGCACGTACGTACAGTGACGGAAGAAGAAGACCGGACCAAAGGATAATCTAGGGGTGAACAAAACATGATGTAAATCGACCCACCCTCCAATCAGATCTAACATACTTGTATTTATAATCAAAATTAAAGTTTAAGATCGGATGGGAATTTTAGGTAGCACAACCTGTCATAAACCAGTTGGTACCAATAACTCGAGTTGTTGGGAGAAATGTTATGTTGGATCTTATACATGCCCGTGTATGGTGCTTAACCACTTCCTTACACACCCCCTCAAACGAAAGCCGACTCATGGGCTTGAAGTTTGCACAGGCTCAACCCTACCATGTGCTTGAAAGACAACGATTATTATTGGGGGTCGTGAGGACTTGAACACGTGACCTCAAGGACAAACCAGCTCTGATGCTATGTCATAAACCAGTTGGTTCCAATAACTCGAGTTATTGAGAGAAGGGTTATGATGGATCTTATACATGCCCGTGTATGGTGCTTAGCCACTTCCTTACACAACCTGTAGAATCCAACGCAACCCGTGTTGAACTATTGTAATAAATATTCATATCTAAAATATATTTGTGTCGTAAATAAACACGTGACAATATATCTATGAATGTGCCAACTTATAACCACTTGAGCTTATTTAGTCAAATGTTTATAGAAAAAACTACAAATATGTTAAATTAAATTGCATTTCATTAAAATCAAAACAACATTTATGCATATTGATACTTTTAACCTCGATTTATTCTTTTAAAATTCTAATTATTTATATAATATTTTTGTAGTGTAGCATTTTTGTGTTGTGTTGGCTTTTCAATTAAAATTATCTCCAACCCGAATCAATCCAATTATAAACAAACTGTAGGGTTCTAATTATTTTGGGTGCATTTGGATTTAATATTTTCTAAACCATAATATATGAATCGGATGATTAAATTGACCAAACGCGAACCACCAGACTCATGTACACCCCTAAGATAATCCCCGTAGCTGCTACCTCCACGCAGACGGGAGAGTAGTGCTTTTGCTAATTTGTTTTCATTGGTAAAAAAATATGATGGTGGGATTGACAAAGGATCTATAACCTTATCAATTATTTTGTTTCTAAATTTGTTATGAATTTTGACATATAATTTCATCTATAATAATAAGTCACAGTTGAGGAAGGACCACAGTCCCTCCTAACAACCACCTAACTCCTTCACTAGTTATAGGTACGTATGCCTCCATGGACAAAGTCTCTTAAATAAAAATGGAGAGACCTGTAGGCTGTAGCACTAACTTAGGATTTTAGAAAATGTGTGTGAGTGGATGAACATAAAGTAAATTAATTCGAATTCAGTACTCATTTTATTTTTTACAGCAAGCCACAACAACTATAATACAGTGTGGTTATGCACCCTATCATAAACCGCACACAACATAGGAAAAAACAATCTGAGAAAAAAAAAATCAACCCTAAGAAAAAGCTTCCAACTACCTCATTAAAGAAACTCTTCACTAAGTCTTGCTGTTTTTAGTTGATGCTACCAATCATAAAGTCTCCATAACTGTTGCGTAATCATTAAACTGGAAAAAGAACCTATGCCCACAGAACCGCAGTTGCAATACACATGAATGAGCTTAATTATTATGGATACAGACTTCAAATTTCAGGTCAATTAAGCCGATTTGATGTGGAGTTGCAGGCGAGTCATTCCTGAATCAGCATTCCCATTTGATTCCTCGAGTCCCCTCCGTCACACTGCTATCGTCGTTGATTCTCAGCTACAAGTTATCACAACCAGCTGCCGTTAGAGGTGGCAATTGGATCGGATTCGTGAATTCGTGGATTGGATTGGTGGATCCATGAATCAAATGGATTGGATCCAATGGATTGGTGGATTCATGGATTGGATCAAATGGGTTGATGGATTGATCCATGAATCCAAATGACATCCAAGGCTTGGACCAAAATGTAAATTTTGAAAAGTTTTGGTACTAAAATGTCATAATGAAAAATGTTAGGTACCAAAATGTAGTTTTCCAATGATACTTTTCGTATAAAATAAAAAATTTAGGTACCAAAATGTAAAATATAAAAAATATAGGTACCAACTCGTAATTTGTCATTTGGATCCATGGATTGATTCATGAATCCACTAATCCAATTGGATTTGGATCAAATGGATTGGATTTAAATGGATTGGATTAGGTGGATAACTTGGTCGATGGATTGGATTGGATTCATGGATTTGGATCCTAATTGCCACCTCTACTGCCGTGATCAATCGACCAATTTCGATGGAAATGAGAAGAATTTGAGAGAACCAGCGGAGTTGCAAAGCAGAGAAGAGAGATAGAGAGAGAAAATAAGAGAGAAGGTAAAAACAGGAAGGGATTGTATATTGTAACCGCCATTTTCTACATAGCTGGTGTGTTCTCCGCCGGCAGTGGCTGAGCTACGTACGTTAATGGCAGGGAGGCTATATATAGACCCCACAACTCTCAAAATAAAGTACATGTAAATTTTGTAATGAATGTGGTAATGAATGAAGAAGGGGACGGGATTCTCAAAAGTATGATTCAGATTTGGGTATCGTTGTGGGAGTTGCGGATGAGTGGTCGAGTGGACTACTAACACGTATTGAGCAGTCGGCTATGTCCACGGTGTGGTCCGGTAAACCCCGATATAGACCAAAACAGATCAAAACATCATATAATACAGACCATATATCAGACCATACTTAACGATTTACGATCCGAATCAAACTGTACGATCCAGTTTGGACCATGATTTTTCAAACGATTTGATCTATTTTCCCGATCCAAAAAACGGACTTTTGGAAAAACAAATCCAAGGTGAATCTACACCCCTAGTCAATGTTAATTATTTTTCTTCTAGAAATTGGAATAGGGCTCTTCTAAAAAACCAAGCAAGACCGTAAGCAGTTGATTGGGTCAATATAATTAATTGGATTGTCATTTTTTTCCGACTGCTGAGCTCAATTAGTGTTGTGGACTTGGAGTCTTGTGAGTGGAGTTATAGCTAGCTTCCTAGTCCCCCACTCCACTAATTAGTAATAAAAGTGCCATTGCGAAATTATATATTAGATGGAAGGAATTCTCCCATATCCTCGATCTCTATACCAATGCACATGATTAGCTAGCTAGCTCTACCACAAGACTAACACCAAAAGTTAAGTTGGTAAGATTCATTACCATTCAACACGCCGGACTGACCGAATTTTATAAGGAAAAGGAAGGGGGAAAAAGCAAGCCAGGCGCATATACACTTCACCACTGACACGCATAGCTACTCGGAAACTTCTCATCACCGAAAGCAAGACCGTATCGTTATAATTAATTAATAACCATCCCAGTTAAGTTGCAGATGATATGATGCGATGGAGAAGAAAAAAAATGAAATCCCCTCCGATGCACAACAATGGCGCTTGTTCCTCTTATTCATCATCTTGCTCCCGTTGCGGTGGTTTTGCTCATCTTCTATTGTTGTTGTAGCATTCATCCCGGGGTCGCAGTGGACATTCTGCGCCAAGGCGGCCCAGCCCTCCCTCCCGGTTCCAACTCCTCCCTCGACAGCCCAAGCGGACAATTCAGCTTAGCCATCACCGAGTTCAACTCCGACAACCTCACCTGCCGCTACCTCGGCCTCTGGTGGGAGTTCCGCTACTTCATCTGGACAGCCGACGGCAGCTTCCGCATCTGCGACGGCTCGGGCCGCCTCGTCCTCGACCGCAACGGAACCCTCAAGCTCACCCACTCCGCCGCCGGCCCACCCCTCGTTCTCTACTCCAACAACAACAACACCACTAGCAAGAACCTGACCGCCGCCGTCCAAGACAACGGCAGCCTCGCCGTGAGGGACGGGAACGATCCGCTGTGGCAGAGCTTCGACTCCCCCACGGATTCCTGGCTGCCCGGGATGAAACTCGGGCTGGTCAACACCGGGCAGAACCGGAAGCTGACGTCATGGCTGGTCGATTCCCTCCCGGTTAAAGGAGCCTTCACGCTGGAGTGGGACCCGAAGAGGGAGGAGCTCGTGATGAAGCGGCGGGGCGCGCTGTATTGGGCCAGCGGGAAGCAATTGGGCCCCGGCAGATTCCAGAATCTGGACCTCACGGCGGGGATCTCGCCCGCCGGGCTCGACTACAACGTGACACGTGTCTCCAACCCCGCGTCCGACGGGGGCGAGGATTACTTGACTTTCGGGGTTTCCGTCAACGGAAACAGTGTCCCGGGGCAGTGGAACTTTTCCATCTTGGCGCTGGGCCACGACGGCGGGATCGAGGACAAGACCGTCGGGGTTCCGGCACTGGACCCGGACCTCTGCGACGGGAACAGCACGGAGAACGGGTGCGTGAGGTGGGGAGGGCCGGAGTGCCGGCGGAGCAACGAGGAGAGGTTTTATCTGCCGCGGTGGGATGAAATGCTGGAGGAATGGGATGAGGTGGACGGCGCGGCCAATGGGAGTAGTGTCGTCGCCGGTAGTATCAGCGACTGCAAGGAGTGGTGCTGGAACCATTGCCAATGCGGTGGGGTCAGCCTCCAGCGCGCTGGAAATGGCACGACTCAATGCGTTTTTTACAAGTACGGGGTTTCTTCTAACGAGTCGTCGGGCGTTCCCCGGGCCAACATGTACCGCCAAATTAAGGGTAAAGTTCCTAGAAAATACGACTCCGGTGGTAATGGCAGCACCACCGCTCCTTCCAGTAATCTCTCTCTCTCGATGCACCCTCCTTCCTTCTCTTGTGTTTGATAAAATTATATTTCTTTCTTGTGCCTTGTTAATTACGTACTCAAATGATGATGTTATATATCTAGGTTTATATAAAGTGTATTCATGATAGCGAATTCTATAATTACCTATGAAAAACATATAATTTGATATTTTCATCGCACATACCTGCAATTCAGCCAAACATAAACTAAATAGTTCCATCGATCAACACATTCGGTAAGTTTTCAGCTACCATTGCAGTTTCCCCAAGTGCAGCCCCATCAGCATTTGAACCTCCGGCTGCACCAAAAGTCAAGAATAGTAGTGAGAAGTGGGTAAAGAAGAGCGGGAAGTGGGTTTTGGTTGGGATCGCATTGGCGCTTATGATTCTCCTCATATTTACCACGTTTTGGTACACGAGGAGGCGAAAACTCAGAGGTTTCTGATTTTTTGACATTCGTTTGCTTTAAGATTTTTTTTAGTTTCTCACATTGGGTTCATCAATTTTTATAGTCGGCTAAGTTTCCCTCTTCTTTAGCAGAGTTGATGACTGCAATGGAAGATGAAGGAAATGGAGGGCACGATCATTTGACGGTTTATAATGTGGCGATGATCATAACCGCTACAGATAATTTTTCTCCTCAAAATAAGCTTGGTCAGGGAGGTTTTGGACCCGTTTACAAGGTAAAACTTCTATGCAATTATAAGAGATTTCTTTTCATTTTAGAAAGGAAAAAAAAACTGGACTAAATGGTTCATTAATTAGTATTCTGTTGTTATCAATTTGAGACCAGTTTATCAAGCCCATCCAACAATCTCAATGTATGAGCTTTTACAATTTTATTTGTTTGTTTTGAACCCATTTTTGTTGTTGTCCTATGTTTGGAGATTGTGACTGGCCTTTCTGATTAAGGTTTGAAGAATGTGTTAATATACTCCTTCTAACCCCTCAATAATTTACACTCTCCTTAAAATGTAGTGAAATTGATCTCTTTGCGAACTACCTAATATGCATTTTATGAGTGAATCATATAAATTAACATGTGTGTTTTTATTTTCATTCTTTGTTAATGGTTGATATGTAATAACATATATGCCTTAGGGAAAATTACCAAATGGGCTGGAAGTAGCTGTCAAGAGATTATCAGAAACATCAGGCCAAGGCTTGGTGGAGTTTCGAAATGAGCTAGTACTCATAGCTAAGTTGCAACACAGAAACCTTGTTAAGCTTTTGGGTTACTGCATCCATGAAGAAGAGAAGATGCTAGTATACGAATATATGGCAAATAAGAGTTTGGATTCTTTTATATTTGGTAAGTAAAATATCTATATATTACAATTTTGTGATACCTTCTTCCTACTAACATTGGGAGTTTGTTTCTTGTACCTATTGTGCTCATGACAGACGAATCGAAAATATCACAATTAGACTGGAATGTGCGTTTCAATATTATTGAAGGAATAGCTCAAGGTTTATTGTACCTTCACAAGTATTCGAGAGTGAGGATCATACACAGAGATCTAAAAGTTAGCAACATACTGCTTGATGAAAAATTTAATCCAAAGATCTCAGATTTTGGATTGGCACGTATTTTCTATACAAATGCTTCGAAGGCTAACACAAACAGGCCAGCCGGAACATTGTAAGTCATCCTCAATTTCTCCACTCTTCACATTTCAATACTCTCTGCCTGGATGAGCAACTTTACATCAAACTAGCTGTATGGTGCAGTGGCTACATGTCTCCAGAGTACATGATGGGAGGTGTTTTCTCCACAAAATCTGATGTCTTCAGTTTTGGCATTATGTTGCTGGAAATTGTAAGCGGAAGGAAGAACTATCGTCTTATTCAACAAGATCCACCGATCAATCTCGTGGGATATGTAAGTTTATGGCTTTTATTTAGTTATTGGAATTACACTTGCAATTGGAAGAAGATTGATCTAATTCAAAAGTAGCTTGATTAATCACTTGTACAAATGTATCTGCAGGCATGGAAGCTATGGGAAGAAGGCACCCCATTACGGTTAATGGATCCATTCTTGAGCGATTTTGATAACTATAGGGACCAGATACTTAGATGCATTACCATTGGGCTACTATGCATAGAATACAAGGCAGGAGACCGACCGTCAATGTCAGAGGCAATATCAATGTTAAATAATCAAGTTGCACCGTTGCCCATACCAAAACAACCCGGCTTTACGACGCGACAGGGAAGTATTGGTTCTGAGAGAAGGAACTTGCCAGAAAACTGTTCACACAATGATGTCACGTTGACAACAATGTATGCTCGATAGGTAGACATCGAGGATTCTATCACTATTTTTTTCTTCTTCTTGTATGTATCTTAGTATAGCAACAAAGACTTTGACATGGTGTTCTTTGAATGAAATACGAGGATCAGAAATAAGAACCATATAAAACTAGTATTGAAGGAATAGCTCAAGGGTATCCTGATCATTGATTTTTACGCAAGTGATTGGTCATGTTAGTTGAAGGCCAATGAAAGAACACCATCTCATCCAAATTTACTCTGTTTCAAAGATTATAGAGGTTATTAGGAATGAACCCTTTCAAAAATTACCGTAGAAATTGAGCATTTCACTAATATACAACTTTATTATAGCTAAAATATAATGTAATAAAAGGAAAACTTTAGGTAATTTGATTAAGATTACATATAATTTAGATAAGAACGGGTCGAGAATGGGGCGGATCAAGGCAGGTCGGGTCGATGAGAGTACCCATGCCCGCTCCGCCTACGGAACGGGTCGGACCAGCCCAAAATAAGCCAAACAGAATGGGTAAAACGGATCAGATCGAAATTACAATCCTAGTGGTAATGTCACCGGTCTAAAATCTGTAGGTCCCACTTCGAATCCATTAAATTATAAATAGTATAATAAAATTAAATAAAAACCTATATTTTTATTTTTATACCGGCCGGCAAGTTTCCCCGACTATTTGGTTCTCCTCGGCCCATTTCGGTCTCGCGCGCCGCCCATGTTTCTGGAATGGCGTCTCATTAATTTGTATAGTGATCTACTACAAATTGTGACCGCCCAAAATAGGTTGACCCATTATTATTAACTTGGTCGATTCTAGTTAGTATTTTAGTACATGAAGTCATCACGCAATTAATTTAGGCTAACTCTTGGGATGTTTTCATCATGCATTATCATTAGGCTAACTCTTGATGTGGTGGATGTTCTCAACCCGCATTATCATTAGGCTAACTCTTGAGATTGTCTTTATTTCACACTTTAAAGTCAATTTCATATAATTTTCAGTGAAATTTATCTTTTTTCCATACGATTTTAACATTTTTAATACTTTTTAATTTTATTTCATCCTTTTCAAAATCAATTTCATGTCATTTTAAAGTGAAATTTTACCATATGTTAACCTTTCCTACCAGCATAACATATCCTAAGTTTCAGTTACAACACCCATAAATGATATGTTCCGTGATAAAATACATCGAACAAGATATATCATGATGATTATGTTGGACACAATTTTATATGGTCTTGGATAAAAAAATTATGTACCATTCGAAACTAATATTCCTTTTACATATGATTTTTTTACTATTAGTTTGTCGCAAAAAAAAAAATTATTGGCCCCTCCTACCGAAAATCCTGGCTCCGTCCCTGCGAGAAACATTAGCACAAATAGTAGCTCAACTGCCAGCAACCTCGAAACCCATTCAATCAACAAAGTCACCATGACAACAATGAGTGGTCGGTAATATAAATCTTAAATGCTCAGACGTTTCACTTCATCGTACGTATTAGTTTTTTCTTCAAAATTTAGTCTTTTTTGCCCCTTTAATATCATGCTCATTAATGAAAAAGAACTCATCCTGTATACACATGTGAACATTAGTTAGGTGTATGTTGTTTTATATTTCACGTCGCGAACCTCTTTGTTTTAGAATTTATGGTGCTAGTTTTATTTTATGCTGTATGCATGTATTTTAGTTCCCCTCCCTACAAAAGATAGAATTAACTTAATAATTCGAAATCTAAAATCTCTCGAATTATAACATAATTTTCTCTCTACATATTACGTCTCTTCCATAAAAACATTTCGATATGTATGAGGACTGATTGTGTGATGGAGAAGAAGATCAAGAAATGGCGTCTGATTAGTGTGTAAGATTTGTCTATGGGCCTAGCCCACTACCAGTCATAAACGACACGAGTGAGAAATTTCTTCAAGAGTCATCATATTGATTGATTGACAGTCCTGAAATGAGCAGATTCGCCACGAGTTAGCCATTTCTTCTCGTGCTGAATAGTCGCTCGAGACTCGAGAGTGACGGCAACTCAAGTTTCGGGTGCCCAAGTTTCTCCTTTGCCCGAGTTTCCAACGGCACCCACGAACGATTCCGATGAAATAAAAACGATTTACGGAACGGAAGAGATCAAGGATAAGAATCATGTGGCTGCCAGCTGCATTCCAGCTTCCCCATCCTCCTGCTGGTTGACTTTACCGTCGACTTGGTTTTGTTTTTGTTACACACAAGTCATTTTATTTTATTATGTATGGGTATTTCAGTTCACTTATCCTCTGGCTCTCCCTCTTCAGTACTCAGTTGCGGAAGCAACTCCCAAATCCCCATTTTTGTAATGGCTGCCGCCGGAGGAAGCAGTTTTCTATCAGCGCGAAAAAGGGAAACGTTTCGCGTTCTCAACCCCACCATTCTTCTTCTGCTGCTGATGCTGCTGTGTTCCCATTCTCTGGCTGCTACTAACAGTAGTAACGTTCCCAGCCAAGGTGGGCCAGCCCTCAATACCTCTTCAACCGCTCCTACTCCATCTGCTGCCGGGAGCCGGAATAAATGGATATGGATCACGGCTGCTGCAGCGGTGGTTCTGCTGATAGCCGCATATTTCATTTGTCAGTACCGGAGGAGAAAGCTCAGAGGTTCTGTGACTTTCTTTAATTTTGTCCTGTTTACAAGACTGGTCTTTCAAACTTAGAACTGATTGGTGAATCACTCTGACTATCATCGCCATGTGCAGAGAAGATGTTAGCCGAGTTTATGCCATCGGACACACCAATTGAGATGAACGATATAGAAAACGAGGGCAATTGGGGCCATGACCATTTGACAGTTCATAGTATGGCATCGATTGTCACTGCAACGAATAACTTCTCTTTGCGGAATAAACTTGGGCAAGGAGGTTTTGGACCTGTATACAAGGTAAGTTCTTCCATCCATGCTAGTTATAATTCTCATAGCTAGACTTTGATTTACAAATTCAAGCTAATATTATTGTTATCTCAGGGAAAGTTGTCCGAAGGACTAGAAGTAGCTGTGAAGAGGTTATCAAAGACATCAGGCCAAGGAATAATCGAGTTCAGAAATGAGCTCATATTGATAGCTAATTTACAACATAGAAACCTGGTTAGACTTCTGGGTTGTTGCATCCATGGAGAAGAGAAGATGTTGGTGTACGAATATATGCCCAACAAAAGTTTGGATTCTTTTATCTTTGGTAAATTTTGACAGATATCATGATGTGTTGTATAGTTAAAGTTGTGTGTTTCATTCTTGATTTCGTGAAAGTTCTACATGACAATATGTGGGTCTTGTATTTTTTTTTGTTCATGACACAGATGAATCGAAGAAGTTGTTTTTAGATTGGAATAAGCGTTTCAATATTATTGAAGGAATAGCTCAAGGATTGTTGTACCTTCACAAGTACTCTAGGGTAAGGATCGTGCATAGGGATCTAAAAGTTGGCAACATATTATTGGATGAGAATTTGAGCCCTAAGATCTCGGACTTTGGAATGGCACGCATCTTCAGCTCAAATGAATCGGAAGCTAGCACGAACAAGCTTGTCGGAACATAGTAAGTGGTCGCCAAATTTCCCCCACTCGTCATACTATCTTTACTCTAGTCGTGGTCAAGTTCTTGATATAAGTTCAAAGGATCCCTCAAGTACTATGATTTATTTAACCCTTTAGCAAATAATTTTGTGGTGTAGTGGTTATATGTCTCCAGAGTATGCTATGAATGGCACATTCTCCACCAAATCAGACGTATTCAGTTTCGGAGTCATGGTTCTAGAAATAGTGAGCGGCATGAAGAATTATGGAATCATTCAGCTCGACCCCCCTATCAACCTTGTTGGATATGTGAGTTACTGGGTTTGTTTTCTTTTTGCCATCTTAAGTAAAATACAATTGAACTTGAGGAAAAACATTATGGAATGTTTCTTGTATCAATTGCGTTCATGTTTTAATTAAATGCACCTTGCAGGCATCGAAGCTATGGCAAGAAGGCGCCACATTACAATTGATGGATCCAACATTGAGTAAATATGATTCTAATAAGGACCAGATAATAAGGTGCATCAATATCGGGCTATTATGCATAGAATATAATGCTCATGATAGACCAACGATGTCTGATGTAATAACAATGCTAACAAGTGAAGGCACACAATTACCCACACCAAAACAACCAGCGGTCACGGTAACTAGGCCGAGAAGCATTAGCACAAAGAGTAGCTCAAGCACCAGCGACTCCGAAATCTGTTCAATCAACAGAGTCACCATGACAGCAATAAGTGGTCGGTAATATGAATGTTAATATATGTTCTTTACTGTCATAAAAATGCTCCAACGTTCCACTTCATGTGTAAAATCTTAAACATTTTGTTGTGTCCGCCCTAAGATGGATTTTGCATACATATATAATCCATATAAATTTGTGAGTGTCAGGAGCCATTTGCTTCATGTAATTGAAAACCAAATCTCGGTCATTTTGAATTTATCACATTTATTGTTTATTTAGGAAGAAAAAAAGAGAGGGTGCCAAATTCATGGGCTATCATATTTGACAAATCCACCTTCTAGAATGGAATTTATTATGTCTTCGGTTATGGTGTCAAATATAGCACCTGTTGATTATTTCCATAATTAATTACAACCGATTTGAGTGATGAGAACATACCGTTGGAAAAAGGTAATAAAATGGAGATGGATAATATTAGAGGATGAGCATTTTTCAGGACAAATAAAATCCCTTTAAAAAACCCTCCTTCTTTGGTCTTCTTTCCTCCTATATTTAAATGTTCGCATAACTTTCAAATTTCAAATATTTATGCACAGAAAAATCAAATTTATTATTATCTACAAGATAACATACACTTTGTTATACTTTTTAACAAGATATGCGTTGGTATTGTATACCTAATATTTTTGTACACTCATTCAACAAAAATGTATATGTTTGTACACTCAAATCTCCTTGTACCAAATTCCATTTGCAAAAAGAAATTCTACAGAATTTTGGCATCCATTGTACAAAACACGTACATATTTTGCACAATGGGCTGCTAATGAACCAAACTGTTTTGGAGAGGCTTGGTGTGGGACTCGAGAAAAATTCAATCTATTTGGAAAAAGGTCGACTTGTTTATTAAAGAGTCGAGCTAGTGCTAAGCCTTGTTTAGCTCATGAGCCGGATTGTTTCAACTCGTGAACTGACTCATTTTTTGAGCTCATGAGATGTCTCAACATTGTGACTAGCAAGTCAACTCGACTATCGTTATTTCATTCATAAGTTATCTTGGAATCGAGGTTGAACCGAACTCCTGATTTTAATGATGAACTAATGTTTTAATAAATGAGTTGACTCGACTTAACTCATTAATAAACGAGCCAAGCTCAAACTTAGCTTGTTTATTAACTAAAGAAGCCTTAACAAAGTCAACTCGATACTACTTATTAACAGACCTAGTTGCACATAGTTTTTTCTTTACACTCAAATCCACTTGTGCAAAATGTTCGTTGTGCATAATTCTTTTACGTTATATCGTATGAATGATTCTATCAAGTATCAACTATTAACGAATAATTTTATAACAAATAATCGTTGAACGATAAAGTCTTTAACTTTTTCAGTTCATTATTTGGTAAAACATATATCTCAAGAACTGATATGCAAACTTTTAAACTCTTTTTTAATTTCTCAAGTATCATTGCATGAATGAGACTCGTACCTCGGATCTAGAAACATGGGCCGCCCAACCAAGTTTGGCCCGAGAGAAACTACGGGTAATCAGAGACGGGTAATTAGCATAAATGGTTACAAATTTTTGCACTTAGTACAAAACAGTCACAAACCTTTAAATTGTAACCATTTGATAACAAAACTTTTTTACTTAGAACAAAACGGTCACAAATTAAACAGTGTGACCATTTCATACCAGTTCAAACTTTTGTTACCGTTTCGTTGCAAATTAGACTTTTGGTGACCATTTTGTACAAATTAAGTTCAAAAGTTTTGTTAATGTATGTTAATGATATTATGTTGTTTAGGATGACAATGAGAGAATTCAATGGCTCACAAACGGGTTCCAGACTGCTTTTTAGTTGAAAAAACTATGTCTACTTTCTTACTTTATTGGTATCGAAATTGAAAGGTCAACTGAGGGCATTCTTATTCGGCAAAACAAATATGTCGATGAACACGTGACCTAACATCTTATATGTCGTTCAAGTGGTTAGTGTCATATACTTAACGAACAAACTACCCGACCTCAAAACATGACCAACATTTAATTTGTAACGATTCAGTAACAAACCTTTGCTCTTAAAACAAAACGGTCATAAATTAAATAGCGGTGACCATTTTATACAATTTTAAAGTTTTGTTACCGTATTGATACAAATTAAAGGTTTGTGACCATTTTGTACTAAGTACAAAGGTTTGTTACCATTTATGCTAATTACCCAGTCAGAGACCGAATCGACCCAAAGAGAAATTTAATGGTCCAGGTTGCAAAGAGTAATGTGTCCAAAAAAATTGTACAGAATTTGGCGGGAAAAAATTGAGGGTAATCACTATTCAATAAAATAAACCGTCAGGTCAGCCTGCCCTTGTCAGGATTCAAGAATACGAGTATATTTGAAGCAATAATTGTTTTTTCTGAGCATGTGCTCTAGTCTTGTGTTTACATGATAATATTTTTCTTAATAAATAACATCATCAATAATATAGTTCCTATTATGGAGCGACGACGGATCTTGTCGTCACTCGTTGTTTGACTTTGACCATTTTCAGCAAAACCTTCATCTTCATTCCCTCTCTGTACTCTTTCCTAACAAACAGCTCGGAAGATCCCATTTCCATGGCTGCTGCAGCCCAGAAAACCGGATTCTCATCAGCAAAATCCTTCCTTCTTCTCATCCTTATGCTGCTGTGTTCCCATTCTCTTTCCCTGGCTACTACTAATACTCTCCGGCAAGGCGGCCCAGCTCTGAATTCCTCCTCCGCCCTCGTCTCCCCAAACGGCCTCTTCACATTGGCCTTCCGGCAGCTCGAAACCTCCGAATCCAACCACAACAGCTATTATCTCGTAGTCCGCTACAACGACAGCAACCTCTTCCCCTGGATAGCCAACCGCGAATCCCCCATCCCCGACGACTCCGGATCCCTCTCCCTAGACTCCACCGGAACCTTGACGATCACCTACTCCGGCAACCACACCATCAGGCTCTACTCCTCCACCGACAATAATCGAAACTTGACCGCCCTGCTCGACGACACGGGCTGCTTCTCCCTGACAAACTCCGACGGGAACTCGCTCTGGCAGAGTTTCGATTCCCCAGCGGATTCCTGGCTGCCGGGGATGAAATTGGGGGCGGTGGTCAGCGGCCGCGGTCGAAATCGGCAGCAGCTGACGTCATGGCTGAGCTATTCCTTCCCAGGGGAGACAGGGGCTTTCGCGCTGGAATGGGGCCCCTCCTCCCCTGCCGCCGACGGAAAGGAAGAGCTGGTGATGAAACGGCGAGGCAGCGAGACATTCTGGACAAGCGGCGAGATTTTAGGACCCAATCGGTTCCGGAATCTCGACCTTCGAGGAGTAACGGCGGCGGATTTCAAGGTTTCTCGAGTTAAAAATCCGCCGGACGAGGACTACTTGACATTTTCAGCTTCTCAATTCACAATCTTGCGGTTGCGATTCGACGGCGAGATCGAGTACTACCAAAGCGGGAGCGCCATGGGGACTCTACTGGACCCACAAGTCTGCGACGGGAACTACTCGGAGAACGGGTGCCGGAGATGGGAAGGGCCGGCTTGCCGGAGGGAGAACGGCGGCGACAAGTTCGCGATCCGCGGGGGAAGGTTCAAGGAGAGTTTGGTGGACCGAAATGGCAGCCTTAGTATCAGTGATTGTAAAGACAAGTGCTGGAAGGACTGTGAGTGCGTTGGTAGCGTGATGAATGGAAGTGGAGATCATAATGAGACCGGATGTACGCTTCTGTACGGGGGATTTGACGAAGTACCTGGGCCGACGACGGAGTACTTTCACGTCATTGTTGGTGGAGCTAACGGCGGAGGAAGGTCACCGTCCGACGCAGATAGGAGAGCAAGTGGCCGTGGGCAGAACCATTGGATATGGGTTTCGGCTGCTGTAGCAGGGGCTCTCTCAATCGTCATTGTCTGCATTTTTTGGTACCGGAGAAGGCAAAAACTCAGAGGTTTGTGAACTCTGTTTTTCTCTCTCTAAAGTGTAAGTTCTTCCTTGTTGTTAATGTGTCCATCTTCTTATGGTAATCTGTAGAGAGGGTTCTAGCAGAGTTCATGGCACCTGATGCGCCCAACGATGTAGACAAGGTGGAAGATGATGGAAGTCACCAAGGACCCGATCAGTTGAAAGTTTATCCAATAGGGTCAATCATGACTGCTACAGGCAATTTCTCCCTGCAAAATAAGCTTGGAGAAGGAGGTTTCGGGCCTGTATATAAGGTAATTTAAGCTTCGATCAAATCTGAAAAGGAAGTGTTGATTTCTAACATTTAAGTAGATAGTACATTTATTCAATCATCATTTGTCGTCAATATATCTCAGGGAAAGTTGTCAGAAAGACGAGAAGTAGCGGTAAAGAGATTGTCGAAAAGATCCGGCCAGGGCTTAGTTGAGTTTAAGAATGAGCTTATCCTCATAGCCAAGTTACAACACAGGAACCTTGTAAGACTTCTAGGTTGTTGCATTCATGGAGAAGAGAAGATGTTGGTGTACGAATATATGCCCAACAAGAGTTTGGATTCTTTTCTCTTTGGTAAGTCGAAAGTATGTTAAGTACATTGTAATAAAGTATTTCGGTCTTTCTTTCTTGTGTCACTACTAAAGTTTGTGAGCTGGTGCCTATTCAACACACAAACAGATGAATCAGAGAGGTTACGATTAGATTGGACCAAGCGGTTCAACATCATTGAAGGGGTAGCTCAAGGGTTACTATACCTTCACAAGTATTCAAGACTCACGATCATACATAGAGATTTGAAGGTTAGCAATATATTGCTAGATGAAAATATGAACCCAAAGATATCAGATTTTGGAATGGCGCGCATATTCAAAACAAACGTGTCAGAAGCTAACACACTCAAGCCCGTTGGAACATAGTAAGTCTTCTCCACAAATTTCAAGTCTTCGTCTATTCTCACTTGTCCATATCTAACAACTTACATTACATTGTACAGTGGCTATATGTCTCCTGAGTATGCCATAAAGGGCACTTTCTCTACGAAATCGGATGTCTTCAGTTTCGGAGTTATGTTATTGGAGATCGTGAGTGGGAGGAAGAACTACGATCTCATTCAACTAGACCCCCCGGTCGACCTTGCAGAATATGTAAGCTTTTTCATATTTTACAAATTTTCTGAGTTAACTAAACACCAAGTTTGGAGGAGGCCTTTCTTGAAACCAATTGTTCTCCTTGTTGCGAATATGCAGGCATGGAACCTGTGGAAGGAAGGTTCCCCGTTACAATTAATGGATCCTGCCTTGGAAGATTCTTGTAACTCTAAAGATCAGATACTTAGATGTATCAATATAGGTCTGCTCTGCATGGAATACAATGCAATTGATAGGCCGGGAATGTCAGAGGTGATTTCGATGCTAACCAGTGAAGTCTCGCAATTACCCATACCAGAACAGCCAGGGTTCACAATGACAAGACTGCAAGAGAAGGAGGCGAGTTCGAGCACCAGAGGCTCAGGATTGTGGTCAAGCAATGAATTTACGATAACAAAGATCATTGCTCGGTAACTAGAGATATACAGAGGAAGTCAAAGGCTAGATATCCCACCCGTTACTGCCTATTATTGTCGTTAATCTTTTCCTCCGCATAAATATGTCACATTCACTTTTCAAATCCATAAAGAAAATCCTGATACAAGTTGTTATGTAAACTAGAGAGTTTCCTCCATGTGAATGCCTGCTAAATAGCTGCAATCAAGACACATTGACAATTGTGCGTCAGGTTCCCAAGTATAATTGTGGTTAGAAAGAAGAAGAAAAAAACAATTTCTCGTCGGCATCCTTGTGTGTTTTTGGCAAGACTCACGATCCAAAAATATACATATGCGTCTCTGCGCCAATTCCGGAAAGAATTTTGGAGTGATCGAAAAGGAATTGCGTAGGAATAATGAAATGGTTTTCTGTACATGTGCAGCATGCATGTGAAGACCTGAAATTGATTTCTCAAATCTGATTAACTATAATAATAGTGGGGGTGAGATATAGGTCTTGTCATCTTGTGGTCCTAATTTATTTGTTGACTGATTTTTATAATCGAATTTAAAAAGATTTTCCTGTCACCTTCCAGAGGTTAGCTTATCTTAGTCGTTTAGTGTCTGTCTGCATGATCAAAACTCAAAGCTCCAAATAATCTCATTTCAATGGCTGTGTCAGCTGATCCAGTGGAATCTTTCATTTCCTGGGTGTACATATTACTGGAGTTTCAGTCCAGCACATGACCTTGTGGCCGATAATATATGCATGTGGCCATCTATTAATTTGATCCCCTTTTTTTCATTTTCTTAATGGCTAGACTGCAGCTTCAAAGTTGAAAAGGCTATATGTAGTCACAGACTCAGAAGAATTGATTCACACAGCTAGCTAGCCCACAATCTCGTCGCCAAAAGCCAGCTATAGCAACGGATCAGCTTAAACCCTATCAGCGATCGATGGCGGGGAAACGCTTGCAAGGCAAAGTAGCGTTGATCACCGGCGGAGCCATGGGGTTGGGAGCCGCGGCGGCCAGGCTCTTCTCCCAACACGGCGCCAAAGTCCTGATGGCCGACATCCAGCCATCGGAACTCGGTCACACTCTCTGCAAGGAGATCGGAGCCGAGTCGGGCCAGCCCGTGACATACCTCCGATGCGACGTGACGAGCGACACCGACATGCAAAATGCGGTGGACACGGCCGTTTCGACGCACGGGAAGCTGGACATCATGTACAGCAACGCCGGGACAATGGGGCCGCAGAAGATCACCCCACGCGACCTCCGCATCTCCTCCCTCGCCCCCGAAATCTTCAGGAAGGTGTTCGACATCAACGTCTACGGATCGTTCCTGGCCGCGAAGCACGCGACCAGGGTGATGGGGAACGGTGGGGCCATCCTGCTGACCGGCAGCGTCGTGACGGCCAGCTACGGGATGGCCCCGCACGCCTACGTGGCGTCGAAGCACGCGGTGGTGGGGCTGACGAAGAACCTGTGCGTGGAGCTGGGGCCGTTGGGGATCCGGGTCAACTGCATCTCGCCGTATGGGGTGCCGACACGGCTGAGCATGGACGCCACGGGGATGGATGAGGCGGCGATCGAGGCGGCGTACGAGGCCAAAGGGAACCTCAAGGGAGTTGTGTTGAGGGCCGACGACATTGCCATGGCGGCGTTGAATCTTGTGAGTGACGAGTCCAAGTACGTCAGCGGGATCAATCTTGTGGTCGACGGCGGTCATTCCCTCGTGAGCGCTTGATTGATTAATCAATGATTTCACCATGTGATCGTTGAATTTTAATCTGGTCATTTTTGCTTTTTTTTTCGGCTTAATGCAGTCATGCATTTGTGAGTTTCTAACTTTCTTCTATATTATATTATGTTATCTCTTCTGTCTTTTCCCCCTTTTGTTTGAATACATAATTAATGAATGGCCAGATCGGCTTAACAGCTCCAGCTTTCAATATTGTAACTTATCCCTCTTGTAAGCTATTGTTGAAAAGTGATATTTCGGTAGTAAAACTGACATAAGCTCAGTTTCTCAAAGGCTTAATTGCAAGTTTGGTCACTCGAATTGCTACAAAATTTCACGTTTGCCACTCAAATTAATTTATTTCATTTATAGTCACTTAAATTAGGTTAATAGTCCAAGTTTGGTCACTGGTCGTTAGTCTCCGTTAACTTTTGCTGATGTGGCGGTCAACTCTTATAGTTGACCGTTAAATGAGTGACGTGGCGATTAAAAAATTAATAAAATAAAATAATTTAATTATTTTTTATTTTCCACCTAATTATTATAAAAATAAAAACCTAATTCCTTTTAATTGTTATTTTCCACCGCCCGAAGCCGTTCCTCTCCCCTCAGGTCGACGACCTCTCCCGGCCGGCCAAGCCCCGCGTTTATAACCCAAAATGAAGACTGCAAGGTTAAACGACTACGCGCCCAACGAAGCCACCGCTCCACCACCTCCTCCTCCGCCTACTTCTCCTCCACCACGCGGGGCTTGGCCGGCCGGGAGAGGTCGTCGACCTGAGGGGAGAGGAACGACTACGGGCGGTGGAAAATAACAATTAAAAGGAATTAGGTTTTTATTTTTATAATAATTAGGTGGAAAATAAAAAATAAAAAAATAAAATTATTTTATTAATTTTTAAAAATCGCCACGTCACTCATTTAACGGTCAACTATAAGAGTTGACCGCCACATCAGCAAAAGTTAACGTAGACTAACGGCCAGTGACCAAACTTGGACTGTTAACCTAATTTAAGTGACTATAAATGGAATAAATTAATTTGAGTGGCAAACGTGAAATTTTGTAGCAATTCGAGTGACCAAACTTGCAATTAAGCCGTTTCTCAAACAAAATAAAATAAATTAAGCTAAATTATTCATATTATAAAAATGCAAATGATGTCCAAAAACTTTTCTTCGTAGAGAGTAAATCATTAGCTCTTTCCACCCGTTGATTAGTAGTTTATTCGCAGAGAGTAATTGCTTGGTAGTTTCTCTTCCGCTCTTTTATATTGTTATGTGGAGAGTAAGTATGTCGAGTTAAAAAAGATCTTTCAAGTTATAAGGAGGACTGACTTTTGTATAATATAAAAAATTTAAATTAGAGATTAAGAAATTGATCAATTTATGTTGCTGGTATCATTTTATGTATTTGATTGCATAATCATGATGACAATTTTGTTTATAAGATTGCAGTTTATAAAGATTTTACATAATCATTTTATGTAAAAAAATTTACACCTAAAAAAATTATGAAGTATTATATTTTATACAAAAAATTTTCATATATTACATTTTGATACGTAAACATTTTAAAATTGATAAACAACCCAATTTTATGAGGTTACTTGTATGCTTTAAGAACATGAGGTATGCTTTATGAGGTTTCTCTTTTAGTTTAAGAAACTTTGTGGTTTGCATTAATAAATTTGTGGTATGGTTTATGAGATTTATGGCATGTTTCATTAAACTTGTGGTGTATTTTATATTTTTATGATGTGTCTGGTATGCTATAAGAAAATTTGTGGTATGCTTTAATTAGGGATGACAACCAAAATGGGTATCCGACCATCTCTGACCCAGTCAACGCGGGGAATTTTCGCAATTACAAGAGGTATGGGTGAAAAGTTTGATAGGGATGGGGGGATTTGGTTTAAGGGTCCCCGCCCCATATACATACCTGCCCCACAATAGTATGTCTTTGCATATAAAAATATATGGCTCATATTTTAATCTCGCAAAGATAGGAATGGTAATTCAAAAAAATAAAGAGCTGAAATGTAATTGAATGGTCACTCAAATTAAACATGGATGTTGTTGATGCCAAGCTCGGAGGAGCCTGCTTCAATGTGTTTGAGGTCTGGTGAGCGCCGATCTTCCTGGCCAACGTCCGCCACCAGCCTTCGAGATGGACACCTGCAAAACAAGAGGACCCGCCGACGGTGTGTCGGCGGGGACCTGCTCCGAAGTTCAAGTCAGTATTGAGAGGAGAGTAACCGGGAGCGGCATATTGAGCCGGCTCTTGAGAGAGATTTAGAAGTTCAACTCCAAAATGAACTGGCGAGAAAGCATAAATGAGCGTCCTATTTATAGGTGTCTCATGCTTCTGGCGTGGATGGCGTGTGATAAATAAAATAATATAAAAAATACTTTTATCTCACCACCAACCTAATATGCAATGGTTGGCGTGATTAACACAAACACATTTCAAACAAACTTATTACCTCTGTTAACTTATTTGGTGGCACAAAAAAGAACATCTGAACCAAACCATTTACCTTCCTCTTCTCCCTGTCCACGTGTAGTACCTAGGGCTAAAAGGGATTTGGGATTTGGTGGCTTGGGTGGATAAAATAGATGAGAATGACAAACTACCACAATGGTTAATTGCTTGGGAACTTCTCCACGTGTAAGTAAAGTGGTAAGAAGTGATACAAATTTCTTGCATCCAAGTCCAGCTCATGTATATGGATTAGTGGGTGGTAATTGCTACAACACATTTACTCAAACCAGCAAAAAGAAAAGGTAAACCTTGCCACCACCATCATTTTCATGTTGCCACGTGGAAGGAATTGTGGTGGCTTTGTTGGTGTGTATTATAAACAAATAATACCACCCATGGGAAAGGATTAATTACTTGAAGAGACAATTGTACATTTCCTTGGTTCTACCACCTGTATGTGAGCAGTAGATGGCCGGTTGGTAAGTTAATCCCAGTAAATTTGGTGCATAGTATTGTTTGATGTCGGTTGAATACCGGGTCTATCAGATGTCTTTCCCTCCATTCACCCTTCACTCTTTCACTTCTTTCCTCTTGTTAACAAGGTTATGCAAGTTATTTATTGCTTAGTAGATGTCCCTGCTCAGTCAGAGATAAATGATTCGGATATTATTGTACTTTCTTAATGCATTAATGGATGTTTTAATATTGGTTTTTTTGAATTCGTATTAAGAGTGGTTGTAATTTTGTTGATTTTGTGACTTATTAGGTCCGTTTAGTGTTATAACTGAAACTCTATATGTTGAATTAATAAATTCTAGGTATATTAATATTGGAATACAGGGCATGTATTGCTACGGTGACCCAAAAATCGTGGGTATGGCGTTGCAATACTCCCATGTATGGGTTTAGGGGGGCTATAGGTTTACGTATTTGGAAATTGGGATGAGGATCATTTAGAGAAATTCGCCCCATTGCCATCCCAAACTTTAGTTAACAAACATTGTGTTATGCTTTATGAGGTTTCTAGTCTGCTTAAGTGAACTCATGGTCTTCTTTAATAAACTTGTGGTATGCTTTATGAGATTTCTTGTCTTGTTCAGGAAACTTGTGGTCTGCTTTGAGTTTTCTGTTATTCCTTTTTAGTTTTGTGGTGTCGTGAGGTTATGATATAAATTATAAGTTCTTTTATATGTTTTGTGGTTTTTGTGGTGTGGTTTGTTGTGTTTCTGCTATGTTTTTATGGTCTACTTCATGATACTTGAAGTGAGGCATGAGACGCGAAATTAATGCATAATGTCACATGCATATGCCTCTCCCCTAATTTTAAAAAATGCCAAGTGTGTTCCTCTTTTCATAAATTCGCATAATTGTGGCCCGTCCCTCAAAATAAAAAAGTTATCAAAATTAATGTTCATATTGGTTGGAACTAATGTTAACACCATGCTAACATATTAGGTGTTAGCACCCTAACCTTTTGCATGTTGTAAGAGAGCAAGGCTCGTGGGGGAAAGAAATAGGAAAAAAGAGAAGCCTATGTGTGCATATATACAACAAAAGAAACCCCATATAACTCTATTTTCATTTTGAACTCCCTTTATTTGTTTTCTAGTCTCCTTGTTTGATTTATGAGTTTCACTACTGACTGTCATCCTAATTACTAATATGAATTTATTAAATTTATTTATGATGTGAGACAACTTGAGTTATCTATTAGAACTTTTTGAGATGAATGATATTAATTTGAGATTATTTCTGATTTGTGATAGATTGAGCCATAAAATAGTGTGCTTTATACATCTCATCGATTTAGAATGTATGAATCGTTACTTAAATGATTAATCAATAAATTTATAATGATTAACCTTCATTATTATAATGATCAATCATTGAATCCTAAATCATTAACTTTTCATGCATCCTTTCCATTATTATGGGAATAGAGCCATTTAGTTAATTTTAAATCACTTGATTGTTTCTTTATTGAACCGAAATCAAGGTGTTGTCGGGAGATGAAAATTTGTTGATGGGTACTGGCTAATGGGTTCGCGTGATTAATTATTCTGGGCCGAAATTATATTTGGCAAAAGAATATAGGATTTAAGTTATTGGATTGGACCATTATATGTATTTCATTCTGGCCCATCCAAAATGGTTTGTCCAATGTTAACTTTTGATTCGAGCGTGTGGAAAACTGAGTTAGTCAAAATTGAGCCGGGCCCAATCATGAGTCACGACACCTAGCTTCCAGCAAAACCCTCACAGCTCAGTCACGTTCTTCGTACTGACCTGTTTGCGCAGCCGGCCGACTGTGGCAATCTGACTGTTTGGATAATCGACACATATTTATCAGCAAAATAATATACGTTGATTACTCTCTTATCTTATTTTAAGCAACCGACTGCTAGGAGATCACAAACATCTAATTCTCTGCAACTCGTTGACCATTGTGGAAACCGAAAACCCTTCACATTTCCTTTCTAATTAAATCTCTGAGTTAGATCGCATTCCAATGGCGGCAGCAGCCCAGAGAAACCTCTCCATTCTCGTCCCAACAGTTCTGCTGCTGTTTTCCATTCCTCCTTCTTCTCTCGCCGCCAACACTCTCACCCAAGGCGGCCCAGTTGTTAACTCCTCCGCCAGCTTGGTCTCGCCAAACGGCCTCTTCACTTTGGGCTTCCGGCGGTCCGCCGTGGGAAGCTATCTGGGGATCTGGTATATCAATGCAACTAGCGGCTTCTTCTGGGTAGCCAACCGCGATGTGCCAATCCGTGATGGCTCGGGATCGCTCTCCCTTGACCAAAACGGGACGTTGAAGCTCACCTACTCCGGCGGCGGCGCGATAGTCAATCTCTACTCTGACAGCCGACGGAGGAGACTGATCGCCACGCTCGATGACACGGGCAATTTCGTGGTAAGCGATGTCGATTCAGGGGATTTGCTATGGCAGAGCTTCGACTCCCCAACGAATGCGTGGTTCCCGGGGATGAAATTAGGCCTCGTCGGCGGGGAGAACAGGAAGCTGACGTCATGGCTGACCGAGTCCATCCCGGCGGCGGGGGCTTTTACTCTGGAGTGGGACCCGACAGCCGGGAATGAAGAATTGGTGATGAAGCACAGAGGCGTGACGTTCTGGACCAGCGGCAAGCAATGGACCCCCAACCGATTCGCAAATCTAGACCTCAGGTTGCAGAGGGTGAATTACAACGTGTCCCGTGTCGTCGCCGGCCCCAACTCCGATTACCTGACGTTCAGGGCTTCCACCAACGAATACAGCTCCGCCAACCAATTGAGCTTCACGGTAGTGCGATTGAGGTACGACGGCGTGGTTGAGGATGTAAGTACGAGGATTGTGATTCTGCAGAGTGAGGATTGCCACGGAAATGGGACGGAGAATGGGTGCCGGAGATGGGACGGCCCTGACTGCCGCCGGAGTGGGGACGGTTTCCAATTACTGTGGGGCACGTTTAGTTTGGGTCAATGGGTGGACGAAGATAGCAACATGAGCATCAGCGATTGCAAGGAACAATGCTGGAGAAACTGTGAGTGTGGTGGGATTAGCTTGGATGGGGTTAACCGCAACGGCACCGGATGTCGGTATTTCAGGTCCGGCGGATTCATACAGTTGCCGAATCAGGAAGGGGAAGACCGGTATCATGTTATCATCGCCGGAGAACGTCAAGCCGATACTTCAAGTCAGTAAGCTATAAAGCTCTAAATACTTCATTTCCCATTTCCCCTGTTTTTTTCAGTCAGTTGCTTAAGAACTCTGGTGGTGGTTTTTGATCTCCAGATGCATCACGGATTAAGTGGATAGCGGTTTCTGTGACTGCGGCCGTGGCTATCCTGATCTTAGCCCTCTGCATTTTCTGGTTTCTGAGAAGGCGCAAGTTTAGAGGTTTGGCGATCTGTTGGTGCTACAGAGTCTTCTTGTATCTCGACATTGAATTGATCTGTGATCTCCTCTGTTTATCTTTGTCTGTTCAGAGAGGCTTCTAGCAGAGTTGATGGCCACTAATGCACCAAGTGATGGAGACGACATGGGTGATGATGGCGATCCGAGCCATCATTTGAAAATCTATAGCGCAGCGTCGATCATGATAGCTACAGATAGCTTCTCCATGCAAAACAAACTTGGAGAGGGAGGTTTTGGACCTGTATACAAGGTGACAATTATTTTCATCCATCAATGACACTTACATTTCTTGTAGCACCAATAGTCGAGAATTTTGCTTCAACTTTGGACTTCTAGACATGACTTGCATAAGTTTACATTTTCTATGTACTAGGGGACATTGTCGGAAGGAAGAGAAGTAGCCGTGAAGAGACTGTCGAAACGATCTGATCAAGGGCTAATTGAGTTTAGAAATGAGCTCGTACTCATAGCTAAGTTACAACACAGAAACCTTGTCAAGCTTCTAGGTTGTTGCATCCATGGAGAAGAAAAAATGTTGGTGTATGAATATATGCCTAACAAGAGTTTGGATTCATTTATCTTTGGTAAGTCGAAATTACGTTGCTCTTTGTTTTTATTTGGTTGTAGAGGTTTCAGGTTATGACACTAAGCTTGTGTGCTTGTGACTTTTCAACACATAACACAGACGAAACAAAGAGAGTACAATTAGATTGGAACAAGCGTTTCAACATCATTGAAGGAATTGCTCAAGGCTTGTTGTACCTTCATAAGTATTCGAGAGTGACAATCATACACAGAGATTTGAAAGTTAGTAATATATTACTCGATGAAAATCTTAACCCAAAGATCTCGGATTTCGGGATGGCGCGTATTTTCAAAACAAATACTTTGGAAGCCAACACAGCCAAGCCCGTCGGAACATAGTAAGCCATCCCCTAGTTTCTACTTTCCCACTTTCTTTACTGTCATGAAATTAGCATCTTATATTCGAATTATGTTGTGTAGTGGGTATATGTCTCCGGAATATGCCATCAAAGGCACTTTCTCCACCAAATCTGATGTCTTCAGTTTTGGAGTCATGCTACTAGAAATTGTGAGTGGCAAAAAGAATTACAACCTCATTCCATTGGATCCCCCGATCGACCTAGTGGAATATGTAAGTTATGAACTCTATTCTTATTATTTAAATTTTGTTGGGTATGAAGAAATTACATGCATTAAACTTCATACTCCCTTAGGGAGAAAGATTGGTATTTTCTAAAACCAATTGCTCTCTTGTTTGCAAACTTGTAGGCATGGAAGTTGTGGAAAGAAGGTTCTCCATTAGAGTTTATGGATCCAACCATGGAGGGTTCCGATAATTATAAAGATCAGATACTTAGATGTATCAATGTAGGACTGCTCTGTATAGAATACAACACATACGATAGGCCAGAAATGTCAGAGGTGATATCGATGTTAACTAGTAATGTCGTACAATTGCCCATGCCAGAACAACCAGGATTTATCATGACCAGACCAAGAAACCACGAGGGAAGCTCAAGCACTAGTGCCTCGAAATTTTGTTCGAGTAATGAAGTCACCATAACAATGATGGTTGCTCGATAGTTTAAAATACTACATGATGGATTTATTCAATATTTCTAGAGACAATTTAAGTTACTTACAATCAATGTTCAAATAACCTTTTTCCTGTAAGTGTGTGAAAAATGACAAATTCTATATTTCTATCTCTTAGAGACAACTTAAGTTACTTACAATCAAGGTTCAAAAAGCCGCTAGCCGCAAAGCACGCGTTGGGATCTTGCCTAGCGCCTCGTTCGCCTAGGCATTGCCTAATCGTGCCTAGGTTTTAGAAACAAAAATAACATTTTCATAATAAATGATGAATGAAATAGTTGTTTTACAACACTTCTACTTCACTTAAAATGATTAAAAACTTACTTAACACTTAACAATAAGAAAAATAGCTCACAAGTTCATAGAATACAGTGACGGATGCAGAATTTGAAACTTTGTCCTCTTTTCATAATATAAATATTTAACTAATAAATATTTATAAAAATAATTAAATCAAAATAATTCATTCATAGATAAAAATAAATGACTAATAGAATCATTGTTTTCATAAACAATCATGACTGGATTTCATATTGTGAAAGAAACGCAAAAACATTTGTTCTCTACACTCTTAAGTAAGTCTCTTTCAATGTATCCCACTAAACAATCCTTAGTAAATTGGTTACTAATTCGACTTCGAAACTTGTTCTTAATATAACTCAAAGCTGAAACGCTCTTTCTACACTTGCAGTTGCAATTGGTAGAATCAAAACTAATGGAATTGTCGCTGTCACTGAAAAATTTCAGGGTTGTTGGGGAAAAGAAGCAAAAAGATCTGATTAGGTCTTTATTGCAATAGGAATTTCGTTTATAGTATAATAATTAATTTTATGACAATCTATAAACAAATAATTGAGTTGTGTTGTAGTGATAAAATACTCTCATACCATGTTGTGTACTTGTGTACCATCATCAATATAAGTGTATATAAAGTATTTTTTTCCTTCGAAATTTATCCATATATGTCCCGTGACAAGGCTCAATAGCCCTGCCTCCGCCTAAGATAGAATAATAGTTCAATGGTTCGCAAAGTTCTTGAGATATTGAAAAGATCGAGAGAAAATATTGAGATAGTGAATTATGTTAATTTCTCCCTTTTGATATTGACTAACTAGCTTCGCCCAATAACACCTAAACGAAATCTAGGTGTGGTCGAACTGTGGCAATGTTTGAAATTTCTAAGTTGCTCCAAAACTCTTAGGTGAGGCATTTTGACTTTGCCAACTCTTAAATATGTTTAAGTATAAGGTTAAGTGGAACCATTCTTATAATAAATCATTATCATCGTATCAAAAGTCTTCAACAATGAAGACAGAAATTTGTGCATTCATACCATTTCTTCCACACCAACCATTATGCTAATTATTTAGTTTAGGTTCAAAAATCTAAAGTTGGTAACAAGTTCAAAATTGTTCTATCAAACGATCCATCATCTTTGCTATAAAAAAAAAAAAAACGGTCGATCATGATCCACCATTGACTTGGCTTTGTGTTGCATTACAACTCCTCTCAACCCCATTCCATTTCTAAAATAGTAAAATTCTAATGGCTGCAACCAAAGGAAGTAGCTCATCACCAACAGGCAAACCCCTTCTTCTTCCCAATCTCATCATCCCCACCATTCTTCAGCTACTGTTTTCTAGTTCTCTAGCTGCAACCGAAAACAGTACTCTGACCCAAGGCGAGCCAGCTCTGAATTCCTCATCCGCCCTCGTCTCCCCAAACGGCCTCTTCACTTTGGAATTCCGGCGACTCGGCTACCCAGACTCCAACGGCAGCTACCTCGGGATCCGGAACAGCAACTCGACCGACTTTTGCTGGGTGGCCAACCGCGACTCCCCAATCTCGGACGACTCGGGACAGCTCGCCCTGGACCAAAATGGAACCCTTAAGCTCACATACTCCGGTGGCCTTTCCGTCGAGCTTTACACCTCCAACAGCCGCAGCCGGCGGCCGCAGAGATTGGTCGCGGTGCTCGAAGACACGGGCAATTTCGCTCTGAGGGACGATGATTCCGGGGAATTGTTGTGGCAGAGTTTCGATCACCCCGCCGATTCGTGGCTACAGGGGATGAAATTGGGGATGGTCAACGGAGGTCGAAACCAAATAGTGACGTCATGGCTGACCCGTTTGACCCCGGCGAGCGGCGCTTTCACGCTGGAGTGGGATCCCGCCGGGGAGCAGCTGGTGGTGAAACGGCGAGGCACTGCGTTCTGGGCAAGCGGCAAGTCGTCGTCTTCATCTCCCAATTACTCATTCCGCGGTACCTTGGTTCAGAACTATTTCAACGCATCTCGCGTCTCCAATGCCGCAGAGGATTACTTGATCCTGGAAGCTCCAAGGATTTTTCGACTCACCCACCTAGGGGATTTCGAGGACCAATCCTTCGGGAGTTTCACAATCGGGTCACCCTGCAATGGCGAAACCAGGAACGCTTACGGGTGCCTGAACTGGGAGGGACCTGAATGCCGGAATAGGAATGGCGGATACAGATTCATGGAGCTGGAAGGTGGGTTCAGGAACGGGTCCTGGAAGGAGGTCAAGAATGGCAGCCTTAGTTTCAGCGATTGCCGGGAAATGTGCTGGAATGACTGTGAATGTGGTGGGCTTCGCGTCGACCTCTTTGATGGTTTTGGGATCAATGGGAATGACACTGGATGTCAGATGTTCTATGGGTCTGGGGGATTTGCAGAATTTGAAACCATTCAATTTCTGGACAGTTATCATGTCATTGTTGATGAAGCTTATGGAAAACCAGTCACACGTCCTTCAAACGGTATCATTTTGCTTTCTCCAATCTTGCTTTACTTACCTTCAATGATCAGTTTCCAATGGTGAGCGTGGCGGTTTGTCTTTTCTGGACTCCAGTTGCAGTTCGGATTGGGGCTTCGTTTGCTGCTGTGGGGGCTCTTGGTGTGGCCGTAATTTGCATTTTCTTGTACCGTAGGAGGCGCAAACTCAGAGGTTAGTGATTAATCTTTGTTCTTTGCTAACAGAGTCATTCTTCCAGTTATTGGCTTCAAGTTGATTTATGGTAACACTCTGCTTGTCGTTGAATGCAGAAAGACTTCTAGCAGAGTTGATGGCCCCTGATGATGCAGCAAATGATGGAGAAAAGATAGGGGATGATGGCGATCCAGGCCACAATTTGAAAATTTATAGCATAACATCAATCATAGCGGCTACTGATAACTTCTCCCTGCAAAATAAGCTTGGACAAGGAGGGTTTGGACCTGTGTATAAGGTAATTCTATCAAGTCATGTTTGTTACCTCCCTGCAAACTAAGTGGTCGTTATGTCCAACTCTAAACGTGATCATGAACATCATTATGGTCTTAGGGAAAGTTGCAGGAAGGTCGAGAAGTAGCTGTGAAAAAATTATCAAAAAGGTCAGGCCAAGGTTTGGTTGAGTTTAGAAACGAGCTTATACTCATAGCAAAGTTACAACACACAAACCTGGTGAGGATTTTGGGTTGCTGCATCCATGGAGAAGAGAAGATGTTGGTGTATGAATATATGCCCAACAAGAGCTTAGATTCTTTTATCTTCTGTAAGTCCCAAATGCTACATTATAATGAACTGTGTTTTTCTTTTTGCCATTACACTTTCATGCAGCAATGTTGACATTTGTGTGTTTGTGCCACATTTACACTTGCAGCAGATGAATCGAAAAGGGTACTACTAGATTGGAATAAACGGTTCGACATCATTGAAGGAATAGCTCAAGGTTTGTTGTACCTTCACAAGTACTCGAGAGTGACAATCATACACAGAGATCTGAAAATTAGTAACATATTACTGGATGAAAATCTGAACCCGAAGATCTCGGATTTTGGACTGGCGCGTATTTTCAATACCGATGCATCAGAAGCTAATACAAACAGACCCGTTGGAACATAGTAAGAGTTCCCTCCAAATTCACCACTCTGTACACTTTCTACACCATGCCTAGATTTAACAAACTTACTATGCTGGAACTATGCAGTGGCTATATGTCTCCGGAGTATGCCATGGACGGCAATTTCTCCACTAAATCTGATGTGTTCAGCTTCGGAGTTATGCTTCTGGAAATTGTGAGCGGAAGGAAGAACTACAGTCTCATCCAAGTGGATCCCCCTATCAACCTTGTGGGCTATGTAAGTTATTTGCCTTCTTGATGAAACCTTAAACGTAACTGAATCTAGAATTCTGAGATGCAAGGCACTCTTAACCTGCAATAGAAGGAAAGAGGAACCTTTCTTGAAAACCACTTGTTTCCCTTGTTAAAAATGTACCTGCAGGCATGGAAGCTGTGGAAAGAAGGCACCCCAATAGAGTTGATGGATCCAACTCTGAAGGGTTCATGTATTAGTGAAGACCAAGTACTTAGATGCATCAATGTAGGACTACTTTGCATAGAATACAATGCATACGATAGACCAGCAATGCCAGAGGTAATATCAATGATAATCGGTGAAGTCCCGCAACTGCCCATGCCAAAACAACCGGCAGTCACGATGATGAGACCCAGAAGCACCAAGGAAAGCTCGAGCACCGGAGAATCGGAAACCTGCTCAAACAATAAAGTCACCATAACAAATATCAGTGGTAGATGACAAAGATGGTGCAAGTTAGTCAGCTTTTAGTGTGTGAACTGTTGACTTGGCTATTCTGTAGACCCAATCATTCATCATGAGCCATATTTATGGTTCAAAGAAAGAAGACCGAAAGCTTCTCTTCTTCGCCCACCGTTGACTTGGCTTTTATGAGGTACGTTAAAACCATTGGGAAGTTGGTTTCATTTCTAGATTCTAATCTAATGGCGGCAATCCAACAAGCCAAACCTTTTCTTCGTCTTCTTCTTCTTCCCATTCTTCTGCTGCTGTGTTCCAATCCGCAGGCGGCTAACGTTACTACTCTGACCCAAGGTGGGCCAGCCCTAAATTCCACCTCCAACCTCGTCTCCCTAAACGGGCTCTTCACCTTGGGCTTCCGCTGGCTCGGCCCAGAAAAAGGAGAGCTCCTCCACGATAAGGGCACCTACCTCGGCATATCGTACGTCGACGGCAGCTTCTTCTGGGTAGCCAATCGCGGCTCCCCATTCCCCGATTCAGAAGGCGACGGGTGGTGGGTCGTCGACAATTCGACGACTCTAACCCTTGATCAAAATGGCACACTACAGCTCACATCTTCCTCAGGCGTTCCCGCCGTCGAGCTATACTCCAACAGTCGCCTGTGGAGGCAGAAATTGATCGCGCAGCTCGAGGACACCGGCAGTTTCTCCGTGAGGGATGCTGATGGCGGGAACTTGTTGTGGGAGAGTTTCGACTCACCAACTGATTCGTGGCTCCCCGGGATGAAATTAGGGGTGGTCAACGGCGGCCAGATTCGGAAGCTGACGTCATGGCTGACCTTCACCAACCCGATGCCGGGTGCTTTCACGTTGGAGTGGGATCCCACCGCCGGAAAGGAAGAGTTGGTGATGAAGCGACGAGGCACGGTGTTCTGGACCAGTGGCAAGCAATTGGGTCCCGGCAGGTTCCAGAATCTCGACCTCAGGGGAAGAGAACTGGATTTCAACATTTCTCGGGTCTCCGATCCTGCCAGCGGCGACGATTATTTGACCTTCTCAGCAGCTGAGTTTGCAACTGGCAACAATTCGTTCAGGTTCTGGCGATTGAGATACGACGGGGTAATTGAGGCCCCTAGCATCAACAAGACCATTCTGGACTCTGAATTCTGCGATGGGAACAGGACGGAAAATGGGTGCCTGAGATGGGATGGTCCTGAGTGCCGATCCAACAATGGTGACAAGTTTGTGGCACGACGTGGTGGGTTTATGAACAGTTTTCCGAATGGGAGCAGGTTTGATTCTAATCTCAGCATCAGCGATTGCAAGAACATCTGCTGGACAAACTGTAAATGTCTTGGCACTACAACCTACTTTCCTGGTGATGGCACTTCATGCAAGATTGTAGAGTATGGGGACTTCACTGACGTGCCGGGTTCCGATCAAGCCCTGTACTATGTCATTGATAGAGAAGCTGACGGAACAATTGATGCCCATCGCTCAAGTAAGCTTTAGTATCGTATCATTTTTGTGCATTTACTGCTTTCAAAACAATTGCTTGACAACAGTGGCTGTGTTATCTCTCCAGTTGCAACCCGGAATAAGTGGATAGGGGTTTCGATGGCCATAGCAGGGGGTCTCGTGATGGTCACAATCTGCATATTTTTGTACAGAAGAAGGCGCAATCTCAAAGGTTCGTGATTTTCGATGTTTATTACTGCCATCATTGTTGCTAGCTTCGAGTTGGTCTGTGATAACACTCGCGGCTGCTGGTTGTATGCAGAGAGACTTCTAGCAGAGTTGATGGGGGCTGATGATCGAAGTGACAAAGACAAGGTAGGGGATGATGGCAATCCTGGCCACCATTTGAAAATGTATACCATGGCGTCGATTATTGCTGCTACTGATAACTTCTCCCAGCAAAACAAACTTGGACAAGGAGGTTTTGGACCTGTATATAAGGTAACTTCATATCATACATCCATGCCAACTACATTTCTACCTTGGATTGCGGTTCAACTTGAGCTTCTAAACATAGGGTGGTTGGTGTCATTAATGTCTTAGGGAAAACTACCTGAAGGACGAGAAATAGCTGTGAAGAAATTGTCCGAAAGTTCCGACCAGGGCTTGGTTGAATTCAGAAACGAGCTTATACTCATTGCGAAGTTGCAGCACAAATACCTTGTCAGGCTGCTGGGTTGCTGCATCCATGGAGAAGAGAAAATGTTGGTGTACGAATATATGCCCAACAAGAGCTTGGATTCTTTTATCTTTGGTAAGCTGAAAATATGCTGCTACGTCATAAATAGGAGCTCCTTCATTCAACCACGTAGTTTTGATTGAAGTTTATGTGTTTGTTTCTCTTCTGCACATGACACAGATGAATCAAAAAAGTTACTTCTAGATTGGAGTAAGCGGTTCAACATCATTGAAGGAATAGCTCATGGATTGTTGTACCTTCACAAGTATTCTAGAGTAAGAATCGTGCATAGAGATCTGAAAGTTAGTAATATATTGCTGGATGAAAATCTCAACCCAAAGATCTCAGATTTCGGTATGGCGCGTATTTTCAAAACTAATGCATTGGAAGGTAACACAAACACAGTGGTAGGGACATAGTAAGTAGTTCCCCCTCAAGTCCTCCACTCTTCACTTTCCTTACTATACTTGAAGTTAGCAGCTTACATCAAACGACATTGTGCAGTGGTTACATGTCTCCAGAGTACGCCATGCACGGCACTTTCTCCACCAAGTCAGATGTCTTTAGTTTCGGAGTAATGCTGCTGGAAATCGTGAGCAGCCGGAAGAACTATGGCCTTATTCAATTGGATCCCCCAGTCAACCTTGTCGGATATGTAAGTTGCTGGTTTTGTTCTTTTTCTGTTGAAGTTGTAAGTAAGAAAGACAATTGATGGAGTCCTTCTGAATCCAAATTGATCTTCATGTTCTTGTCCAGGCATGGAAGCTATGGAAAGAAGGAACTGCGTTAGAGTTTATGGATCCAGCTTTGGAGGATTCATGTACTTGTAAGAACCTGGTCCTCAAATGCATCAATGTAGGGCTACTCTGCATAGAACAAGATGTCAATGATAGGCCAACAATGTCGCAAGTAATCTCAATGTTAACTAGCGAAGCTGCACAATTGCCCAATCCAAAACAGCCAGCATACACAATTGCGAGTCCAGGTAGCATTTGTGTGGAGAAAAGCTCAAGCACTGGCAACCCAAAGATCTTTTCGGACAATGAAGTCGCAATATCGACATTGAATCCTCAGTAACAAGCCGGAGAAAGTCAGTATGTAGCATTATTATTTTTCCTCGCTCTACATGTAAACTAGGTAAATGATATGTACTCATGAATCATTGATCCAACGATGCAAGTTCATATTTGTAAGAACAGTAAATGTTCGAACTGAATTGGATCCATAATATTTTTGTTAGAATAGATACAATAATGGATCTGCTTTGCAGATTTCCTGAACCAAGTAGCTTGATCATGTCCCCTTTCCACATAATTACAAAACCATTAGCTAACCTGGAATGAATTCTTGAAGTGATAACCATAGATTAATGATTGACAACAATAATACATTTCTTTGTAGAGAGACACATGGACATGGTCTTGTCGTAATTGGTTGACCGTTTTAACCTTCACCTCCTTAATCTCTCGTCAGTCATCAACTTTAGTCTGCAAAATCAAGAATTCGAAGTTCCTGATCTCATCAATGGCTGCGGCCCACAAACACAGCAGACCACCACCCAATTCCTTACTCTTCGATGCATCAATGTAGCACTGCATTGTATAGAATACGAGGCATATGATAGGCCGAAAATGTCAAGAGTAATATCAATGTTAACTAGTAACATTACGCAATTACCCATACCAGAACAACCAGGCTTTACAATGACTAGACCTAGAAAAAATGAGGGAAGCTCAAGCATCAGTGGCTCGAAATTTTGTACGATCAATGAAGTCACCATAACCATGATGATTGCTCGATAGTTGGTAGCTACTCGCTAGATCCTCATGAGTTGGCTTCCGTTTGCACACTGTGAAATGGAATGGCATAAATTATATTTTTTGGACTTTGAGCATGTTTGAAGTTTTTGAAAGGAAATTATTCTTAACATTGTATTAGAGTTTTTGACAATGCTAGAGATTTGAATCTTGATAACTCAAATATCTACATCTGATTTATTAACTCGAAGCTCAAAGATTGTTGTTAAAGGGACTGGTCAGCCTATTCTTGAACCTCTTCAAACAAATCGAATTACTATAAAACCAACTAGTTCTAAGATCATTCATTACGTGCAATATGAGGTAATTCCAATTGACTAAACATGCCACAAAAGCTATAAACTCACACTAGTTTCTGCCTTGGTATATACCAACCTTCAAGACAAATGTAGTTTGGTTCTCCACGTTTCTCCAATGACCTTCTGGGGTTGAGGATTATCAGGTCCTCTGTCCCTCTGCCCTGATGTAAAGTACAGCCATCCATCCCAGTACCCAACAAGGGTCGTCTTTACCCGGTAAGGAAGCTTTCCGATCACTGACCAGCTCTGGAAATTTCAGCAATGAAAGATCCTTTAAAGACCGAAGTCATACGTGCACAAATGGAAAGAGGAGGAATGGATTACCAGTGAGTCGAGATGAAACTGAAAGACTTCCCCAACCAACATCATCCTCTTGGTTTGAGGGTGCTTCTCTGTTGTGCCGCCAGCAATGATTATTGAATTGTTCACCACTGCCCACGAGCACTCGATATGAGAGTTTGGTTTCGGCATTAGTGGCAGAGTTTGCCACTTCATGGAACCGTCTAGCATGTAAACATCGCCATAAACCACCTGAAACGTTCCCAGAGATGTGCATAAGCTCCACAAAGTACAATGAACAAGCTTCTTGGTTGATGATTGTATCATCGTTTACCTCTTTCCTTCGAGAGCATTTGAAGATGGGTGAGTTGGGTTTGGGCATGAAATCACCCTCCTGGCCACCAATTACGAAGAGCTTATCATTTACTACAACACAACCCCTGATCCAAGAAAGAAAGCACCATATATGAATAATCTAATACTGTGAAGCACAAGCTTCTCCTGTCTTATGGATCATTCAAGTTGGTTACTGCCAAAAGATAATTAGTTACCTGTGTGGTCCACCACGAGGGATAGGCACCTCGCTCCGCCATTCCTTCTCCAAAGCTCTGCCATCCTTCACAGCAATGCTCCAGTGCTCAACTCCAGGAGTATGGCGATTCTCCTTGCTTCCACCCATCACATGGAGCCTCCCTCTCCACAACTGTGTGGCTGGAGCATACCTGAAAGAAAAGGAATCATGTTCATGAACTTTCTCCTCAATAGTTCATCAGCACATCATAAACTAGTCATGAAGGCTATCATACAAACCTGGGAGCTGGTAACCGAGGCAAGCTGCTCCATTGCTTTGTTTTAGTGTCCAGAGAGTAACTAAGAGTTATGGCTGTTCTGCATTGAGGACCTTTCTGGCCCGAGACAATGTACACGAATCGCCCATCAGTCGCCACTCCCAAGTGGGAATTCGCCATCTCTCTAGGCGTATCGAACCAGTCTGACCATTTGTTCTCACTCAAATTGAACACATCTATATGGGAATGCACCTAACACAATACAGTGCATCACAAATGAATCATCAGCCATTGCCACATAAACCAGAAGAAACCCAAGCAGTAAGCAGCAAACTCACATTGTCAAGATTGCGATACCCAACAAAAACATAGAGAAGATCATTGATTTGAACCGAGTACCCATCCAGTCGAGGCACAGGAGCTGAATCCATTTGTTCCCAATCCAACTCAGGCGCCGATAGATCAGCAAATGTCGCTGATAAAACCCTCCCATGCTCTCCTTCCTGCCAAGAGATTCAATTTTGATCACAACCCAGACCTCCAAAACAAGCTTAAGAATGAAATTGAATGAAAATCCGGCACAGAGCAAAACCTTGGAACTGTTGTGATCAAAGGGAGCAGGTACCACATACTTGTTGCTATTAGGTTTCTCAAGAGCCCAAATGGAAGCAACTGATCGATAAGCTGAAGAGACCGAAGAAGAAGATGCCCAGAAGGCATCGGCTACCAGAGCAGTAAGTAAAAGGCAAACGAACATCAAAAGAAAGACGAGCTTAGTTGTAGATACGCCGTGGCCGTGGTTGTGGTGGCGGTGAGTGTGCCCACCGAATCGCGCTGCCATTCGTAGTTATGCAAACCGGAGGGAAGAATAACGTCCGTTGTCGTGAAGAAAGAATCCATTTTTGTTATTGCTTTCTGAAGTTGATATAGGAGGAAAGAAGTAAAGAGAGAGAGAGAGAGCGCTTAGCAATGGCGGTGCATTGTCGGGGAATGGCGGAAGTAACAAAAGAATAAAAGTTCAGGAATTTGACGGTTTCCGAAAAAGTATTGGCTGCCGCCAGTGGTTTTCGGATTCTGGAGTTTCTGTCTCTGTTTCCCGTTTAGTTTTCCCCGGGACTTTTCGAGGTGCTCGATAATGGTGGAGAAGCAAGCAGCACATGGGGAAAGGGAAAATTGCCGGCTCCGGCGGGCCTGAAAATGGGCCTTGACAGAAACATGTGAGGTCCAGACTTCATAATTTTCAGATTTGAGCCTTGGGCCTATATAGAATGCGGTGTTGGAGGCCAACTAATTTAGTGGCCTGCTATGCGTTTGTCACCTCGGAAGTTGTGGAGGTTCGACTATGATTCTTGGTTTCGTAGTTTATAGAGTATTTGTGTAAGGATATGATCTTCTCTTCTCATTGATAGTGGTTTAGTGTAAAAAAAAAAATTATGATAGAGAAATTCGTCAAAAACAAAATTTCATCTGTTTAGATATGTGGCACACCAATGAAAACGATTTATATAGGCACGACAATATTATCGAAGAGTATTAGGTGGTTTGACCGAAAAATTCAATTGAACCACACACTTTAACCCTATCATTACATTGTGGATGGATGTGGGTTCCAAAACAGATTACCCACCGAACATCGTATGAATTGATGGAATGCGGTTGAGCCACGGTCCACCAAACATTTAAAAATCCAAATACATAGATCCTCTTATATTTTATTAAGTAATTTTGCCAACATATCATTAGTGTGAAGATTTAAAAAAAAACGTTTGAATCACATATGATACATGGCAATATTCACACAAGGGAACAAATTCTTGATTGAGTTTGCATTTAAAATAAATATACCAATTTATAAAGTGACCCCTATAGAAATCAATTATTATTTTCCCTCACTAGCTCAAAAATTAATCCTGCTGTTAATTAATTGCATAAAGTGATCATCTGCCAAAGAGGACAACTCTCTGTCGTTCATTCCCCTACAATTACTACAGATATCTTTATTTAGCCACACAAATTAGGAAAAGGATTGGCCCAGAAACAAAATTGCTTTTTCACTTTCCATATCCCGTAAGGATTCCCGAAACCCCTTTTCCGTTGCTGGATAGGACAAGGAAAGCACAATAACAACAATATAGATGCTGCTCAGTCGATAGTCTTTACTTCCGATTCTTTCCCATCTCTCTGAGTCTCTGGTACCCTTTCCTTTTCGTGTTTCACGACAATGAAGCTTCGCAGTGAATTTAAGGCTGCCAACGCTTCCGGATCTCTCTGGGCGGAGATCGCCGCTCATTTCTGCTTGCGGAGGAGCCGCCGTCTAAACCCTGCTCTGAAACCTGCGTCCCGGGACCTCCTGGCGCTGCCGCCGTCCGTTCGTTGTGGGAAGAGGAAGGTCGGTGGTGATTATTCGCCGTCGGGTGATGAGGAGGCGCAGGCGAAGAGGGCTCGGAAGGAAGAAGAAGAAGAAGAAGATGGGTTTCATGCTCCGGCGAATTCCCAAGGGGATTTAACTGATGCAGCGGAGAGTGATTCGGGTCAAACCGGGAACGAAAACGAGGCTGCTTGGGGAGAACGGGAAAAAGAAACGACGCCGTTGCCTGCTCCGATTTCGGAGGTTTCGACGGAGGAGCAGGGCAAAAATAACGAGGCGGATCCAGAACCAGAACAAGAAATTTCGGGGGAGGAAAAGGGGGGAATCGACGTCGTTCCTGGAGAACATCATGATGAGACGACGACATTATCGCCTTCAATTATCGAGGTTATGGAAATTGAGAAGAAGGATTCTACGGAGCGAGTGATTGCGGCAGAGGAGGAGATTTGCGTCGTCAACAGAAGCCCGACCTACAGCGACGTTTCGCTCGACGATCAAAGTGAAGAGATGAAAGAGGATTCGGAGGGAACGATGAATTCCTCCGATTAATTTGCCGTCGAGGAAGAAATCAACGAGCTTCCCCCGTCGCCGATGCCTATTTTTTGTGTTTCCGAAGCAGAGAAGGATACAGAGCAGGTGAATTTCAGCGATCCATTCTTGACAGGGCCTCGACTCCATTTCGCGTTGGATTTGGATAAGGGAGACGCTGGAAGGATTAATTTCGGGAAATCGGTACTGAAGGTGAGAGATTCCCCGACGGTGAATTACGGTGGCTGCGGCAATGGTGGGAGGAGGACTTTCCGACGAACGGAGATTTTCGCGGGAGAGGATTACAGCAGGATGGAAGTGGTGTGCCTGTACGAATCGCTTAGTTTGCCAATCGGGTGAGTATTATGGGCCGGCCTATTAGCCCAAAGCTCAAGTCCACGCATGAACCAACAAAAGGCCCATTAATCAGGCTGGAGCCCAACCGATGGGTAGACACAGTAGCTAAACATGAGTCTATGTAAGATGTGGTTTGAATATGGAGTTTGAATCCGATACTTTCTGTAACATGTTTCTTTGTATTTCCTTAAAAGCTCATTAAGAGAATTTAATTGCCAATGAGATCACATTTGTTTGATGGAGTAAACTATTAGCTTAATCGGGTGCCTATTGTATGGTAAATATTGTATTATATTGGTGATTGGAATATATATTTGTATTGATTGGATACCTTATTCTAATTAATAAAGTAAACACATGCATTCGTTTAATAAAAATGAGATATTTTGTATATGTGGAAAGTAATCTAGCTCATTAGAGTTTGTAAATGGTTTGAGGTATGCCATAAAATCATATCATAAACTTATTAAGTTGGTTTTGACAATACGTGCAACGACGGACAATCGACAAAGTAAGAAAGCAAATGGCATGAAGATTTATAAAATTGGTCAATACAATGTATACATGTTAGTTACTTCATGGGCATTGAGAGAAACTGTGACTCTCTCAAACATAAGATAAATAGATTGCTCAATTGCATACCAACAAAATCGTACTAAAAAATTCACTAGTTTTCTTGTAGCTGTGAATCAAGTTACAGTCTCTCACATGTACGAAAGGAATAACATGTACACAAACCTTGCAGGTGTGGAACATAATGTATCTTTGAATTCACATTGTATATATTTACCAACTCATAATTTTATGCACCCATTGTATTTACCTTGAATTGAAAAGGAAGCATGCATTTGCATCCAACAATGAGAAATCAAAATAAATAAGGTATCAACCTTAATATAAAACAAAAGGTTTGAAATATGAAATTAGAAGAAATTGAACCAATAAAAATAACATCTTAAAGTGGTCAGATCAAATATCATGAATTCTCAACATATTATTTTCTCTCATTTTAGCACATATATGATCATATGTAATTTAGTGATCCATAAATGCCCTAAACCAAGGTCGGATTTCGACCAAAAATATATAATAAAAAATTAACCAAGATAAAAGGAGAATAAATAACAAATCTACATTACTACAGACAAAGCTCAACACACCCCAAAAATAGATAAACTACCTGCCATCAAAATCTGATTCCTCCGTGAACTCACTATTGACACCCTAATTTTGTATTGGCGTCATTTAATAAAATGAACAATTGAAAAAATTTCTTGAAGTTCGTGGTGAAGAATAAATAAATCTAAGTCCCGAATGGAATACATGAGCAACTAAACTCGACAATGTTGCCTATAAAAATAGCCGCTTTTGGCTTATTATTCAACAAGTCGTTATTGAATATTGGTCTCTTGTGTTGTGTGAATATTATTAAATAAAATGAATTGATGGTGCCCTACGATGCAAATCACTCGCTTTTGCATTAATCTCATTTTCCCCCATCTACTCATCAAATCAAATTGTGCCCACCGACCTAATTTTGAGCTAGCCTTGGCCCACTCTAGACATGACTTTGTGAGCAACCCTAATAAATTAAATTTACACACCAATAAAAGTCAATTAGTACGGTATTACACCCACTTTTTATAACGATAATAACAACATATTGAAGATACGGTTGCATTTAAGTATATATTGGGTGATTTTGAAAATTGGTATTCAGCGTATGAAAATTTCCAAGACACCAAATCATATAATCTTGAGTATACAAGGTAGGACGTATTTGTAAAATTGGTATAAAGAAAGTGTAGTTTCGTGTATAAGTGTTGGGCATAATGATATTTTCTTACACATACAGAGATCACATAGTAACATGCAAAATTAATCGACATAGAATTGACACAAAATAAGCAAAACTTGACTGTTATGGCATACTTGAACGGTTAGATATCATTCGTTTCATTTTTGTAATGGAGGAGGCGATAATATCACTATTTGGGTTTGTGCATTTGCAATAGCTCCACCTAGAATATCTATGATATGATGAATGTCATTATAATATAACCGCATTACCATAATGCCACTAGGACGGGATCTCTTGGATTCCATCTTCTATATAGGATTTATTTCGAGTTGATACAAGCAGGACACAGTTGTCAAATATGAATACCGACAAACTCCATGAATTTGATATTGAAAACAATTGTTTTTGCACCGAACTTCACACAAACTTGATTTCTCAGTTATACATAAAGTTTGACATGATTTTAATATTTTATCTACCAGAAATGTACCCATAAAAAATCAAAGTATATAAGGATGTTGATTAAATTAACATTTTCAACTTAAACCATGCAAAATAAATTAATAAAATTAGATGTGAAAGAAAGGTACGCGAAATACTTAAAAAACATCTGATGTGTATACGGTAATGGGCCCGGGAAAGATAAGAGGTGAGGGAGGGAAGGAAGGGACCGCAAAAGTGTGGGATGGTGGTGCACCAAATGCCACCTAAATCTCAATTGCAAATCTCAATTTCCTTTTCCCCACAAACCCAAACAATCTTCCCCAAAAACCTCTCCCAGTCGGGGAAGCAAAAAAATGCACCCCGTCGACGGGGAACGAAATTTGCAGCCAATGGTAGTCACTGTCGAGGAGAGACGGCTGCAAAATGGATAGGGGTACAGTTTTAGCCAGAACACGAGACAATTGGGAGATCGAGCAGAGTTCTTCTTCTTAGCTTGTTACCACGCCACCACGTGTTGTACATCTCCTTCTCTTTCTCCTTCCTTCCTCTCCTCTCCTCCTACATTTAGCAAACCCTTTCGTTTTTCCTTGGGAGGTTGGGAGTGTTGATTTTTTTTTTTTTGGGTTTCATCTTGGGGTGGTGGATTAATACGGGCGATGATGAGTCAAAACTTTGAATGATTCTTCCAATTTACTATATAAAGATTATTTGCTAATTTTTTTCCCTCATTCAATTTTGCTCACACAGATTGCCCATTTCCGTAAATTTGTGTTGTTGGTTATGATGATGGTAGTGGTGGTGATGGTGGTGTTGATGAATGAATGAGGTCTCTCTAATCTCCTCTCTATCAGCATAAAGCTTCCTAATTTCTTGTCCTTTAATTTTTGCATTAAAATCGATCGACCCTCTTCCCCTTCCCCGTGTCTCGTTACCTTCAATTTTCCTATTTCTCCATCTGGGTTTCTTTCAATTTCCTGTCAGATTGAGGTAATTCTCACGTTTCTTCCCCGCTCCCTCACAAAATACATTTTTTGTTATTGGGCATTTTCCACCTGAAGCGATTTCTTTTTTTTTTCCTCTTCTTCTTCTGGGTTGTGATTGATCAGGGCGTGGATCATTCATCCTTGCGGGTTTTAGTGCAAGAAGGGAAGATAAGAATACAGTGGTAGCTAGATTGGGATTGGTTAGCAATCCTATAGATGGCGAAGAGTTGGGATCCATTTGGTGATTCGTGGAGCTTTAGGAATTTTGATTGGAATGTGGAGAAATCTCATTTTCTTGGAGGAGCAGAATTGGAAGCCTATGGTAGGGCAGTGTCTGATGATATTTTTGATCGTCTCCCTGTGGATCCGTTTGGCATGGACATCAAGTCCAGATTCAGTGCGGTGAAAGGATGGATTGGAGTTTTCGAGGCCGATTTTGGTGACGTTGGGGACGATGATGGCGAGAAGAAGTTTGTTGACGATGGATTGTTTTCGGGGTTTGATTGGTTTATAAATGATGGTGTGAGGCTGCAGTCACAGTCTAACATCAATATCGGTTCGATCTCGATTCATGATAACATCTATGATCTAGGGATTGATTGTGAATATGGCGATTTCGGTTCAAAAATTGATTTCGACAATGTGATACTCTCCAGTAAAGGGAAAGAATCAACAGGAAGGGAAGAGTGTGATGCAAATGCTTGCTCCGTGTCCACAGATGGTTGTTCTCCTCACAGTTTGGGGATTGATTCTATATTTAATGTGAGTAGTGGAGTTGTATTTGATGAAGAGAAAGAGTGTGAAGATAAAAAAGGTGGTGAGCCAACTGATGGTTTCGATTTAGTTCTGTCTTACCTAGGTGTGAGGGAGCTCCTTGTGGTTGAAATGGTATCCAAGTCTCTCCGTGATGTTGTCCGAGATAATTCTCTATGGAAAAACATTTATATCGATCAACCATTAAGTGAGAAAATAACTGATGATGTTCTTGGCAAGTTGGCTGGTAGGGCACAAGGCACTTTGCAATCCTTGACACTGGTTGGATGCACAAAAATCAGTGATACTGGATTGATGCGGGTTCTTGAAAGCAATTTGAGTTTGCAAAAGGTGAGTATCTCCTTCCTTATTGCTAACCACCATCATCCACACTCAAAATTGTTTTCACATGCAAATTAATGGTTCGTGCTACTAATAAATTGACGGAGTATTGTTTTGTTTATTGTTTTGTTTTTCTTTCAGTTGTTCTTTTGTTTATGCACTTACTGTTTGTTAATCATGGTGCTTGAAATGTCGATTGATCTGTTTAAGGAGTTATGTTTTTATCATTGTGCATTGAACACAGTATTAATAATGTAAGCACTAAGCAGAAGTTGGTTGTCTAGTTTGACTTTTTTATTGTATAAAAAACCAGTATATTGCTAAGCAATTTAGGTTTTAAGCACATAGGAGTTCTTTTACCATAATTTATTTTTATTTTGGAAAATAAGAAGGAATAGGGTTACACTTTCAACTACATAATTGGTTACTTTGTGATGCTCTACGTGTCAAAAAGTCTTATGCATCATTAACTCTTATTACAAAAAAATATCAATTACCTTGTGATGCTCTGCACGTTGAAATTCTTATCCTAAATTAAAGTGTGATAATTTAAGATTTGTCAATTCTACTTGTTGCTTGCAGTTATCAGTCCCCAGGTGTTTAAGGCTAACCGTCGATGGCATTGTGGGAATTTTGAGGGCCTTGAAGTCGGCAGGCACTTTAAAATTGAAACACTTGAGATTTGGTTGCTTCGTTGGTGTAACTGACCATCAATTTGAAGAGCTGAGTTCCATTCTTGGTGCAGAGTTGCAGACAGAGCAGATGAGCAACAAGAAGAAGCCTCAGTTCTATCACGTGGGACAATTTTATCTCTCATGTGATGATGATCGTGCCTTTGACATCGAGAGGTGCCCAAAATGTCAGAAACTGAAGTTGATTTATGATTGCCCTTTAGAGGGCTGTCAAGTGAATGATCAAGCTGCCAGTCAACTATGTAGGGCTTGCACTCAGTGCATTCCTCGATGCATTCACTGTGGGCAGTGTATTCGGGATAGGGATTATGAGGAAACCTTCACGTTGGACCATCTTTGTTTGGTCTGCAGGAAGGAACTCCAGACTTGTGACGAGAAGCATGAAATGAAGAGCGTGTCTTCTTCAGGAAGCATCATCTTTGTGGACAAATGAGGTGAATCCAACTTCTGGTTTTTTGTATTAAGAGTGAAGAAAATGCGTTGCTGGTATTATCCTCCTTCATGGTTGTCGGTTAATTTTACATACTTCAACTGTGTTTGGAGATGTGGCGCAATGATTGTCGATGGATGTCAACCCTCACTCTCGTTGCAAAGTTACACGAAATCCTCCTGTGGCTTGGGGTTGTGTTGTCTCCTAGGAGCCTTGAGGCAGACTGACCTTGGTTTGTCCTTTGGATGTTTTCACATGACAAACATGAACTGAGGTTCAAGAGTAGGCTTAACAGGGCCAAAAAGAACAAAAAAGAAAAGACAAAAAAGTGGGAAAGAACAAAAAAAAAAAAAAAGAAGACAAAACTAGCTAAAAAGGAGGGAAATAAAGTAAGGAAAGAAGCATAGTAGAAAGTGAAGGAAATATGATAGGGAAGGGGGAGACACTGATGTTGTTGCATTTGATATGAGCATTAGTCGAGGTTCCCCTTGTACAGAATGGTTGTTTGGCTGGATGTTGTGATGTAAAGGACAGAGAATAAGGAAGGACTTTAGCAAATTATATTTCGATTGATTGGGGCAGGAGTTCGTTAGTAACAAGCTTTTTGCTGCTCGCTTGTTGGTGTCAATCCTCTAGTAGAAGGATTAAGAGTTGAGGCGGGTGAAGTGAACAAAGAGAAGGGTCTTCACTACATAGAAGAAGCTTAGAAGGTTTGCAGGCGAGAAATATCAGTTTATTTTCGCTTGCAAGGTGATTGGTTTGTGTGTGTGTGTGTGTGTCAATATGTTAGGTTGGTATTGGGAAGATGATGTTTGTGGGATACTTGCTGCAGAATTAATCAGATGTTCATTATGTTAATATTGTAATCTTTCTCTGTTGTTTTTGTTTTTGGGATGAGACTGGGACTGGGCTGGCAATGTAAGATAGTGCCCAAGTCTTACATTATCAAATAAATAAGTGATGTCACAACTAATTTTTGTAGAGATTTTATGTTTGGTGATTTCTATATATATATATATATATATATATATATATATATATATATATATATATATATGAGGAGGGAAATTGTTGAGAACTGATACAAGAAATGTTGCATTGTCTACATTTTCCTAGGAATGACAATGTTAAGCGAATTGTCATGATTCATTTAAGTATTCTATTAGATTTAAATTGACTAATATATATGCTTAGGGGTAATTTGCATGAATTATTTGGTACTAAATGACTCTTTTGTGAACAAAAAACAAAACGAGTCGTTTACAAATGACTCGTTTTTAATATCACTACTTTCAATCTCAATCTCCCCTTTTATTCATATACGCAATACTAATCCTTCTATATTTTGTCTTCATAAAACCAGTACTTTCGAACTATTCTCCATTATACTTTTCAACTATCTCTAGCAAAATAGTCATTATTTTTTAAAGGTTTCAAATATATGTTTTGTTTGGTTGTAAAATGATATAGTTTAGAACCCTTATAATTTGTAAATAAAGTTATCATAAAAGCATTGTTCACAAATAAAAAAGTAGTATTATTATATATGACTAATACCCAAATAATAAGTTACATATTGGTTGCAAAATGGAATTTGCTTTTGTGGTTGGCTTTATTAGGATAACAACCAAGAAAATGAAACTTATTACACGTAAGTGAAAAATAATAACAATATACAAATCACCCATCTAAAAATTTATCAATAAACAACACATTTGGACTAATGGAGGTGAGTGGGACTAGAATTGCCTCAGCACATGCCTCCCTAATGATATCCTCTGCGTATTGCAGGAAAATATAGTTTAGAACTAGGAATGAGAGAGGATAAAACCTTATGGGGTGTCGAGAAGCATCATCGATTTCGTCTAAGATCTGCATACAACCTTGTTTAGGGGAATAGGGAAGCGGAACCAGATAAGATTTTGAAGGACTTTTGGCACTGGATAGGTCTAAGTTTTGTCACATATTTCCTATAGCTTGCAACCCACAATAGACTTCTCCCCAACAAGGAAAGAGAGGCGCGAGCTCACAAGTAATGGCAGCTGCACTCATTGTACTGTAGCAAAAGAGACAGTTGAGCATATCTTTCGCAATTGTACAAAGACATTGATAATTTGGAATCATTTTAAATATAAGATGAAGAAAAAGAACAAAAATCTTGAGTTCCATACTTGGCTCACCAAAATCCCTAGGCTAAGGAGACGTGAATATAATTTGGCATTGTCTACTTGATGCTATGAAAACAGAGAAGTGAGGAAATTATGAAGACAAGAAATTCTAGGATGAATGGACTATTCATAGGATAAATGTCTGGTTTCAAATTAACAAACAAACACATAATAGCGTACAATGAAGCATGCTACTACCTCAAAAAAACTAAATAAGTTAGTAGATCGGTTAGACTCCTCTAAGAGATGGGTGGTTGCGAATCTGGATGGATGGCTCGGTTGACACTTCGACTAGGAAAGCAACAATAATGGACTTTTGTGTGATTAGTTGGGTAGATGTGAGAGAACATTCCGCAACGACTTGAGATTGTGCTCGATCACAAGAGCTGAACTTAAGAAGGCAGTTGAAGGTCTTGAGTTTGCTTGGTGTAAAGGCTTCGAGAAGGCCGAGTTAAACCTTGATTCCTAGACATCAAAAGGATACAAATCACATATATGGTTTGCTAGTCAAGCATGTAGGTAGTCCTTTGGAAAGAGATTCAAACGTTAGAATTTTCCATATATATAGAGAAAGTAATTGTGCAGTCAACTTCTTGGATAATAAGGATTACTTTGTTCCTTTTGGCACACATTCATTAGATGCTACGAGACCATGGGACAAATCATGGATCCAGTTATTTAATAATACAAATTAGACGTCGATGATTCTGATAATATACGTAGAGAATGAGTGTGCGTGATAAACGTTTGTTTTTTTATATAGGAATGAATTTAAAGGTTTAGGATAACCAATTTTTTTCGTTGGTTGTTGCCCCCAAGGATCGAACTGGGATTACCAATTTCGACAGAAAATAACATTAATTTTTGTAGAGATATTCTGTGTAATGATTTATGTATATGGCTTATTAAACTAGTAAAATACGAAAGCAATCCTTAATAAACCGATCTTACTCGCAAGTTGAAAGGCAAATTATCGATCAAATGCAAACAATTTCTAGGAAAAATTGAATGTTGGTGAAAAATGATTGTGAATTTATATCTATAACTTCTTTTTGTATAATACTATATTCGTACTGCTACAAATTATTATCGGGATATTATTACGTACTAATTAGTAAATTCAAATAGATATAACATGTTCTATTTTACATTTATGGGAGAAGAGTCGATCCTATCAATTGAATAAAAAAAGTGTAAACACTAATTATTAGCTAAACCTATTGAATAACTAATAATTAGCAAAATGTTAACTTTCAGTTAGCAATTTTTTTAGTAATGTTGATTTGGCAACATGATACTGACTTAAAAGAGACATATGGCGGTCAACATTCCAAAATTTTAGTATTTTAATTAAGAAAAGAGTTACAAAACTATTAACGATAACGTGAAAATAACTAATATTTTGAGGTATTTTCTAATAAAAAAGAATGCAAGAAATATTCGCTAAATAATTAGTATTTACTATTTACCCTAAAAAATTGTGTCTTATTTTAGTATTAGTCCGAAACGTCTCACATAAGTTCGAAACGTTTAGAAGGTAGGAACAAAGGGAAGAATGCTGCTTTGGGGACGAAATATCCGTTTTTGCCTCTCAAGGCCGCGCGCCCTATTTATCTGACTTCCCCCTCTCTCTAGATTCTTCTGGCCGACGGCGAAGTTCTTTACTGGAAGAAATCCAAGTCCTAGCAGAAACGAAAGCAATCAGCCAAACTAAGAGAGAGAGAGAGCGCGAGGGAGCAGCTTTCGCCGGAAGAATGGAGAACGGCGAAGTACCTGAAGACGCTAACGAGAGTAAGCGACAGCCCCTTTTCCTCAATTCCATCCTTATGTTTTTCTTCTTTTCTTTCTGTTTCCAGGCATGAATTGCTCTAAACCTTGTGTATCTGGATTCCCACCTGCAGATTGTCCCGGTCCTCAGTCTGAATCCGCGGGAAAGTCCGATTCCTGTCAAGGATGCCCTAACCAGGAAGCTTGTGCTACTGCCCCTAAAGGCCCCGACCCAGGTTCCCCTCTTTTTTAAATCTTACTTCTTTATTTGCTGTTAGATGTTGATTGGAGTTGTTGGCATCAGAGCCAGTAGGTCTACCTTTGAGTTTGGTAATGGTTTCTGCTGGATGGTTATCTTACCTGAGAGTTAGTTGCATTTAACTTGGATTGCAGCTGACTGCCTAGCTCTGAGTCCATTTCGAGTAGTTGATTCTGGTGTCAAAAAATGGTGGAACTTCACTACCAAAAAAATGATGGAACTTGGTTTGCTAGGGAGTACCATGTTGGAGAAAGGAGCTTCTAGGAACTTAAGCTGCTGTTAATGACGGTTCAGTAGACTTGATTATGCTAAGTGATTCTGGGTAACAAGTTTCAATGATAATGGATTTTTGAAATTCGTGTCCAGAAGCGCTAGGGTTGACTAATGTTTGTCCATACCGAAATGTTATCTTATATCCATCTAGATGGAACATGTTGTTTACTCTCTGGCATGTCTAACCATTGATCTTGGAGCCACTTGGCATTAAGTATATCTAGATCGTACAAGAAAGGGGGTTCTCTTTTCTTCCTGTTTATCCTTCACGAGAAAGAAAAGCTTATGGCTCTTTGAACTTTGAGCCCTTTGGTGTTGGGTTTGTCCGTTATTTACGCCATGGCATCTCTAACAGATGATCTTGAAGCGGGCTGGTATTATGTGCTAACCAGATCGTGGTAAATTGGTCCAATATTAAGGGTTCTCTTCTCTTTCTGTTTGTTCTTCACAGGCGAGAGGGAGAGAGAAAAGAGTATTGCTTATGTCTGATACCAAACTTTGAGTTCAATGATCGTCCCTCTGGAAAGCCAAGTGCTTTTAACTGAATCCTTGTTTTCTGGATTTCTACAGACTTGGTTGCAATAGCAGAGAGAATGGCAACTGTGAAGCACAAGATCCTGATTTTATCAGGGAAAGGGGGCGTAGGGAAGAGCACATTCTCAGCCCAATTATCCTTCGCCCTAGCCTCCCTAGACTTCCAAGTCGGTCTCCTAGACATCGATATCTGCGGCCCAAGCATCCCCAAGATGCTCGGCCTCGAGGGTCAAGACATCCACCAGAGCAACCTTGGGTGGTCCCCAATCTATGTTGAGTCAAACCTAGGAGTTATGTCAGTTGGTTTCATGCTTCCAAACCCAGATGAAGCCGTCATATGGCGAGGCCCCCGCAAGAACGGCCTCATCAAGCAGTTTCTAAAAGACGTCCATTGGGGCGATCTCGATTTTCTTGTGGTTGACGCTCCACCAGGGACCTCAGACGAGCACATCTCGATCGTCCAATTCCTCCAGGCGACAGGAATCGACGGTGCTATCATAGTCACCACGCCACAACAGGTAAGGGTGGCTAACTAGGTAGCCATTTTGGTTGACTATTAGATTGACTGTTCAGTTATGGTTTTGATTTTGAAGCAACAACTCCCTAATTGTTTTCATTATTGATTTTTCCTCAACAACAGGTGTCCCTGATCGACGTACGAAAGGAAGTGAGCTTCTGCAAGAAGGTTGGGGTGGAGGTTCTCGGGGTTGTTGAGAACATGAGTGGGTTGAGTCAACCGTTGACAGATTTCAAGTTCATGAAGGCAGGGGAACATGGCGAGCAAGTCGATGTAACAAAAGCTGTTCTGGATTGCATGAGAGAGAAAGCTCCCGAGTTGCTGGAGCTGGTTGCGTTTACTGAGGTGTTTGATAGTAGTGCAGGTGGTGCAGCAGAGATGTGTCGGGAAATGGGGGTCCCTTTTCTTGGGAAAGTACCACTTGATCCGCAGCTGTGCAAGGCTGCTGAAGAGGGACGATCGTGTTTTGAAGGCCAGAGTTGCAGGGTTAGTGCTCCAGTGTTGAGGGGTATGATCGAGAAGCTGCTGAAGGTGAAGGAATGGAATCAAGACGAGTTGCAGCATGCAGAGAATGGACGAGTGTAATAAAAACATATGATCTTTCTGTTTGCTTTTCATTAGATTCTCAAGTTTTTTCTTTGTTGTTCAAAGGTGAATGGTTTGAGGATTTTGTTTTTGGCATACGAATGAGTTGAAGGTATACACATGCCAACCAAATAACGCCATTTTTGGCTGTGAACATATTGCTCGATGGCATATTGTGTTGTCCTATAGAAATATGTAGCCTTTGATTTCCATTGGAGTTGAAGTTAGGTTCTACAGGCCGACTGAGTGAAGGAAATTGTTTTCAGAAATATATTCACTGAGCTGGGTTGCACTTGCATCCTGGGCAGAGATCACAGAAAACTGCAGTTCCATTCTCGGTTGACATAAACCATAAGGGTGAAGAAACTCAACTATCCATTATGTACGAGTAATCCAGTTTCAATACAGATGAAAGTAACATCTTGCATCAACATACACCAAAAGGCACACGAATTAGCATCACGATGAGTCCAAAATCGGTTTTTGCAGCCAGTCAACGAAGCATCAGTTGTCCAAAAAAACCCATCAGAGGGTCACAACAGTAATTCACTCCAGAACGCTGAATCTCTAGGACTCATGCATGCTGCATTTGAGTCTCCACATATTAGCTACTTTGGGCCATAATTCCTAGAGAACCTGCAACAAAAATCCATAAATGAGAAGGTATTAGACCACATTGGCCAGGTTGAAGTTGTTATGGGCAAGAGACTGATAAAGAACAAGAACATACTTAAAAAAATCTCCGCATAGCCACTTCTGCTTCTTCCTTTCCAAACCGGTCCTGCTTTGGAAGGATGGCTGACTTCTTTTCCAGTCGTTCCTCGAGGGGGATCAAACGTTTCTCTGGACGGCATTACCATCTGTTGATGAAACAGGCTGTTCTCTTATCCGAGACAAAAGCATTGAAACTCCTTCCGTAGCAATCTCCAACCTCTCCTTTGACTTGCCCGATTCACTTATCAAGGACGATACCATATTCCGTAACAACTGCACGTTCTCTGAATGATTCCGCTGCGGATCTCGAACCAGTTTACTGGGAGGTGTGCCTGTAACACGACGCCAGCGTACGGGGAGATACCTTTCAGGTATTTGGAAACAATTCCCAGTGGAGAGAACACGAAGGGTATGCCTGCAGAGTATTCCAGAGAACTCGAACTGATGACAGCTGCAACTAATGATGCCTTCCCTGGGCATCCAATACACCTTCCTGCCTCCTTCGAGCTTTGTGTGGTGTCTCACGAGAAACCCATCTTCCATTTGGAATGACGCATAGTGTGCAGCTAATACGAGTTGTTCTTGGAGCTTGGAGAAAGCGTATGGAGTGAGGACTGATGCGGCATGGGATTCCATGGGTGCCCCCGTCTTTAAGTTTATGTTTTGAAGATTCTGCTGCATTATTTGTTGTTCAGCAGCTTGGTCTTTGAAGTCAACTGCAACAGAAGCCTGGTTCCATTTTCAGCAGTAAGTTAAAAACCTAATGAATTAGGACTTATGCCTTGTAATTTGGATGAGGGAAGAACTGGAGAGAAGCCATTAGACATACCTGTTCTACGAAATGAGGTAGACGGGTTTGTGCAATTAGAAACCGCTGGATGAATGCATTTATAGATTTTGAATGTCCAATCGCCATCATTCCTGCAAAGAAATGGCTTCTCAAGTATGGTAGCGCCCATAGAGACCGCAAGGCATACAAGTTTGCAATGTGGCGATTAGCGTGCAGCCCGAATGAAGTCACCATGTCCCTCCAACCAAGCTCAAAGTCTTCAATTGATTCTAGATTATATAATCGATGAAATTCTGCTTTCCAATCATTATAACGATCTCCTAAAACAGCATTAAACCAGGAAGGAAATTTCGCCACAATCATCCATATACACAGAGCATGTTTTGTACTAGGCATCTCAGCAGCCATGGCTTCTTTGAGGCACATATTCTGGTCAGTTAACATTGTCTGTGGTGCTTTCCCATTCATAAACCCCAAGAATGCCTACCATATTCATAGCAAGAAACAAAAAACAAAAACACATAAGAACTTTTGGAGGCGGGTTACTTGAAAGGTGAATGCATACCAGTACAGATAATTGCTACTATATTACCTTCAATGCCCAAGACAATGACCTCAAATTTTCTTCTCGCAGAATCACACAGCCGAAGAAGCAAGGCGTACCATAATTGTTCACTCCAATCCATATCCCGAGAGGCATGTCGATTGCAGTCAAACGATGAGTTGTATCAAATACCACAGCATCACCGAACACATCATATGATTCAATAGATGAAGCATATGACCAAGCAATATTCTCAAGCCTATTGTTGGAATCAAGTAAGTATTCAAACTTGAAGTCGGGTTCCTTGCCCTTTATGTTTCTGCATATTCTCAACAAGTCTATACTCTCATCCTCTGAATCTATCTTACGAAACGACTGAAGCAAATTCCTCACATCCTTCTCAGTGAAAGACAGATACCCTGGCTCAACGCATTTCTCAAGTTCCAACAGCCTCATCATTTGTTGAACTGAAATCCTAGTTTTGGCAAACATGAGAATCCTGCTCTTATCTGCCTCCGATATGCTTCGATAAGCAGGAAGAAAACGGACTTGATTCGGCTCAAGAAGCTCGTGATTGTGGTGGTTTGCAAACCCTGTCACACGCCACTCGAATGCACCCAACTCCGAGGACTTGCTAATCCTGATATACGCCTGACATCCACAACGAGATGATTTCCTATTCCTTTGCTGCTTACCCTCGTTTGCAGCTTTAGCAGGAGTGTTTCCAGCTCGATGGCACACGAAATACCGCCTAGTGAGCCCCTTGCCAATGCCGTCTTTCCCCTCCGTGCGGTGCCTTCGAATTGAAAATCCACATCGCTTAGCAAACTCACTGTAGAATTGATAAGCTGCATCATGTGTAGCAAATCTCTGCCCGATATAAGGAACAGTGTCAGTATTGGTTTCCAAGGAGAGTCTTGTGTCATCGTGTGATTCCTCTGTGCTACTGCCATCGTCCAAAGACAATGATTGTTGGTTTGAGGGATCATCATAGACCATCAACATTTCTCCAGCCTCTTCAGATATCATCCCTTTTTATTTTCAGACAATGACAGACAACTACTGACACCCCGAAACACAATATCCTAAATGATACACAGCCAGGCTCTCTATCAGTTCACAAACGAAACCAGGCAAATTAATCATAAGCAACTTGTGGAACCATTCGAGAAGAAGAAGAAGACGGCCCAGCCGCCGCGGCCCAATTCGCTGCCTCCTCTCCTATTCGATTTCCCGCCGGATATGGATTTGTACGCCCCAGGGGAGAATTGGGTCCAGAGACCTTCACCGGAAAGGAACTGCCTTTCTTCCTCGGAGGCAATGCCGGGAAGAGACGGCCGGGAGATGTAAGTGTTATGGTTGATTAGTAACGATGCTAGAAGAGTTGCTGTGGAGGCGCGAAGTGGAAAAGCAGATGAGGGTACCGGAATTGGGGAAGAAAGGACAGAGATGGAGGGAAAAGGAATTCGAAGAATGGCAGCAAATGCTGAAATTAGGGATTGGATTGGAACTGGTTCGGAAGGCGACTGATTGGAATCTTTTCCGGAGTCAAGTTTACTGTTGGTTTCTGTCAGGGAGTACTTTGGGCCAAGAGTTTGGCGGCAATTTGAAAACCTGGGCTTCATATTGTAATGAACATATGGGCTTTGATAGGCTATTCAAATCAAAATGGGCCAAGGTCCGCCACGATCCAAAAGAACGAAAGAAGCTATTTTTGGCTCATTTTACCAGTTCCATAATATACGCTCCATTTTCTCAGCCTCCCGCCATGAGACCTGGTAAAGAACGATCGGAAATGGCGGGTGAACTCGCCGCCTCCTTAGCTCCCGGCTGCATTGTCGATTCGTGTTTCGCCAGTTTGGGAAATCACCATTACTATAAATCTGCTCTTCCATTTTCTTCCAAACTCCTTTCCTCCCAATATCTTTAACTGCTTCCTGCGTCTGCTTTCCCCTCTCCATCGGCGAATTCTGATTCCCAGCTCCATCAATGGCGAAGGTCAAGATCGGAATCAACGGTATGCACTCTCTAGTATCCTTCGTATTCATTATCTATAATGAAATCGAGAAATGGCGTTATGGGTAATTCTTTGTTCTGAAAATGTTAGGTTTCGGAAGGATTGGGCGCTTGGTCGCCAGAGTCGCGTTGCAGAGAGACGATGTCGAGCTCGTCGCTGTCAACGATCCTTTCATCACCACCGACTACATGGTACGTTTTCAACGTTCGACGCAAATGGAGGCAATGGGGAATCGATGGTAAACAACGAAAGGGTCTGATTTATACTGTGTGCTTGGTTTTTGTTCAGACGTATATGTTCAAGTATGACAGTGTTCACGGGCAATGGAAGAACCATGAGATCAAAGTGAAGGATTCAAAAACCCTTCTCTTCGGCGACAAGCCCGTCACTGTTTTCGGCTGCAGGTTTCTGCTCGTGCTATAGCTTTTCCTTTTCCTTTTCCTTTTCCCCATTGCAGAGTTGAGATCATGAGATGTATTGATAAGGGAAGCTTGGATTCAGGAATCCCGAGGAAATCCCATGGGGTGAGACCGGAGCTGAGTACATTGTGGAATCCACCGGAGTTTTCACTGACAAGGATAAAGCTGCTGCTCATTTGAAGGTTCCCTTTCCATGTCTTCGTGTTTCTTGTCCTGAATTTGTTTCCATCGATTGGAATGTGAGTCCGATGAGAAGGTTGAATTGCGTGGTTTCTATGACCAGGGTGGTGCTAAGAAAGTTGTGATCTCTGCACCAAGCAAAGATGCACCCATGTTCGTTGTTGGCGTGAATGAGAAGGAATACAAGTCTGATCTTGATGTCGTCTCCAATGCTAGTTGCACTACCAACTGCCTTGCTCCCTTGGCTAAGGTACTACACTATGATGAACCAATTTGTGGTTTGTTTGTATTGCTTATCACCTTTTTGGTATCCTGAAATTGTGTAATGTGCATCTGGGTTTTGCAGGTCATCAATGACAAATTCGGCATCGTTGAGGGCCTTATGACCACTGTCCACTCTATTACAGCCACACAGAAGACTGTTGATGGCCCGTCGATGAAGGACTGGAGAGGTGGAAGGGCTGCCTCCTTCAATATCATTCCAAGCAGCACTGGAGCTGCTAAGGTACTATCTGTGGGCAATGATGCAGATTGGTTATTCCAATTTAGCGTCAACCTTGTAAGATTATGATGTATTCTTGCCCTGGTTATCTTTGTCGATTGTTTAGGCTGTTGGCAAAGTGTTGCCTGCCTTGAACGGTAAGTTGACCGGAATGGCGTTCAGGGTTCCCACGGTTGATGTCTCGGTAGTTGACCTCACTGTCAGACTCGAGAAGAAGGCGACTTATGATGACATCAAGAATGCCATGAAGTATGTTTTTCATATACCAGCGTGACCTAATGGCTCCTGGCACGAGGTCTTTAAATCCAATGTCCCATTGTCTTGCAGGGAAGCATCTGAGGGTTGCATGAAGGGGATCCTTGGTTACACTGAAGACGACGTTGTGTCATCTGACTTCGTCGGCTGCAACAGGTGAGTCGAGGAGGAGGAACTGTCTCTCTGATTTGATGTCGCTAGCCTCGGCTATACAAATTTTGTGGCTGACCAACTTGACATACACCCTATCTTGCAGGTCTAGCATCTTTGATGCCAAGGCTGGCATTGCTCTGAACGATAACTTCGTGAAGCTCGTCTCTTGGTACGACAACGAGTGGGGTTACAGGTAATGTGGCTCATGCACCAAGTTGGCAACTTTCTTTGCATAGAGCCTTCATTTCTAGGCATTGTGCATGGTCCCTATTCATCTCTGTGATCACTTGATACTAAATCTCGCACTGTGCCTTTTCAATGTTTGTTTTTTGCAGCACAAGGGTTGTTGACTTGATCTGCCACATGGCTTCCTGCAAGTAGAAGGAAAGCTGCACCCGATTTTGAACCGAGTTTAGGGAATTAGAAGAGAAGTATTAAATAATCCCAGGCACGAGAGAACAATATTTGCAGTTGTGGAAGTAGTGGAAGAAGCTGACCCCCTTTCCCAACTCCATTTTTTATATCCTTGGGAAGTTTTGAGGCACTCCCCAATGTGGAGTTTTGAATTTTTTTTCTGGTTTATTTATGTAATGATATGATTTGTTAATTTCAAACTAATGATCATATGTGCTCATTGTTATTAGTTGTGGATGATTGAACCATCACTATGAAATAACTACTCTTTGATTTGAAAACTCAACTAAACCTGAATCAAATTAACAATCTAACAAAAGTTATATTTCAACCCATAATAGAAATAATATAATTAAAATTTCGTTTATTGACCCTGGAAAATTCGATCAACCGGTATACCAAATAATGTTAAAATCCCTTCTTATCACTTTGTTCATTCATATTTCTTGAGAGTTAAATTCTATCTCGTGAATTCAACTCTCACTCTATGTAAATATACATTCACTGTTCATCTATCTAAAGACTTATCGACCAAACGTCAAAGTGAGTTTTTCCCAAACGACATTCAAGTAATGCTTGAAAGAATGTTACTATCCTAATGGTAATTGGTAGAATGCATGTAGTTGAAAATAAAGGTAAAATGCGTGACACCTACTCCTCATCTTTTGCCACGAGCCATGTCCATGAACACATCACATCCGAACAATCAAGATCCCCAGCCCTTCTGACAAGGCCACAGGAAAGGCTATCGATTTGGTGAAATCAAAACAGGGAACAAGATCAGACCAAGTTGTGCAAGAAAGCTGATGACTTTCACCACCTTCTCAATTTATGCTTAACCAAGGGAACAATGTTAATCACATTTCAAGTTTGTAATTAAAACCGCATACTGAGTCATTTACTAGCAGAAACATCCACCAGACGATGAACAAAATAGGCAGACTCTACCGAGTTCAACATTACACCAACTTCCTAACTTTCAAAGATCCTTCATATTCCTAAAAGTGTTCAATTATGAAAAGATCCCCAGAAACGCAAAGGCAAGAAAGTAGTACTCCAAGCAAGCCATTCACAACTTCCTTCATGCCTCTCTCACTAACCCCGCCCGATCCTACAAGAACAACAAACAGGAGTCAGAACAAGGACAGTGGAACTTCATTAAGCCACAACCAAAAGAGTCTATGCAAATGGAGTAACTGCCGTTCATAATCAACTGTTTCATGAAGAGCATAGGTAAACTTCTGCATTGTTGTATCGGTGTATACAGCTAAGAACCGCTTTGCAAACCATAAGCATTAATATTCAGAAAGGATTCAAGAGGACCTTAATGACAAGGCATGATCATGAATTTTGATTCAAAGACCAACTAAACTTGTCAGCCAAAGCAACAAAGGCAAAGCCTAAGACCAATGTCTAGTGTTCTTAAGAGCAGGGCAGAGTGAGCAACAAACCGAACTTACAGAAACATAAGCTACCAACTCAGTGAAGCGACACAATCAACTATATCCAAATCAGCTATACTTCCTGTCTTCCCCAAACAAGAAATCATGTACATCCACACTATTTCAACCAACCGAGTGAAATGAAATGCAAGACAATCCAAGCAGAAACACATTACCTCTTTCAGCGGCCAGCACCCAATCCAAGCAGCATATTGCCCCCAGAAGGAAGGTAAGAAACATTCGGCGACCTAGCAAGAGTTGCGGCAATCTCCCTAGCAGCCTCAATCCTCCTGAGCTCAATAAGCCCCATGCCAGCCTTGGTAGTTGCATCGGAGATAAGCTTGGCAGCCTCACTTTCACCTTCCGCCCTGATAACAGCAGCCCTCCTCTCTTGGTCAGCCTTCATCACCACAAACTTGGACCTCTCGGCCTCCTGCTGAGCCACCTGCTTCTGCTCGACGGCCCTCGAGAACTCCACACCATAAGACAGGTGGGTGATCGCCACATCTTCGAGCATAATGTTGAAGTCTCTAGCACGGTTGATAAGAGCTTCCCGAACGAGCATGGAAACTTGAGGACGTTCGGTGAGCAGCTGATCAGCATTGAATTGAGCAACCACTGCCTTCAGCACCTCATTACCAATCGAAGGGAGCACCTTCTCATCATACTCCACACCAAGATGTTGGAAGATGTAGGGCAGACGCGTCATCTTAAACAAAATAAAACAAAACCCATTCTCTAAGTACAAACAACGGAACCCCAAAGCTAATCAATAACCAAAACTGACCCAAAATCCAGAAATCTGACAGCCAGATACTCAATTGATTCACCAAACAACATTTCCAGAACAAATCGAATAAGAGCAGAAATGAAACAATTCAGCTAGGAATTTAATTCTGTATCCCCTATTTCTTACCTCCGGGCGAGAGAGGACACGGAGGGTGAGATTCACCATCTGCAAATCCTTCGTACCAGAGACGGAAGTGAAGGTGTGAGGCTTGACGCGGATGTCGAAGTAGTGAGGAGTCTGGATCCAGGGGATCCGAATGTGAGTGCCTTCGCCGACGACGGTGGGGACAACTCCGGTGAAACGATCGAAGATAACCACACGCTGGCCTCCCTCGACGGTGTAGAGCGCGGAGTTGACAACAGCCGCGGCGGTTCCGAGACCGAAGGCGGTCTTCGCCATGGCAGTCAAAAACGAAACCAATTGTTGGCTACTCCCCATTGTAGATCTTCCAAGAGAGAGAGCTAACCGCTACGCCAGAGAAGAAGAGAGAATCGGATGACGATGAAGGGTTTTGGGAAGAAGATGGTGTGAGCCTAGGGTTTTACGAATTAGATCACGGCGTCAATATTTGTTTTCTATTATCGGTTTAAAATAAAAATATTTAGTCCTATATTTTTTTTCTTTTCTTGTGAAGTAAGTCAGGCATTTTGGGCTTGACGGATTCCGTATTGGCATTGGGCCCATATGTGTAAACCTCGACTTAAGTATTATTAGGCCCATATTTGTAACCACTCGGCCCATTCTAAACTGAGCTCATCGCGGGAAAGGAAATTAGAGCAAACGAGTGAGAAGGGAATTTGATTAGTTTCTGTTTTCACTTGCAGAAAGGGAGGGCTACTTCTCCCCTCTTTCCTCCGCCGCCGGGAAAGCTACACTAAGTTCCGCCGCCGTGAATTCATCGGGAAAGGTACGTTCTGAAGGTCTCTTATTGTGATCTTTCGTTAAATATCCATTTGTGCTCTTGAGCTCTGAATCTCGCCCCCTCCGTCCAACGAGAAGTAGGATTAGGGTTGGAAGAATTTCAGTCGATTGATTGATAGAATTTTCTTCATTTCTGGAGAACCTGATCCGTGAATGCTGTAATTGGTTTAATGAAGGTGCAGCTTATGAGAGATAAGCATCGAAATTCGTGAACTGGGTGGGTTGATGGCTTATGAGATTTTGTATTTGTTCATACGCTGAAAATGATGGGGGTTGAAGTTGGATTTTTAAAGTTTTGTTTCATCCTCCTTAAAGTTTTGATCTTTTGCTTTTTCAGAGTTATGGCAATGAACCATATAAGGTCCTTGAGGAGTGTGGTGATTAGTAAAGAAGTAGTCAGAGTGAGAACATTTGCTGCGGCAGGTGGTAAGGCAAAGAAGGGATCGAAGGGTGGGGCTTCTGCAGATGCACCAAAAGCTTCCAGTCTTAGTAAAGAAGTGAAGTCTTCGACGACAGTTGGTGCCAATATTCTAAAGGATGGTACAGATCCTAAAGTGATGGCTGATTCGGATTACCCCGATTGGCTATGGCATCTTCTCGATAAGCGCCCAGCGTTGAGTGAGCTGAGAAGGAAGGAGAAAGAATCACTGCCGTATGAAGATCTGAAGCGCTACTTCAAGCTGGAGACGCGGGCTGGCATCAAAGAAAACAACTCTATTAAGGCCAAGAATTGATGAAAAATGGGATTCGTAAAACAGGCGCTCGTGCTATCACTATAAAGGTCCATTTCTTCTCCGGGATTAGCTTCTGATTTGATTTTTTTGTATGAGCTATGATTATGAAAGATTGAACTTGGGAGCTTTTTCAATCTGATGCGAGTCTTTTTTTTTTTTGTTATCTCTTGATTATTGTTACGACCCATGAACCTTGGCTGAAAGTGGTTCATTAGTTGACTGGACAATGCTGAAATGCCTGGGTAGAAACTGTTTCTTTCACTCAACAATTTCTCCTAGGTGAAAAGTGAGAAAGTTGTCATGATGCATTACTACTTTGGGTAGACATATCTGTTTGTCTGCCCCAAACACTAATCACCTAGTGCTTTTGTTTAAAGATGGGATGTCTTTGACATTCTTTTCTAAAGTAATTTCCATCTGAACTGTTGCATGATTGAATTGGTGTGGGAATCATTCTAGGTACCCACCAGCTAAGACTGCGATAATGTATGCAACTTGATATGCGAGAATCACATGATCTTGATCTCTGCTGATCATAGTTTTTGACGCAACTACAGAACTGCAAGGTTCGTAGAACCTCTTCTGCTGTTATTGGGTTACTGTCTTCTTCCTTTCTGTCATTACTTTGCATTTGCAACATCTCAACCAGAAGGAAATCAGCTGCAGAAGGTTCATTGAACCAACATTCCGTGTGGCCCATGGGGGTTGACAATGGCCATTGAACTAGAAAGGCTTTGTGGAAGCCAGCTCCAAGCCATAGCCTACTGTTCTTCCTTTTCCTTAACCCTTATCAACTCTGATCTCTCTACTACCCTTTGAGATATTCCATAAGCCCTACTTGCTTTCCTCCTTTTTTCTGCTTTCTATCATCATCTCAATGGCCCTTGTGTCTACCATGAATGAGTGTACTACTGTTTTGGGGAAGTTTTTATTCTTAAACAATGTCTGAGCCTTTTGCTCTTTTGCCATTGCTGTGACTGGAGTTTGATTTGAGATTGAGAATGATTTTAATAATATCAGTAGTAAGGACTAAAGACATGAATGATGATGAGCATGTTGTCTTGCTAACTTTTATGATTAGGTGGTTCTTGTTTAAAGTCACGCTGGCCCAATTGCTTTCTTTCTTATGAGTTACCAACTAAAATAATGAACTCTGCAACTGTGCTCCACAGGTCACCAGCTCTCTCTCACTCACTCAATTTATCGCATTCATGGTTTCTGGCTTGTTTGGGTCCTCAATGTCTGGTACAACCTTCACCATTTGGCTATTGTCCTTGCCATGATTTCTTACCCTCAAGCTTTACCTATTTTTATGTCCTCAATCAAGACCTTTAGTAAAAAAGCTATCCACAGTTGTTAGGATGGGACGATGATACAATGGTTGTTATAGTAGTCTATAAGAAGTTTCATACCTTCATGAGAAGAATTCGACTTAACTTTAACTTTAGGTTATAATCGTGATTTGGGTACAAAAGTCACATGAGAATGCTTATGTGTGAGATAAAAGTAAAGAGAAATACGAAAGAGCAATCTTACATGAGACAAAGATTTATGTAGTTTGACAAATGTGGGTAATGTTTTTCTCCGTTGCAATGTCGCTTAATTACGATTAAGAAACTGTATGGTTTTTTCTTTTATACAAGTCTAGTAGTAGGAACCCATTTTCTTTCAATAGGTGATGTGGGCCTTAGATGCTAAGTTAGGTTGTGATAGTGTGGTGACCCTAAGCCTAAACCATACACCAACATGTAAAAATGAAGGCTGTCAAACCATTAGGTTACATCTCCCACTCACTCTCATCTAATTAGAGTTTAAGGCCAGCTTTACACGTTCATGAGCTTTGAAAGAAAGGGATACCCGACGAAACAAGGGAGTCCCATGTCGTGAAAGGTCACTGTCTTATCCTGCAAAGCAAAGAGGGCTGCTGAGTTAGAGAAGTACCAACAATGGAGAGAAAGGGTGGGGGGAGCATGAAAAGGAAAGAAGCAAAGGAGCAACTATACTGATAGATAAAAGCTTTTTGGGGACATAACATGCAGCATTATTGGTATTGAAAGCATGGCAATACCTACCTTCTATACCGGCTTTTTTTTCAATGTGGGAGGTTCCAGAACAAGCACAAACGAGAAGAGAGGATTGATAAATATTTGATAGAATAGCAATGAGAAAAGAAGGAAGACAAGAAAGTGGTAAAACTGCCTCTCATTCACATGCCCCCACTCTTTACCTTTTTAAATAGTAATACCCACCTAAACTTGGTGCTTAATGATTAGTTTAGTTAGCGGGTGGATATTCCTAAACCCAACCAAATGGAGAATCAACCACAAAGAAGTAAAGAAATAATAGAGAGACCCCAATAGAGATCCGCCAAGAACATGTTGATTGCCATCATTGCAATTGCAACTATATGTAGTTCAACAAATCTTCACCAATCCTAATGCCATGTGAAGCAACGATCATATGTCTGGGATTTCCAACTGGTCACTCATTCACACACCAAATATTATGGGCTACCATATTAGATCGAGAGCATATCCATTTTGTCATTATGAGTAGGGCTGGGAAACGGTGTGGTCTGGTCCAGACCAGACCATATATACGGTCTATGGTCCAGACCAAGAGGCTGAAGTATAGACCACAGACCAGACCATAGACTATACGGTCCGGTCCAGCTCATTCACACACCAAATATTATGGGCTACCATATTAGATCGAGAGCATATCCATTTTGTCATTATGAGTAGGGCTGGGAAACGGTGCGGTCTGGTCCAGACCAGACCATAATACGGTCTATGGTCCAGACCAAGAGACTGAAGTATAGACCACAGACCAGACCATAGACTATACGGTCCGGTCCAGACCACGGATGTGCGGTCTGGTCTGGTCCAGATAGACCACACTCAACGAAAAATGAATAATTTGTTTAGTCTACCACACAAAAATTGAACCAATACCAAGAGAAATAACTGTTATTTGCCTTAAAACATTAATTCTAACATGCATGAATAATTTTGATACCCTAAATCTTAGTACATAACAAAGATACAAAGTAAAAGCATCCCACCTTGCACCATAACGTCATAAACATTAACATAATGCCATATGGAGACACAATTATCTCTACTCTCTGGTTAAATGTGGTTGTGAATGAAGGAGGGACGTGATTCACAAAACTAAGGTTGATACTTGGGTGTCGTTGTGGGAGTTGGGAGAGTGGTCGAATGAGCTGTTAACACGTATTGACAAGTTGGTTGGGTCCACGGTTTAGTCCGGTAAACCGCGGTCTAGACCAGACCAGACCAAAAGATCAAAACATAAAATAATACAGACCGTGGACCAGACCAGACCATACTTAACGGTCTACGGTCCGGACCAAACTGTGCGGTACGGTTTGGACCACAGTTTTTCTAACGGTATGGTCTATTTTCCCAGCCCTAATTATGAGTGGCAACACTTAAGATTAAGTTGGGTCATTCTGGAATGTTTGTCATGATAAATTGCTTCAATTAGTTGCAAGTAAATGACATATTAAACACTTAATACTATGAACTTGATAAACGATTCGGGAGCAGACGAATTCAAATAAGATCATTTAGTGTGGCATTAGTTATTACAAGTTAAGTTATGTTCTATTACAATCAATATGAGTTGATGCATATTCAATCACGTAATGCTTCAACATGTATCAAATTAAACACTTGTTTTCAATCACGTAATGCTTCAACATGTATCAAATTAAACACTTGTTTTCTCGTATGAGGATCAACTTATGATCTTTGAACTGGACCAAAGAAAATTAGTTTGGGTTCTACCAAAAACACCAATGGAAGAAGATACCACATGGCCTACCCCTTCCCTAAAAGCACATTTCTACATTAGACCATGAACCACCAAAGGATCATCCTTTCCACAAAGGCATGAAAGCTCCATACCACAACAAGAAGACATAAGAAATTCATTATCTCTTCATTAAAGAGAGTTGAGTTGGGGGAGTTGAAATCTCATTATTGAAAGATCTTCTGAAGAGAAGATAGTATATTATTGTCATGAGTTAGCACATCAAATAATGGGGATATTAATGCAATCAGCTCAAATTTTGTGTGTTAGCGATGAGCATTTAAATTGAGTTGTCTGATGTGTAGACATAACTCACTCCTAAGTTTTCTGCTGATAGAAAAGTCGGTTGAATTTAATTGATTATTAAAAGTATTAGGTTCTAATACAAAACTCCTTTTATAGGGTCGTGTGCATGTTATACCTGCATGATTGAATATGATAAATACATTTTATACTATGAATTTAATCTCATTGACTCCCTGAATAAAAAACGAGTTAGTGCCAATTGTTTTTGTATCACTATCACGAGCGTCATCCCTGAGATGTCAACCTGAGGACTCTAGGCTGAATATTAGCTGCACGACCAATCGACTACAACCTCGTTCGTAATAGTATAAAATGATTTAACCATGGTTAAACTACAATTTGCACACAAAATATCTTACCTCTAACTTTTTCGGTACTACTTTTTTATGCAATCAATTTCATGAAAATATAGAGATATAAATTCCACTTTTTTCCAAAAGATCCATTCCTTATTCCTTAATAAAATCAATGCTTTCCTTTCACTGTAATTACAACCTTTCCTTTTTCTCTTTATTACTTAATTTTTGTATTGACCAAAATTTTCCTTTTTTTTTATTGCAAATTCACCTCCCCATTGCCTTACTTATTATATAGAGATATAAATTCCACTTTTTTCCAAAAGATCCATTCCTTATTCCTTAATAAAATCAATGCTTTCCTTTCACTGTAATTACAACCTTTCCTTTTTCTCTTTATTACTTAATTTTTGTATTGACCAAAATTTTCCTTTTTTTTATTGCAAATTCACCTCCCCATTCCTTATTCCTTAATAAAATCAATGCTTTCCTTTCACTGTAATTACAACCTTTCCTTTTTCTCTTTATTACTTAATTTTTGTATTGACCAAAATTTTCCTTTTTTTTATTGCAAATTCACCTCCCCATTGCCTTACTTATCATATGAGATTCTTCCACAATACAATTAACCCAAAGATTTAGTTGAGTTTCCACCAGTATTTTTATTGATTCTTGTTAACTTTTTTTCCCTAATCTTTGAGATATGGATGATCTTCAATGGAATCTTGTTCCAAGTTAACACACCACTATGATTGCTCCAACACATGTCTTCTCTCTGCACAGTCCTCTTTTCTTTACCCTTTTAGCAGTTTCCTCCCTCTTCCCCATTGGGCCATAATATAATACCACTGGTTCTCTCTTCTCCCAATTGTCACCTTTATCACAGCTTTCAAAGGTCCAACCCAACCAAAGGTTCCTTCCCATATACTAACCCTTTGCTGTCCTTTAGATTATTTCCTTTCCTCAAATCAACAAATGTTCTCCCAAAGAACAGTATCCCATTGTCTCTCTTGAGCCTTGTCTCTTGCCATCTTCTTGGTTCAGTTTATATATGCGAACCAACTTCACAACTTTCCCCTCCATTTCTCCCCACTCTCTGCAGAGAAAATCCTGCTGTGAATGCCAGAGTAAGAGTTCACCTTCCTTTGTATTTTCGCTTCAATTCCCAACTGGGTTGTCTGTCTTTGAGGTTAAAGTTTTGATCTTTAGCTAGTTTCATTGCCTCATTTCTTGGTCTGTGATCTGTGGTTGAAACTGCATATTAGTTCAATGGTCTCTTTTCTAGCCTCCCACTTCCTTCATAGAGCTAAAGTTTCCATCTTTAACTAGTTTCATTGTCTGTTTCTCTCTCAGGTTCTGAATCTGCATGTTCTGTTAAACACCAAGCTATCGTAATATTTGCATATTGATCTCTCTGCCCTCCTGGAGAAAAAAACCATGCCTCCAACTTACTTACCCTTGAGATGGGAAAGCACAGGAGACCAATGGTGGTATGCTGCCCCAATAGATTGGGCAGCAGCCAATGGCCACTATGACTTAGTCAGACAGCTCCTCAAAATCGACAACAACCACCTCATCAACCTCACATCCTTGAGACGAATTCGTCGCCTCGAGACAGTGTGGGATGATGAGCAATCCTCATCCTCGTCGTCCCTTGACGTGGCCAAATGCCGCTCCCATGTAGCTAGAAAGCTCTTCCTGGAGTGTGAATCGAGCAAGAGTAGTGGTGGGAAGAGCAATTCCCTTGTGGCATCTGGATATGGTGGATGGCTCATGTACACGGCTGCCTCAGCTGGGGACTTGAACTTTGTTCAAGAGCTCCTCCACAAAAACCCCTTGCTTGTGTTCGGTGAAGGAGAGTATGGTGTTACTGACATACTCTATGCTGCTGCTAGGAGCAAGAACAGTGAGGTTTTCAGGCTGGTTTATGACTTTGCTGTCTCCCCAAGGTTCTTGGCTGCAAAAGATGGGGATTTGGAGGAGCATTTAGGGGACATTCCTCTCACGTACAAGTGGGAAATGTTGAATAGAGCTGTTCACGCTGCTGCTAGAGGTGGGAATGTTGCCCTTCTGAAGGATCTTCTTGCTAATTGTAGTGATGAGATCTTGAGTTATAGAGATAAGCAAGGATCCACCATCTTACATGCTGCGGCAGCCAAAGGCCAAGTTGAGGTAATACATACATCATTTGGATAGGTCATGTTGAGATGCTTGCTTTGTATTCAAATCTATTCTAACGATCATGTTACTTTGTATATGTTCAGGTGATTAAGTATCTTATCTCAACCTTTGAGATGATCAACTCAACAGATAATCAAGGCAACACAGCATTACATATTGCAGCTTACCGCGGCCAGCTACACGTATTCCAGGCTCTAGTCGAAGCATCTCCTTTGATGCTTGCATCTACTAACAATGCTGGTGAGACTTTCCTCCACATGGCAGTCTCAGGCTTCCAAAACCCTGCATTCAGAAGGCTGGACAAGCAGATCGAGCTCATGAAGGAGTTGATTCGTGGGGGAAGTTTCCACATCGAAGAAGTGATCAACGCCAAGAACAATGATGGAAGAACAGCACTCCACACTGCAATCCTTGCCAATATGCATTCTGATCTCGTCCAGCTCCTGATGGCTGTCGAATCAATCGAAGTGAATGCTCGAGATGCAGATGGAATGACCGTGCTTGATTTGCTAAAGCAGCGCCCTCGTTCTGCTTCTTCTGATGTCCTGATCAGGAAGCTGATCTCGGCTGGTGGGATTTTCAGTTGCCATGATTACACGGCAAGAAGAGCCATTGCTTCACGGCTTAAGCTGCAATCCGGGCTAGGAAGTCCAGGGACTTCCTTTAGGCTCTCTGATACAGAAGTCTTTCTCTATACTGGAGTTGAAGTTCGAGCAAGTGGTGGACAAGGCAATGGAGGAATGAGTTCATCTTCCTTGGAACTGAATCAGGTGGATTATACAACAGTAAAGAAAGAAGAAGGTGAGATTCCGAGCCATGCTGCTCAAGGGCTGAAAAGGGTACTCCAATGGACAAGGAAAAAGCATAGGAAGCCTGCTGAAGGACACAACAGAAATTGCTCAGTAGCTTCATCATCAAGGAGATGCAGTACAGTAACAGCAGCTAGTACTACTGCTTCAGATGAAACCCAAGCAGCAGCCCCACTTCGCCATCGATTCTCTACCAAGCCACCATCAACGCCACCACCTACAGCAAGCAACAAGAGGACACTGGCAGTAAGGAGCAACCAATCAAGTCCAACAGCCAAGAAGAAGCTTGCTTCGGGAGCATTAGTCCATGGAGTCGTTCAGGCATTGCCACATATTGCAGTTCCTGGAGCGAGATCGCGGTCTAGTTCGTTCTCCAAATCGTCCCTCTCTTCTCCATGCTCAAAGGGTGTGTTTGGCGAAGGCGAGGGATTGGATGTAGGGTCGCCGAGCTTGAAACACAACCACCATCAGCATCATCGGAGGTCGAGGAGTCAGTACTTTTGCTTTGGAGGGTCAGGGGTTTCAGTGAAGAGTCCAGTTAGTAGTAGCAGGCACAGGAGGCAGCAGAGTGCTAGCTATACTCCACCTGCTGTGTCAGTTGCTTGACAAAAAAAAAAAGGTGCAAGCTTTAGAGGAAATGGCAGCTAAAACTGACTGTTAGACTCTAGCAAAGTTCATAATAAGGACTAAGGAGGAGTTCCCTAATTAGTAGAATGTGTTCTTAATATCTTATCTGTTCAAGTTCAATGTATTTTGTACCTGTGTTTGAAGATAGAGAAATGGAAACAGCTTGTTTTCTTAACTTTGGCTGATGATCAATGAAGTCCCAAAACTTAAGGCAACAGTGGAATTGGATTCATTCCAATTTGGGCTTCTGGGCCTATTGATTGAGCCTATTCATTTAGTGGAAATTTGTCGAATGCTAGCATGGGCTATTCGTGTTGATTGGGGAAGCTAGTCTGTGGCCCATCAGAAACCGGTGAAAGAACCAGGGCCCATTTAGGTTCAAAGTAAAATGTTATCGATATTACTACTTGTTTGTTGGGCCTGCCCTGCCCTGACTACCCCAGATTCAAACATGAAGCAGATCTTCTTAGAATCCAACAAACAAAATCAAAATCCCCTATAACTATAACATTCGGAGCAACAGTTGCAGAAATGTGTCACATAGTAGGCAATACTATTATCAATTACGATTTACAAAAACGAGCAAATACTCTGAAAATGCATCCAATCGATAACAAATCTCTCCCATGAGAGCTCTTTTGAGCATCCCAAATTTTACTATTGTTGCATTTGTTTACGTTTTGCCTTCCAGTTTAGGCATTGTATATATAGAAGACTTCGTGAAAATTTTGGAGTCATCTATTTATAAATCTAAAACATACAATGTAACAGGGTTTTTTTCCTTCCTTCAAGAAACTAGCATAAATTTAGAAACCGTGTCTTTCATTTTTTTTTTCTGTATACAATTTGTGCCTTTGTCGAATTTAAGGAATCAAAATATTCTCCCTTATCCTCTATCCTCTATGATCACAAGAATCAATTCATATGCAGAATATATCTGTATATGGCCCAAACAAATTAAAGGCGTCGTATACATAATACATACATGGTAAGGTTTGATCAAAACAATGATGATGATGACTCTTTATCTGTTTTTCCTATCAAACGAAAGACACATGTACATGAAGTTGAAGTTTCATCTTGTAGGCAAATAATAATATTGAAATCGTCATACAAGATATTACTATTGTAAATTATGATATTCTATAACAAATTAGGTCATCTTAATAACTGGGAACCTAACATGAATCTTAAATCATTCACTTGTCACAAATGGGTACTAATTAATGTCTCCAACTTATAATTAATTTTTTTAAGACATCTACGGTGCACTCACAAAAATGAGTGCATACTATGCATCCAACTATAAAATTAGTATTAAGAAATCGAATCTTGAAACTTAAGTAGTAGCATTATTCGAATATGATGATATAATATAGGATTACTGTTAGAGTAGTCAAAGAGTAAAGGAAATATCACATTGGTGGGAGAAGGAAAGTGCAAGTTGTTTTTAAGTTTGCTTTCCACTTTAGTTATTGGATAAAGTGGTTAGTGGGCTTTTGTAAAAAGTGTGGGCTATTTAATTTGACATATTAATTCGCACGACGCGTTCGGATTTGAATTTTTGGCTAATTAATTACAGGAATTATTTTAATTAATTAATCCGGATGATTATTTGATTTTGACTTTTGTGAAACGACGTAACCCTTCGGAAGGGAACTGTCGTTTTCACTATTAAAAGGTATTTTGCAGCCGATGTTCTGGTCTAACGTTCATCTTCTTCTCCTCGTTTTTCCTTCTCCAAAAACACAAACACAGAAGTCACGAAAGGTGCTGCTTTCTGACTTTGATTGGAGGGACTCCTAGGGGTGGTTTGCCTAAATCCTACCAGCAACGAAGTAGTGGGGGCAAATAAACACTCTAAGGAGAGTGATTATAATCACGCCTTCAATCCGTTTTTCTCCATACTGTTTCCCTGACAATTACAACTAATCAATGTATTATCCTAAGTTCTAAACCTTCAATTTTGAATTCTAACCCTAAGCCCCAAATTGCTAACCATAAACCCAAAATCCTTCAAATTAAAGTAAGTTTTGTACAAAATCATGCATTTTATTGTCCACCATATCACAAGTAACGATTGAAATCGTTTTGACATGAATCGTCTGCTCAGATGACGATTATGAAGCATGTACATAGTATGCACCCAAAAAGTGAGCACACCAAATGCAAAACTACAACCGCATTACTACATATGCTCTCACTAACTTACCAATACAATCTTGGGTACAGTTTCGCAAACCATTCCTTTTAGTTTTAACAATGCGCGATAGTACAATTGTACTCGTATACCAGAACTGGAAGGATAGAATTAAGGAGCTAGGAGGACAGAAGCAAAATGTTAGGAAAGCTATACATAAGTTGCTGCAAAACATTAAGTCACCCAACTACTTCCTGTCCACCCTTAAAACGTGTCATTCCAAAATTCCAATCCTTTAGCCATGATCAGTTTTCTGGTACAGCTACAGCCTACCCCTAATCATTCCAATTCCACACTATTCACAGTAATGGAAAGGGTAATTAAGTGGCAGAAACCCTCAAACGCCCACCTGCCCTGTTGCCCTCCAATTCAAGCTCTACCACGAAACTTCCTTGCAATCTTGCTTACTGCTTACGGCCAACTTGCAATTCAATACACAGCCATAAACTTCCTGCTCATTTCAGGAAACCTAAGAACCTAACCACCCGACCTGCAGAAACGCGGGTTTGGGATATTCATATAATTGATGAGGTAGGCAATTGGATCGTTGAAGAAAGAATGGTGATCAATGATCATGTAAAAGAATTATTATTTGGAAGCAAGTCGTCCAGAGTGGTGAGGAAAGTATCTTACGTACGGGCGTCACCATTACACTAGGCTAGGCTTGTATCATCATTGGATCAGCCAAGTCCAAACAAAATGCAAAGATTTTATCTCACATGCGACTGTTTCATGGAGGGATATCGTAGTGTTCCATTTTGTACTTTGGTGACTACTGTGATGAAGGTCGTTTGGATGAGGAATTGTAACAGATCAATTTGACACAATTGTCTCGTTTTGAGACAATTGTACCAAATTGCCTCGTTTGCCAGCAAAAAAATTGGATGGAACAATCTGCCTGAGATATTTTGAATTGATCCGTTTTGAGTCAATTTCAATTACCTGGGGTGGGGCAGGTAATTCGAATTGACTCGTTTTAATTGCCTCGTTTATAAAACGAGACAATTGATCAAATTGATCCATCCAAACGAGCCTTTCTGCAGTAAATATATAGTAGATCAAGGAAGTTAAAAGGATAAATCCTAATTGTCATAATTGTTGGCTCAATTATATAACAAGTAATTCAATCGAAACTTCATAGTCGTTCACAAATTAGAGGGCAACTGAGACACGAGAGTAGGAGAGGGGTTTAGTCTGTTTCGTGGTTAGTGGTGGGTGTGTGATCAAGTGCAAGGTTTAGCTAGTCATGTTATCTGTTTTTTTTACTAATTTTCGATGAGTCAGCAAACTGATTAGAGATATTGGATGAAAAAACGAATATGATAACAATATAAAATTTTTATATCGTGATAGATACAATGATTATTTTTTTTATATTTATAAATGCTTATTGTTACTCGCACAAAATGTGATCGTTTTGCTTCATTTCTCCTCCACCAAGTATATATATATATATATACACGTAATTGAGTTTTCATGAATCATGATAAGACGTGATTTTGTGATTTGATACTTCGATGCTATCATATACAATCTTCAACTAGTTACTCTCTTTGGAAAAAAGTCTGAACCCACTTCTTCTCCAGAAATCTACTAACTTGAAGCACCCCTTGGTATGCAATTAGTCATTGACATTGACTATATGTATAAGTTATCCATCTCTCCTTTACGTCATTTTTTTGTCCTTAGGGCCTGAATATATTTTCTTGGTTTGAACTCTTTTCAACAGCAAGGAAAAACACATCCCTAGGCAGCAAGCGGTTTCGATTATACGTTGTAATTCGTTGAAAAAACAAATAATTTTCCAATCAATGGGATGAGATTAACTAGGACAATAACAGGCAGCATATGAACACATGGACTTGATTGAGATATATATTCCTAGCTAATTATCATATATCAACAACAACTACTAAGGGAACACGAATTAATTAATGTGCCAATTTCAATCAATATTTGTTCAGGCAGTCGACTTCCAAAATGACAGCTGCAATTTGAGATTAACAATTGACTCCCCAATACATTGTTGGCGCTCCAATACAAAACATGGTGATGATGGTAACTTCAATATGAACTCCCTAGTCCCTAGTTATTCTATTCTTTCGGTTACTTCACCCCTTTTGATTTGCTAGCTTGTTGAGCTAGCTATAGTTGTATATACTATACGTGACATGAAAATGACTGTGCCATAACATATACAACTTATTTAACACCGGGATGATAAGATTTGGCAATTCACCTATTGTGCTTCTGAGTTCAATTCATCATTTGTATAATCTACCATGTTTTTTTTTTTTTTAAACATTCAGGTTGAGAGTCATCACTTATGGTTGTAAATTCGAATTGCCCAATCTCATGAGTTTGCCAAATTTGGTGGCATGAAAATGGCTATACCATTATTTATATACCACTTATTTAAAATCAAACCGTGATTCAAGTGATAAAAATATGTGGATTGAAACGTTGTGTTCTCTCTAAGACAATCCACATAACATAGTTATCATTCTAAATGAATTTTCGTTGTGGATCACGAAAGCAGTTATATATATATATATATGCTTGAATCGTCTGTTCTGACAAGTTTGTGAGATATAATAGCAAGAATGATAATTTGGGTTAGCTTAGAGTAGAAAGAGGATGTAGTGTGACAAACAAGGATGGGGACGGATAGCACGGAGCGTTGACTAGGCTATTAATACAAGTCAAAGTCTTCAATTTGGCCTCCATGTTCCTATGAAATTTCCACAACATGGAAAGCCTTACGGCACCCACCATCAATATTCCTTTTCAAATTGATAAGCACAAACAATATAGCGCATATATGATTTCTGAAAGAGATAGATAGCCTAATTGTGTATGCAAACACACGCAAGTCACTATTACAATTCGAGTGATCACTTTTAGAATGTCTTTTTGATAATTACCAAGCCAAGGTAATGGGAATGGCAGATAAATATATATCTCCTCGTATAACAATAAGTACTTGTGTTGGAACATCTACTTCTAATGGTAGTTTCTTTGATTTTATAAGTTTAGCGGTCTTGTAGTGGCAATGAAACATACTAAAAGACTAATCGATTAATTAAGTAGGATCGTGCCTGCGGAGATGTATACCTATATATGTTAGAGGTGACACTAGTGACTAAGAACATTTGCGCGGTAAAACCATAACGTCTTACGTCTAGTACATGTAATGAGTTTCAACTTCATTAGCAAAATAAACCGCACTTCCTACAAACGCTCACATGACTATTTGAGATGCTTGTCACAGACGTCCCAAACATAAGATATGATACATCTAAACGATAAACGCAGTTTTAATAATAGCTTATGAGATTGCATATATCAGCCTTTGTCTGTGTGTTTTCACATGCAGAATTTAAGCCCTAACTTCACCTCAATCGGCAGATAATTAAGCCCCCACCCCCATAGTGGGTATGTAGGAGGCAGGAAGATTCAAAGGTTTTATGGTACCACCAAATGCGCCCACAATGATGAGATCTTTATTATTCTATTGGACTACTTATTGTTCTTAGGAGTTTGAAAACAACTGTGTGATAATCATAAATCATAATATATTAAAAAGTCGTCAGGTAGTGAGATTCTATCTTTTATTTTCATTGGTTTAAGGGATGGACTTAACACGTCTGTGGTGGAAGTCAACTATAGAAAATCAAACTTGTACAACCCCCCAAAAAAGCTATAGGTGACTATGGCTGGCTAGCTCCACAGTCCATACCATTTAAGCTAATATTATTCAAAGTTTGACAACCTCTCAAACCATCCGACTTAGAATCACACGATTGGGTGGTGTTTTGTTCTTTTTGACAAAGGGTGATCCAGGTTTAATTAATCAATAAATTTCAAGCATTAGCACATGAAAAAAAAAAACGACTCGCAATTCATACAAGAATCGACTCGTAATTCATACAAAATATAGAGAAACTGAGGTAGAATTTAACGTAGAAAAGAGGACGGTTTGAGGGAGAAAGAGAGGAGACTAGCCAACAGGATTAGAGTTGGCGCGGAGTAGAAAAAATTCTTTAGTAATTTACTACTTGATTTCTACTTCATAAATTACGTAAAAGATAAAGCCTAAAACCTCTTTAAACCAGGATTGGAGCTACGTGCAACACGGGATGGGCCCCATCCCCCAGGACTTTAAGGATACTTAGTATAAATTTATAACCACAGCCTGTTTTGTAAATTATGTCATGTAATAGCCATGTGGTCTAAATGGTAGCACTTCTCTCTTAAAGCACACATGGGTTCAATCCCCATTTGCCATATACATTTTGCATTCTCCAAACCAAAAGGAAATCTCTCATTTAATTCCTATCTACGAAACTATACCAAACGAAAATCTCCCATTTAATCCTCATCTACGAACCTATTTTAATACGTTCAATGATCTCAAAGAATGTCGTATACTTGTAAAATAATTCTAGAATATAAATAAATATTACAAATATGGTTGACAAAAATGACAAACATGGTGGACAAAAATAACAAAGGTTAAAAACATTACAAAAGAAACCGACAAACAGTACAAAGTATACTAACCATGTCCAACCGGTTTGGAATGGGGAAAATCATCGACTCTCTCTCTCTCCCCTCTCTTTGCTGGGAATGGGGGAAAATCCCCATAAAAGTGGATCGCCGGCTTGGAATGGGGAAAAAGAGCGTTGGGAAAGGGGGACCGCCGACGCTGAGATAAGTCGGGGAGGCTGGCCGTCGGGAGAAATTTCCCAGAAACGCCTGACGGGAGCGGCAACGGGTAGTTGTGGGCCCGCATTTATTTTTGTTTATTTTAATTGCTAAATAAATAAATAAATTGTGTATTTACTATCATGGCCTTTATTAAATGAGATTAATCACAATCATTGGATTAAAACTTAAATGAATAGATGCTATTGGCTTAATTATGAGACTAAGAAACCCCATTAGTCCCTTGATCTTAGCCCAATCTTTGAATCTGAAAATGTTAATAATTTGCATATTATATTACAAAATGGAGCAAAATATTAGCTAAGATTCTAAAAGATTCCACCGGCCCACTTGGTTGCTCCCTCCCTCAAATTCTTCGTCAACTTTCATCCCATTACTGCTCTATATAACAACCTGTCGATCGATGTATCTTAGAGAAGAAGCCTATGATAGTATATTTCCCATGGCCGGCCGGTTTGGAGTATGAGTCATCACAATATGCATGATCGAAGGATCCCTCGAAAAAACCTAGGAAATTGCCTAAATTATACCAACTACAATAATTGTATAGCTTGCTAAGGAAGGCCAATTAATTTATGCCACGACAAGTCGACAATTAGTTTATTGTATTAATCAGAGTCGTTAGGAGAGGTCTATAACTCAACTATTTCTTTACATGTGTATACATACACACTTAGTCATCATACGATTATTGCTGAGATCTGCCAACAACTAATTATTGAAAGGTCTGTGAACCTTATATGTTGCATTACAGGTTTGGAGTTAAGAGAGTGGTATAAAATTTGTTCCAAAACCTCTCTTAACAACTCAAGTTATTGGAATATAGAACTAAACGATTTTTGTATAATATTAGAGTGCTTGTGATGACCAGGAGGTCTTGCATGTGTTCGAATCTTATAATCTCACAATATCAACTATTGATTCAATCATGATCAGTGGCGGATCCAGGGCTGGGCCAACCCAGGCCCCGGCCCAGCCCTCCTCCGGATCCAGAGTTAGTTTAGTGCTTATAAAATTTTTCGATTTAGGTATTTGCCCCAATGTTATTTAAATTTCTGTCTAGTTTTATTAGATAATAGGATTTTGTGTAACTAGGAAAATGGTTCAGATGAACATATTCAAACCATTACTCTAAATTTATACTAAATTTTCTATAGCCCCAATGATTTTATTTGAAAAATGACATGAAAACCTAAAAGTGTAAAGTTTCATTAAAATTAAAAAAAAAAAACTCTAAACTAAAGCACACCCTTCCTTGCAAAATTCAAAAAAAAAATCTCAATCCCCCCAAAACAAAACAAAAACGAGGAGACGAGCAGACCCAAAATGGATTTCTCTGCTAGCCCGTCGAGCTGGTTTTCTTTCCATTCTTTTGATTAAGTAAATATTTACAAACTTGCTGAGTCATCATTTAGATTGCCTCAATTGAGTGAGTCACTAGATTCTAACCGTTCTTTCTGGTGTTTTGATGAAGAAAATATTTACAAACTTGCTCAAGAGTTTAGCCTCGAGACTTTGAAGGCTATGAGATGCATTCTTTGGAGAATGCACTACTCATATGAGGAAGATGAAGTTTCTTCTCTTGCAAAATTATTAGAGAAGCTGGAGGAAACAGGGATGGACACATAATACAAATTGATTTGTCGGTTGATTTGTCTAGTGTTGACCTAGCCGTTTCAACAACTACCATGAAGAGAATATTTTCAGCAATGCATGAACATTGATCTGTGCAACAAAATGAGCGATGGATTTCTCGTTGATTACTTAGCTATTTTCTTTGAAAAATAGTATATTATCAGTATGGATGGAGATTATATTATTGATGAATTTGCTAAATTAAAAGACCTTATTGTACAATTAACGTTGTAATGAAAAGTATATTATTATATGTTTTTGTTTATGGTATCTAATATTTATTCAAATACGGCCCAGTGCTCTCTTATGTCCTGGATCCGCCGCTGATCATGATGTATGACGGGTCCAAACAGCTTCAAACTCATAGGTTGGTCCTTGTATGAAAGAGCGTATAAGATAATGGTATAGTAAGATCCATTATAGAACATATCCCCAACTGGTGTTCGACACCGAGCTAGGATCCGAACATAAAACACCTATCAATCAAACAACTTTAATATCATATTAAGAATCAATTCATAATTCCCAAAAACTCAAATTGTTATGAGAGATGATCATTCAAACATCAATCATATATCACTCCGTAACACTTTGATTATGACATTAATAAACTTCAAGTGTGTTAGTCAAAAGTACTACTTCAACTAAGAGTGCCTTGGCCAATTATGATCACACAACTATATATATATATATAGGAGCATTCCATTCCACCCACTAGACATGCATGTGATGTTATAAAACTGTCTAGATCAGTTGCCTCACACCAAATGGTAGAAAAAAAGTTTCACAGGAGAAACGTATTTTCAAGCTCTCCCCCCACCCAAAGCAGGAAATCCGTCCAAAGTGGTGGAAAATTAAGCTTGCACGTGAAATTCCAGACGATTACACTTATTATTATCAGTACAAATTGTGCTCCATCTTTCGTGCTTTATATTAATTGGCAATGGCAGAAAAAGGGGGTCTCCAAAGTGCTGTGATGGATCATGTGAGGAATTGCTCATCAGACATCAGTTTAATGATATAAAAATGTCTCTGTGTAAACATTCATTTCATCTTTGCCTTTATTTCGTTCCAGCTATTGTTGAGCGCTGCAGGCTCCACCAGCCGTCATTGCAGTTGCAGGTACTGCAGTAAAAAAAACCTAATTTACGACTCCGCTGGGGATCGAACCCAGAATCTCTGGTTTCGTAGACCAGCGCCTTATCCATTGGGCCACGGAGTCAACTTGTTATGCTATGCAATATAATAATTAATTCACAGATAAAGTCATAGCTAACCTATCATATTGTCCATATTGTCTTGCATTTCTGCATCAAACAACTATTTGATTTACAAATTTTGTTTCAACCAAATAAAATAATGGCTGAGAACATTGTGGGTGCTTATTCGAGCTTCATTTGGTACGATATGTTTTTAAGATAAATGGAATATGTGGAGATGTGATTATAGTTTCGATGATTGTCCACTTGTTTTGGCTTCTGATTTGGCTTTGAAGAGGAACTATGGAATTTACTTCATATGTATTAGGTGGACTATAGATAAATTTGGATTTGTATAGTTATACTAACATCTCCAGAAATCTTGAAATTTTGAAGTAATCTATCGTTGGATTATAGATGTGATTTGAATTGATGTAGTCATACACTCATACTCAAATCGTGTTTGTTAATGCTTACTTTTATGAATGCTCTGAACTAAGAAAAAATTAACTACAATAAATTGGATAGCCTTTATAATGATCTATGACTAATTTCGAACCAAGTTTTAAGATACTTGTATGAAGTGATGGTTCAATTCTTGTAACACATAAACCTAATGTTGGAAGATTACCAAAGCAAAAGGTTTCTCATAAATGTCTCATATTGCCCCCAGCCCCCCTACACAACTTGGATGTGGGACAGCCAGATAGCCAAGTAAGCCGGCTGAGGAGGTTGCCATGGAATTTTCCAAAAGGCAAGTTGGAGAGGAAAAGGAGGCAAAAGAGTTCACACAAAAACCATTTTACATAGCTAATTTAGATAAACGTCACTAAACTTCAAGATTGTTAATAGATTGGTAACTACATGTTAAATTATCCACAAAGTTGGCACAAAAGTTTGGAATAACTAATATTATAGTCAACTCCATCCAATTCCGACGTGTTTTTTTATCCAAATTAACAGTCAAATCACATAAATTATCAATGCATAGGTCAAATAGACCTTCTAATTAACTATAGAGTAGAAAGATGATTTGAGTTTCTAATATGTCTTGAAATTCGTTAGCACTAATGAGTTTGATTCCGAACATGTATGAGTCAAGATGGGTAGTTCAAGTTGGCTACATAAGTTCAGTATTACTATCATCAAATTGATTGAGTTGATACATTATTAAGGACAATATAGTCAAAATCTTATCACGATATACGAACATGATCATTAGACAACCGAGATTGAGTGCCTAACTTGTTAGTACCCTAAAGTTTAGATGTTATGGACTCCTTATTTTTAGGCTCTAATTCAACTAATCTTCCTACTCAAAACCCCTCAAATTTCAACCAAAGATTTTCCAATCTCCCAAGTCAAACAAACAAACAAAAAAGAGAAATGAAGAAAAAAATAAATGAATATTAACACAAAGGCTCCCTTCTTCTCCCTCCCCTGTCTATAAATATATACACAGCACAAGCCTGCAAATCCTAGATTCCCAACTCTGTTTCCCCCTGTCAGAGAAACTCCCCAACTCATCCAACCCACCCCATTCATTAAAACTCCCCTCCTTCTTCGCCCTTCTTGTTTGCTCTGCCATTTCTTCAAGCTGAAGAACAATGGTGGGAACAGAGCAATCTCCACCTGGTAATAATCACCAGCAGCAAGTAAGTCTCTTCCCACGCACCCATACTTTAGGTTTCAAAGATTCTATAGCTTTGTGGTCTGGGAAACTGTAAAGTTTCAACCTTTCATCCTTTTTGTTCGTAAGGCTTAATGTTAGATGGATTGTAATTGTCTGTTAGTTTCTTAACAATTCATAAGTTCCCTTTATTTTTTAGTTCTGGGTTCTTTTTCCCTCTGGTCTAGCTTGGGGCAGAGCAAAACTTTCACCTTTTAAGTTTCGATCTTGTGAACGTTTTTGGGAGGAATTGAGGTTAAAATTTACTCACTCTGTTTTACCCTTCACATTTTGATTGTTCATCTTCTGATTAGAACTCTGTTTTCCTTCCTCTCTGTTTTTGGGTTCTAGCCAGAAAAGGCTTTTACTCTGTTTAATTATACAAATTACTATAATCTTAACTGGAAGTTGTAATTAAGAAGGTTAACCTCATCTCACCATTCTAAGGTGAAAAAAACAATGACCATATACCTCCTTGTCAAAGCCAATTGTTTCTTGTGCTCTGTTTTGCCGGCAACTACAGAAATGGACGAAAATATCAACACCTCTCTGAATCATTCTTTGTTTTAGAGGCCAGCCCACTTCTGAAAATTCAGTTAGATTAACTCTAAATTAGAATTAATAGAAGTTTTCTTCTTTCCCATTCCCCGATTCTGCCACTTATTATGGTTGTCTTCTTCTGTGAGTGTCATGTGCTTGAACAAGTCAACAATCCCCTGTTAAAAAAAATACAAATCAAGTTATTAAGAGAGAGGAAGCTCAAGAAGTAATCCACTTGGATGCTGAGGTTTATCTCTAATATACAAGTCAACAGTTGCATCTGTAAGGAATCATAACAAACATATAATAATACTGCAACGATGCATGTATGTTTGATTTTTTTTCCTTGCCTTGGATTTCTCTCCCTTATCTTATCAGGAAAAAATGTTCTTATTTCTGGTGTTTTGCAAGTTTTTTTTTTTATTATTGATTTCTGTTAATGCCGATTAAAACACAAAATAGTGAAAAGAAAGAAGGAAATTAAGGGGTCTTGTCTTGTCTTGTCTTTTCTCCAGAGAGTTTGGAACATGGATTGGCTACCTAGATTCATTCTATAGGGTTCAAGAATTGCACTTTTTGAGAATCTGCCAAAGAGAGAAGCTTTTTCTAGTGGGTACACTTTTTGGTGTTCTGGGCCACATCCCATCCCAAATGTTTCGTTTTTTAATGGGTTTGTGAATTGTGATAGTAATGAACCATTGTGAAACTTTTGGCAGGTGGATGATGAGAAGCTAGCAAAGCAGAAAGCAATTGATGAGTGGCTTCCAATCACTGGCTCGAGGAATGCCAAATGGTGGTACTCTGCTTTCCACAATGTCACTGCCATGGTTGGAGCTGGTGTTCTCAGTCTCCCTTATGCCATGTCTGAGCTTGGATGGTAAGTCAATCATTTCTCCCAAACAAGCCCCCCTAGACTTGTTGTTTTTTTACCAAATGAATAGGACCGATTTGGGAAGAATTAAGAAGTTTAGTGATCATTTTTGAAAATTAGCATGGCTCTTATTTCTTGTTTCTCTCTTTACCAGGGGTCCAGGAGTTGTAATCCTGGTGCTGTCATGGGTCATCACACTCTACACACTCTGGCAGATGGTGGAGATGCACGAGATGGTGCCCGGGAAGCGATTCGATCGATACCACGAGCTCGGCCAGCATGCCTTTGGAGAGAAGCTTGGCCTCTACATTGTTGTGCCACAGCAACTCATCTGCGAAGTTGGTGTCTGCATTGTGTACATGGTCACAGGAGGTAAATCACTCAAGAAGTTCCATGACACAGTCTGCCCAGACTGTAAGAACATCAAGGTTACCTTCTTCATCATGATTTTCGCCTCCGTCCACTTTGTCCTCTCCCATTTGCCAAACTTCAACTCCATCTCTGGTGTCTCCCTAGCTGCTGCTGTCATGTCACTGAGGTAAACAAAAATTTCCAAACCATCATCAGGATTCTGATTCTACTCTTACATTTTTCCATCTTATGATCCTGAATTCCTGATTTCGATCTGTTCTCTCGTAGTTACTCCACCATTGCCTGGTCAGCATCATTGCACAAGGGTGTCCAGCCAGATGTTCAATATGGTTACAAGGCCAAGAGCACAACAGGAACAGTATTCAACTTCTTGAGTGCTTTGGGAGATGTTGCGTTTGCATATGCAGGGCACAATGTGGTGTTGGAGATTCAAGCAACGATTCCATCCACACCAGAGAAGCCATCGAAGGGCCCCATGTGGAGAGGAGTGGTAGTTGCATACATTGTTGTGGCACTCTGCTACTTCCCAGTTGCCTTAATTGGATACTGGATGTATGGGAACTCAGTTCAGGACAACATCCTTATCTCCTTGGAGAAGCCTTCTTGGCTCATCGCCATGGCCAACATGTTTGTTGTCATCCATGTCATTGGTAGCTACCAGGTAAGACCAGAAAGAAACCAGTAATTGTAATTCCTTGTTGTTTGGGGTCGCTAAAGAATCGAATAAGCTAGTGACACCGAAGTTGAATAATCGTTCATGCAACTGACCCAACATTGCGTCTGACATGCTGATAAATGTCTTATGCTTTGATGCAGATCTATGCAATGCCTGTGTTTGACATGATGGAAACCTTGTTGGTCAAGAAACTTAACTTCACACCCAGCTGGATGCTTAGGTTCTGCGTTCGCAACTTCTATGTTGGTAAGTGAACTCAATAAAGCTCGAGGCTATCAATGAAAACAATCTGACCCACTTACAATGTGGATTTCTTGGAACTTATGAAAGCCAACCTGGTTGCTTCTTCTTGTGACAGCAATGACTATGTTCGTTGGTATCACCTTCCCCTTCTTTGGTGGCCTCCTCGGTTTCTTCGGAGGGTTTGCTTTCGCGCCAACCACATACTTTGTAAGTGTCACAAAATTGGACAGAACAAGACACAATGTTTTGAATCTTGGGTCACAAGCAATTTGATTCCGAACCTGCATGCTAACTGCAACGTTAACTGTTTGTTCTGTTCTGCCAGCTGCCTTGTGTAATGTGGCTAGCCATCTACAAGCCAAAGAAGTTCGGCTTATCTTGGTGGGCCAATTGGGTAAGGGATTAATGGTTAGATTCCGTCTTAAGATTGAAAATTCAAAAGGGTCCTCTTACATTGTTCTGTTCTTGTAATTATGTTCCACTTTAATTCCCTGTTCTTGGTCTTGCTGCAGGTCTGCATTGTGTTTGGAGTGTTGCTGATGGTCCTCTCACCAATTGGTGGGTTGAGGTCAATCATCATTCAAGCTAAGACCTACAAGTTCTATAATTGAAGCATTATATCGATCGATCGATAACACAGAGAAACCCTGTGAAACATCATAGGTTGAGGGTGAAACGTTTGGGAGTATTGCACAGCAGCAAAGTAGTTGGGTTAAGATGTTAAACAAACAAGAAAGAGTAGTTTGATGTGCAGTTTCCTTAATGTCTGATTTGTTTCCCCTTCTGTTTGTGGTTTGTTTATGAGAGATATGGTGGTGATGTAATGATGGGGGAGGGTTATAATATTGGGTTTTACAGAAGAAAACAGAAATATGATGAGGTTTCTCAAACTGACCCTTTACTACTTTACCATACAGTGTCTTGATTAATGAAAGTGAAAGCCATTGGATACAAGAGTGGAATTTGTCAAACACTTGCCCACCCTTTTTGGTTTAAGCTCTTTTGTCTTTCTTCCTCGGCAAATTCCCAACGCATCAGAAATATAGCATTTGGCTCTTTGCTTCGAAAATAGTATAAAATTCATCATAAAATATAAATAAGTACCGGTTTCAAAATGTAACCGAAGTAACTCGAGTACGTGCACTAGATCCCTAAGTTTATTATGGAACAAACATCCCATAGGAGTGTTATCAAAGACAAAGAGGTAGATTAGATGACACAATAATGGAAATTTTACCTCAGCTCCTTGACTCACTATTTTGGAGGAGTAAGAGGATTTATTTGATTATGAAACATAAGTTTGAGAAAAACAAAAATTGGAACATATATGTAGGTTGTGGGTCTGTGTATATTACACCATAATGGATACAATAATTCGTTATTCAATATGTATTAATGAGTTTGTAAACTTTATATTTACAAATTCTTGGTTAACTTTTTATAAATTACACCGATCTATACGTGATAAACTAAGGTACATAAGTAGATATGACAACCTTATAAAACAAAAAAGATTTTTGATTGATGAAGTATGCTAGAGGAGAGGTGTTAGAATTTGGTTTGCAAACTATACATCATACTAAATTTTTAAGATTGTCAACGTACATGTAAAACATGACAGGATTAAGATAAATGGGGCATTTTTTAGTATGTTGGCAACATTATCCACGCTTAAGTCCAAGATCCAGCATCTATAGACTCCAGTTCTCTACACCCTTCAAGCTATTTTTTCCAGATAACTTCTCAGTATTCTAGCTAATTATATCTTCTTGTTAATTTGTCAATATATTCCCTCGTGATTTCGGATATATCATGTAAACTCGATAATTAGCTAGAATATATATTAGTCCGCTTGACTTGACTTACTATAGATGTATGTCAAAGTTCTCCACACCACTAATGTAATAATTACTAACCGCACTTATAATAACTTTTACCATAATTACAGTATTAAAGTACTTTTCCGGCCAACATAATTTGTTCTTTTAAGATACTATTTAATGAATTCGAACCTACAACCTCCAAGTTCTAGACTAGTGATATTAACACTAGTCCAAGCTTCGTGCCAACATCTAAATTCTGTATAGATGGAAATTCATTTCTCCATTAAAATGTGTTTCATTGCTTGACAAAGTTTAATACGACATCATCGACCGAACTCGCCCCTACCCCAATTTCACCATCGCCATCAAAAACCCAGAAGCCATTAAAGAGATTGACCGCCACCACAAACAACACCACCATCATCATACGAACTCACCTTCCTCCAAATTTCACCGTCATCGTCAAAACCCAGAAACCATTGGGATCTTTTCCACCAAAAAAAGCTGCTGCTGCTCCAGGAGACCAAAGCTAACTAGTTGCTCGTCGAACAACCGGCCTGTGAGGCTTTGGAGCTGTACGCAAGAAAAGTAACATGTTAGTCACTCCTGCATAATGCACATGTCCCATGTTTAAACTTCATTCGATCTCTGCAGACTGCATATAGAATGCTGGGTAGAGAGATGTTACCACAAGTAGCACATCATCTCTTCACATAACAAAATGAACTGTTTTATGCGGCTTATTACCCTCTTTCTACTTCTAGTTGAATTCGATTTCATCAAGTGCCATTACATTTTCACATTGTCCCTTCACATAATTAGATTACTCTGTTTTATACTCTGATCCACACCAAGGAAAGAGGGATACCATTAGGGTTTCCTTGCTCGTAGAAACTCCGGAAAAGAGCGACTGCTTCTGATGCCATTATTCCCCCGCTACATTTGAAACCTTTTCCTTCTTGTCTAACTTCCCCACTGTAGAATTTAAAGGGCACAAGTCCTAAGTGCAGTGAGAGAGACAAGAGTGTCCTAAATCATAACTGCAACAAACATTGCCTATTCATTTATAGCTAGGAAGAGGTAATGAAAATATATACTGTGCAACAAGTAAATGAACCAACCTTGTAAGTGATTGTGGGTTGACTGAATGCAACGACAATACTGATCCACACCCTCCAAATTTGTCATTGGCACATCCATAATATACTTCCTTCATACCTTGAGAAGAAAGAAGATGAGACTTGTGCTTTAGATATCAAGCTAAGGGTGAAAAAAAGAGTGGAAAGGAATGCCTTGGTGAGGGAGCATATAGGGTTACCAAGGATCGAGAGAGCTGCAGCACACATTATACAAGGTTCGCAAGTGACGTAAAGATTGCATTTTGAAAACTTCTCTGCGACTTCCAGTTTCGATAGTCCATTCTTTTGCCACCTCTCGAGAAGAAAGTCGATTGCTTCCATCTCTGCATGTCTCGTAGCCTGCCACAAAGAGCAACATACAACGGTTTGATAATTCACAATAGCATACTTCGTTCTAGGCAAGGATGAACCTGAGATGAACTTACATTTCTAGTCTCTGATGTTCTATTTCTTCCAGATGCAACAACTCTCCCATCTTTAACAATCACACAACTGCGATTCCCAAAGAAAATTTTACGTTTCATTTTAGTTTTTTCCTTTAGGATTCCAATATCAAATTAGCAGTAGCAGAATGCAGCTTACCCAACTGGCACTTCAAGCGAATCCAGTGCTTCTTTTGCCTGCAGTACGATGAAGATTAAAAAAATCATGGAGTGGCACGTATTCAATTAAACAAAAAGTTATCACACTCATTACAACATAAAGAGATAAGGCATAATGTCATCATGGGCCAAGAGCTGCAAGAGACAATGCTAAACTAGCATGTCAAATGGTGCCGAAAGTAAGAATAGAAATGAGGACTGTATATGTTCTTCAATCACTGCATACAAGGTTAATTACTTCTTGTCGACAACTTGGGTAGGGAAAACAGAGTAAATCTTCACTGTTTTCTCCAACTCTATTTTATTTTGTAAGCTAACTATAACAGGAATTACCTGATCCAGTGCAAGCTCCATGTAAGCGAGAGTTTCAGGTGAAATGCCTTGTCCAGTAGAAGAGCAATCCATTTCTGGTGTACAACTCGCCTGGCACACAAAGAAATCATGAAGCAGATGGAGCGATGCGAAACCTTAGGCAGGTCAGGGGAAAAAGCAGTTACGCTAAATGACTAGAGACATTATAACAGTTTATTTAATAATGGTGGGCCAAATTTATTACTCAAGGAAAGTAAACGCAGCAAAGGCTGCAGATAAACCAGTAAAGAAAACATAATCAGCATGCAGGGAAATCCAGCAGTCGTTATCACCGAGCTTCTGTATATACGGCTCTAATAGTTCTGGTTTCTTGTAACTTCTTATTCAATTCAGAACTCTTAAATTCTCGACTTAATGATGATGATGCTGATGATGCAGATGCAGATGCAGTGGAATATGTGTGGAAGAAGTGGAGGCTGCTAGCAGCCTAAGTAAGCTTCTTATAGAAAGGAGTTCTTAAGGCTGAAAGTGATCATTATTAGCTTTTTTTCTCTCTAAAATGGTGCGTTTCCACTTTCCAGTCATCTGTCGTCTCTGTGAAATGTTAAGTAGCAGTTGAAAGTTGTCTGGCATTACATTAGGTGGCCAGCTAATTTACGGTTCAAATATACAGTGTTGTGTTGGTGCGCTCATACACGCATGTATGATGATTCCCTTGTTACTATTCTAAGTAAAGCCTTCATCCCAGCCGCTATACACATTAGCTTCGTTAGTTTAGATGATGAATCTTTATATGGATTAGCTATTCGAGTGTTCTTTCTTCTCTCAGTTTTGAGTTAGAAACACAATCAGACGCAGTGGATCATAGACCTAAACTCTTTGCATTCTTCCGACCAAGTAATTAAGCAAGTAGAGTAGCACCACTTTAACCAGCCTCTACACTTCCTTGTCTTTTAACTCGGCCATCACATGTTTTACTTGCAATTAGAGTCAAGTCATTGGTAGCTAGCAAGCTATAACTTGGTACTCTTGACACTCACGTCATTTTTAGCACCCAAATATTGCAGCATGCTAGCTAGCTAGCTAGCTAGGAACTGTTAAATTGCAGAGGTATCTTCCAAATTTCCCACAAGTTCTTGAAACCCATTCATTCATTCAGTCATACAATACAAGGATTGCCGATAAAGAGAAAATCACGCCGCAATTTCAAATAAATGAACGAAGTTGAAGATTTGACAAGTAGAAGAACTCACTTGAGCGCATGTAGTCTCTGTGCGCGGGGTAAATTGCCCAACCTGTCCGAGCTGCAATTGGAAGGGGATTTAGCAGCTTGTGGACGCCGGCTGGACTTGAGCTAACTTCAACCCAATCGACAGATCCTCCGCTTCTCAGTTTCTTTAGCGCGAAAATTGGCTTGGCGCGGTGGTGAGTTTTCCCGCGGCGCAGGGGATAATGATTAATGAAGGAGGGGGTTGAAAATGGGGAAAGGCCGAGATGAGCCAGGTCGGGGTTGATCCGCAATGTTAATGGGCCAAGTTAGATTGGATGCGGAAAAGTCGGGCTTAGAACTCTATTGACCTGGCCCAACTTTATTTAGGCTTTCAATGGACTCCCGCTCCAAAGGGGCACGCGCAAATATATGATGATAGATTAGGAAGGGAATTGATGAACATATACATACATAGAAACAAAAATGTATCTTCTGCACTTAGAGCTGCGTCCTGCTTCATTCAGGATTCTGTAGGATCCCAACTAACAATCATATTTACTTTTTTTGTAACAATATTCCATGAATCGAGTTTTTTTTTTTTTTAACAAAACAATATTCTATGAATATATGGTTATGGTACATAATAATTAAATGTACCTAATCAAAGATAACTATGGACAGTAAAAAAGATAGAAGAAAGAGACTGCAATTAATCCTTTTTTCACCATTAAAAATCGGACCCCAGAACGCGTCAGTTAAAATTGAGAGGTTGAGATTCTCTTATTTATCCTACAAATCAGTCTGGTTGGAATGAGTATCTGTGAGAGATCCACATTTACCGCTGAGCTGGGTTTTGCTTCTTTCTTTTACACAAAATAGATTTTCACCATTCTCAGTTTTCAGTTTTCACCAGGACTTAATCCATAGCCAAATCCCCAGAATCAGGGCATGGTAAAAAAAAAAGTTAAAAAGGAGAAAGTAAATCTGCCACCATTTGATATCTCACTGTCTCAAAAGGTAACTATATATAAATTATCCTCCTTTACCTAACATCACAGTAAAAAAAAAGTATATATATAATCCTATAGAGATCAGCACCAGCCTCTCGGCACATTGTAACTTTGTTGGGAGTGGAAGGGAATGTCAAAGAGGCAAAGCCTTGTGGTAAAACAATTTTTTTACTTGATCGTCGGCAGAAGGTCTCTCACTGCTATTTTGTAGCTATAAAGTTACCACTCTCTACACGGTATCCTTTGTGCATATTATTACCTCGCCGTTAACCCTTGCCGGCCGGCGGTGAAAGGAAGAAGAAGAATCGTAATCATGGACACTCAGGCTCAGGCTCAGGCAGAACCTAAACCCGAAGAGGTCCCCAGCAATGAAGTAAGCATTGTATCCTACATATATATATATACGTAGGACGAAAGCTCAGGTGGGTTGCTGGTTTGATCGTGTGATGACGATGATGTTTTATATATGTTGACAGACGGAGGAGGAAAGGAAGAAGAAGATCGACGATTGGCTGCCCATCACCGGCTCCAGGAACGCCAAGTGGTGGTATGCTGCATTCCACAATGTCACCGCCATGGTTGGAGCTGGCGTCCTCAGTCTGCCATATGCCATGTCTCACCTTGGATGGTACGTCTATAACAAGGTTTCTGAATGAAATCTTATCGTAGTAGTAGTACTCGAAATCCTTCGAATCTCTTGCAAATTTGTTCACTCGGATCGATATTGATTGATTTTGCTATAATGTACGATTGTAGATTTACATGAATTGATGATCTTTGTACAATTTTAATTTGATGTTAATTTTCCTTTTTTTAACATAATTGATGATTATATAATCGAAGAAGTTCATAGTTTGTGTTTCAGTTTGATGGTCTAAGAGATCATCAATTTGTGTAATCATTGTAGTAAGCCCTGTTTTCCGATTCTACGTTACAAACCAATATACAAAGTCACCCCCAACATGTAATTGGAAATCAAAATCTTGGACCTTCTTTTTCTTCTTTCTGGCAGGGGACCTGGAACAGTGATACTGGTGCTGTCATGGGTGATCACTCTGTACACACTGTGGCAGATGGTGGAGATGCACGAGATGATTCCAGGGAAGCGACTCGATCGATACCACGAGCTCGGCCAGGCAGCCTTCGGTGAGAAGCTAGGTCTGTACATCGTCGTCCCACAGCAGCTCATATGTGAAGTAGGTGTAGACATAGTGTACATGGTGACAGGAGGAAAGTCGCTGCAGAAAATTTACAACCTGGCCTGCGGGGATTGCAAGAACATCAAGCTGACATACTTCATCATGATCTTTGCCTCCCCTCATTTTATCCTTGCTCACTGCCCCAATTTCAACTCCATCTCTGTAGTCTCACTTGCCGCGGCAGTGATGTCGTTGAGGTTCGTCCGCAAATTCTGTTTCTCAGATCCTTTCTGTGTCATTACTTCATTTCTTAGTTGAGTGACCTGAGGGGAGCTTCTTTCTTTCTTTGCACACAGCTACTCCACTATTGCCTGGGGAGCTGCTGCTGACAAGGGTCGTCAACCAGGAGTATCATATTCCTCAGTAGCCTCAACTCCCACTGGAGGTGTCTTCAACTTCTTGGGTGCTCTTGGAGAGGTAGCTTTCGCCTATGCTGGCCATAACGTTGTCCTCGAGATTCAAGCAACGATCCCTTCCTCGCCCGAGAGGCCATCGAAAGTGCCCATGTGGAGAGGAGTCGTTGTAGCTTACATTGTGGTGGCACTCTGCTACTTCCCAGTAGCTCTGGTAGGGTACTACATATTCGGCAACAAAGTGGAGGACAACATCATGCTCTCCCTTGAGAAACCCGTTTGGCTCGTCATCGTCGCCAATGCTTTCGTTGTCATCCATGTCATTGGCAGCTATCAGGTACTGGTGATAGATAATCTCTTCCTCGCATGCTGAAACAAAATATACTAATTTGAGTTTCACAATAGCTCTTCACCGTTCAATTACGATCCAACCGACCATCCACAACTCATTTTGGCTTCTCCCATTGTAGTTGTTTGCAATGCCTGTCTTCGACATGATGGAGAGTACCCTGGTGAAGAAGCTCAACTTCAAGCCATCCTTCAAGCTTCGATTTATTACTCGTACCGTCTACGTTGGTAAGTTAGTGAAAATCTTTCACATTCTCAAATCAGGGGCATTGATATTCGATTCTGGGGTTTCTAATGGTGAACTTACTTGCTTCACTTTTTTTCAGCACTCACAATGTTTATCGGCATCACCTTCCCTTTCTTTGGTGCGTTGCTTAGTTTCTTTGGAGGATTCGCTTTTGCACCAACGACATACTTCGTAAGCTTTCAACCTTCTTTCTGAGACCCTTTCTCGCTCTTATGTCGGATAATAACTGGTCACTGGTCTTTTTTGTTCTGTCTCGGCAGCTCCCCTGCATCATTTGGCTTGCCATCGTCAAGCCAAAGAAGTTCAGCCTTTCATGGTTCATCAACTGGGTAAAAATTTCAATCATGAGCAGCCTTTAGTAATCTCAGTTTACCAAAGTATAGATTGTTAAGCAAAAACCATCAGCTGATTACCTTTTGTTCCTGTTTCGCTGGCTGCAGATTTGCATCATACTTGGGGTAATGCTGATGATTCTGGGGCCGATTGGAGGATTAAGAAACATCATCGTGCATGCCAAAGATTTCAAGTTCTACAATTAGTTTGAGAAACAACAGTTGCAGTAGATTGAAGGAAATGAAACTGACAATGATGAAAAAAGAAGCCGAAGGAAGGGCATTTCAAACTGTTGTTCTTAGAGGCCTGTTATTCTATTTTAGGATGTCAATCAGATTTAAGATTTTATTTTGTCTCATTGCCAGAGTAGGAGGTTTGGAATACAGTACCAGTTTGTTTACCACTTCTGTTGATAACTTGGTATTCTTCTGCACTTCTGTTTTCTATTGTGAACAGTATCTTCTTAGGAAAGTAATGTAGTTGGGATTCCATTTCTTCATCTGTTGATTAGTCATCCACTCATCCTCCAGTGACGAATGCACATACTCAAGATCCAAAAGAAACTAAGCAGATAATACTCTTCTGATATATTATTGACAGACTGCATTACACGAACTCATAGCCAGCTGAAGCATACAGGGGTGGCTATACAGTTCACAATCTAAGCACAAACAGAAAACGTTAATGCTTCCATAAGATATATATGGCGTGAAGATATCGCAAGGGCATTCACTTTACCGCAAGTTGTAAAGATACGTCAGTTATGGCATCATGCACCTTCTCAGAGAAAAGGGCCATGGATACTGGGTCACATCAACGATCTAGAAAGTGAAACCCCAGAAAAGATCTCCACATTCTCTTCAGTGAGCAAAGGCAACATCATAAATCGGACATTATCCAATCTGGCATCTTCAGCTTATCAAGCCTAAGAGTTATCACAAGGAAATGAGCAACCCCAGCACAGTTTCTGGTTCTTGAGGTTATAGAAACCAAGACAAGTTCCTAGCACCCTTCTAGCTGACAATGAATCCTCTTCTCATATACCTAGGTCACATCAACGATCTCCGCGAGGAATGAAGTTCTATGGTGTATGGGCACAACAATTTGAACAAAAGTGCAGACTTTCCGAAGCTTAAACAAACCATCAGAACTATCACCCTCCTAGCTGACAATGAATCCTCCATTCTCATATACCTAGGTCACATCAACGATCTCCACGAGGAATGAAGTTCTATGGTGTATGGGCACAGCAATTTGAACAAAAGTGCAGAGTTTTCGAAGCTTAAACAAACCATCACAAATGACTAATGATGCCCCCATCTCATCCCAACTTTGCCATGACAAGGTGCAGCACAAGCTAGAAGCTACCTTAGAGAACTTCCAAACTCATTGCAGAAGACGTTAAAACTGGAAGAAGAAAAAAACCAAATCACAGAAGAAGACACTGAAAAAAATGGGGCACATCAGAATTTCCACTTCACACAACTGATAAAACCGAGACATGGAAAGGAAAATGCTATCTTAATCACCATATCCAATTGAGAATGCACATGAAGAAAGCAGGGGAGAAGCTTCAATTTCAATCCCAAATGGTTACACACAATTGAGAAATTCTCTCTTCTACTTCCTACTCTTAACATTATATCATCCAAAAAACAAAGCAAAAGACTCCATTTTTACGTTTTCTTTCCAATCTATGTTCTTGTTCTACCTGTCTTTCTTCTCCAAACTACCATCCACCTTCCTTTCTCTGTACAACTCCACCCACAAGTTGATAATCCACAAGATGCTAACAGAGATGGCGCCAATCACAACCACCATCCACGAAACCCAAACCCACCTGGGCACAACACTATCTGCCACCCCACTCCAATAAAACTCCCCCATCTTATACATAAACACCGGCCCCAGAACCCCACGGACGACGGAGTAGAACGCATAGAACGGCGGGGACAACAAACGATACACCCTCGCGGCGAGCTTGGAATCTCCCTTCCTCACCCCGGCCAACGTCCACACGTTCTGGCAGAAGCTGGTGACCTCGGCGAGGACCAACAGGGTAAGTATCGCGAACGCGCCGTGGCCGACGAGGTACCGACACGTGAGAAACACAAATAAAGTGGCCAAGTGGTGTCCGATGAAGAGCGCATCGCCAGGGGAGAAGAAGAAGACGTAGTGGAGCAGATCTACGAAGAAGTATGCAACGCTGAAATCAAGCACGGCGGATTGAAAGGGGGTATTGGTGGCTGAGAATCCGCGATCGGAGTCGGAGTAAATTGCGAAGGAGGCAATGAACACGGCAGGGGTGCCGTGAAACAAAGAGATCAGGCAGCTGGAAGCCTCGGAGCGAGCACCCGACGGCCAGTGGCGGAAGACCAACGAGTAGCCGAGTATGTAGATGACGAGGAAGAAGGCGAAGGCGACAGGTAGCGCTGCCGCCACGGCGGTGGGTGAGGAGGATGGCGGAATTAGGGTTTGGAGCAGCTGCATTGCTTCGAGGGAGGGGCAAAAATTAGGGAAATTGATGAGTGGAGGGAAAATTGAAGGAAAGTGGCGTCATCATCGGTTGGGGATTATATATGAATCTGGTGGCTTAGAATATTTTTTGCTATTCTCGAGGAGAGGACTTGTCAATGGCTTCTTCTTCTTTATTCCATTTTTCCTGCTAATAAGCAACAATGGAGTTGGTTAGTTGGTCATTAATGGTTACTTACTGGTAACTAATCTCATTGCTAATTGTAGCGCTCCTCTTTTTCTAAGGGTTGGTGAGTATTAGTCCATCTACTATATACTTTTTACAAAGAAGTCCATATACTAAGAATTTTCAACATTTCTGAGTTTTGTGTTGTGTTCTTCATGTGAGAGAAATTTAGGTTTATGAAACAAGGTTTTTGTTGTACAATCGACCTCGTTACTCTTAATACTAAGTAACACTTAACACGTAGTATGTGATTAAGTGTTACTCTCAATAGGTAATCACAATCCCAACAGAAGAAGAAGAAGAAGAAGAAGAAGAAAAAAAAAAAAGAGGCTATTATCCAATCTTTCTGGTTTTTGTTGATTGCTTCAGTCAGTAATTAGTAATAAACTCGATTGAAGATACCAACTGCTTCAGCTGTTGCAGCATAAACAAAAAAAGAAAAAAAGGTTATTCTATTTAGCCAAACACTACGAAATTACTTTTTACATAGAAATTCACTCTCCGGTACACTGCAAGTCTTCAGTCCAATAGACTCGGCTCGACAATCCAAAGCAGAGCATGTATGCAAGTCATGTTTTTTCCTCCATCATCGTACCGTCTCTTCTTCAGGCTGTGGATTTAACTTAAAGAGCAACAATGCTTCTCCAAAAGTTCAAGGCAAAACTGCATCATATATACATCGATGGAGAGCACAAACCAAACTATTCTTCTGCAACCATCTGAGTGAGTCCTTCCTACCACCTCTGAGGGGCAGCAGCCAGATTCACCCTGAAGCAGATGCAAAGTGTCCAGATGTAACTCGACTCCTCACGGACAAGTTGACTGCTATACTTGGCTTACAGTTACAGATCTCTCACAGCTGAAGCAGATGCAAAGTGTCCAGCATTTTCTTTTCTATTTCTCTTTTTTTTTCATTTTTGTTTCCGACATAGATATCCACTAAATTACTCAATCCTTTGAAGGCCTAATCTATTTCTCCCTCTTCTGGCTCCACATCATTCATTTCCTGTGGAACGCTCAAAGGCTCGCCTTCTTCCTCCACTTCGTTGTCCTTCCTAAACAATCCAAGCTGCTCCAATGGATTGCTATCCCCACCAAACTTGAAACTTTCCTGTGGAACGCTCAAAGGCTCGCCTTCTTCCTCCTCTTCATCGTCCTTCCTAAACAAGCCAAGCTGTTCCAACGGATTGCTGTCCCCACCAAACTTGAAACCACCCAACCCATCCGGAGAGTTATCTGGGCTCACTTCGTCCACAGAGCTTGGTACCTGCTCGGCAGGGGCACTTCTAAGCATCTCTAGGTCTTCCAGGAACTTGGAGTTCTCGTTGATTTCAACAGTTCTCTCAACCTGCAGAAAACACAACGCAGTGCCCTTCATTAGTACTCTCTGAAATTATCATGAGGCTCTTGCAGAGATCTGGCACATCCTTACCTTGAGCAGCGCCTGACGTGCTGCTTCTCTTTCAACCTCCAACAGCCGTCTTGCCTCGGCTGCTGCAGCTGCCTCGGCTAGCTTCCGTGCATCTTCGGCAGCCTTTGCTTCAGCTTGTAACCTCGCTTTCTCTGGAACTCCAACATTCCATGTCATCCAAAAAATTATTAACCAACAATGTATACCCAATAGCTTTACTGGCTATGCAAACAAATATCAAAGATCGAACGCAGGAACCTTTCTTTTTCTGCAACTCTAGTTTCTCCCTTTCCTTCTGCAGCTTGTCTGGATCCACCTTGTCAACCTGATACCAACAACATAGAGATGGAGACCATAAACATGAGTAACAGCAACTTAACTACTTGATAAGAGTAGAATAAGCCAATACAGTGTTCTTACCTGTAAGAGGGTCTTCTCTTCTCTAGCTTTCAGTATCATGTCAGAGAAACGGTTTCTGATCATAGCCGCCCTATAATCCTTATGAGGGAATTCCTGACTCCCACTAGGAGCACTTTCTCCTGTGACAATTATGAAACTCATCAGTGCTATACAACCTGTGACAATTATCTCTTCTTCCACACCCTCATCCTTACCATCTTGATGACCATCCGAATAATCTGACCCAGGCTTTTCTTCAGAGTTCTCTTCCAGCTGATCCAACCCACTGTCAGATTCTGTTGAACAGGTTTCTATCAAAGAAATTTCCAATAGGGGGCAATACCACCTCAACAAATCACAAAAGGATCCTTCCACAATTGACCATAGAAACAGATGAGAGAGTAACTTCGTTACAAAAAGCTTCAATAAATAGTTAAATACCCATGGACCACCTGTTTCAAGAAACCTGCAAACGACCCAGACCTATTCGCATCCAACTAATTCCAAACGAAATTCTTGATTAGCCTGATCCAAATCAAGCTTCCAGGCACAAGAACCCATTCAATTATTCCAAACAGAGGACTCACGATTTCTATCCAGGGGATGATCACCAATTTTCTTCTCATCAGCTTGACCTCCAAGAACCATATCATCCGGTACCTAGTAAATACGAATCAAGTTCGGCAGGAATTAAAACCTCAACAGACATCATTTCGAAGTTCAGCAAAAGCCACCAAAGCTACGGTGCACACCCTTTTGTTCTCATTTAAACAAACTGACCAGGAAGAAGTTCCAAATAGTTGCCAACCTTAGACACAGGTGATCGGCTTGAAGGTTTCACGTGATCAGATTCAACTTCAGAAGAACCGCCAGAATCTGAGTATGAAGAGAAGGAGGGGAAATAAATTAGTCAGATATATAAAGAGACTGATAAAATTACAAGAAGCGGTAATAACTCTCTCTGGTTGTATAATAGCTAAATAGCGAAAGCAGGCTACACACAAAAGTAAAGAAGACATCTACTACCTAATCTTGCAACAAGCTCAGCAAAACACTCTTTTCAAGTGATAACAAATAAAATCATACTCCAGATCAAACAAACAAAAGAGCTGTATAACTTACCCCTAGAGCTCCCTGAACTCGTAACTCTGTTGCTCTCACGGGCTATATCACTCGCTATCTCCACAGGAGGATAGCTAGACACAGGAGGCTCATTCTCACCAATATCAACATCTTCATCTGCTAGGTCGTTACCTAATACAAGAACACCACCATCAAGAAAGTTCATAGCAAAGTCCAATCAATAAGAATGGAAATATACCTCTTTGCTGTTGCAAGGAAGAATTGCTTGGGCCTGAGACATTCAATAGCTAGAAAAAAGGAAGACAAATAAGATTATGCCATATCAAAGACAACGGTACACTATTACAACAAAATAATCAATGTATAGAGTACCTCAATTTCGGAAGGCTCCACTCTAACTTGCTTCTCTGTCTTCTCTTTAGAATGATTATCTAAGAGTTTCCTCAGAGCGAGTAATGTGTCATCGCTGAGTTTATCAATGTCTATCTCTATTTCATCTAAACCAGCATCTTGTCCACCATTGCTGTGCTCTCTCAAGAAATCAATGATATGCATAGGCATTTCAGGCAACAATGACTCAAGCTCTGAGCCCAATTTGGTAATCTCATCCGCGGAAACTAACCGCTCCACAGGTTCTACAATAGCTTCATGCCTGGATGGGCTTAGTTTTCTCTTCTTAATAGATTGCATTTGAGCAGCATCGAAATCATTGCGATGAGCTGAATTTTCTGGCTGAGGTTTGGGCGCCTTCTTAGGCAACTTTCTCTCAATGGCTTTCCATCTCACTTCAAAAAACTTTTTAAGGCTATCAGCCATGATATGAACATCGTTCCCCTTTGGATTGTACAGCATAGCATTGCTGAATGTCAGCCTGACATCTTCGGCGAATTCCAATGGGCTTGAGTACAAGCCTGACATAATTCTGCTCTTAATTGTTCCCAAATCCATAGGATGCTTGACAATAGTGAAGTAATCAGGGATGTTCAACTTGACAACATCCACTGGAGTGTTGAAGACATAACCAAACTGATGAGACATCAAACGTTGCAACAAATTCTCACACTGTTTGATCAAGATTAAGTTTCCAGGATTTTGTGTTGCATGTGCTTTCACCGGCTGTGGCTTCAGCTTTCCCATGGCACTTCCCTTATTCCCCGCTCCAGAAGAAACAATTGAGGAATTCTTGGAATTTCCTGCTACATCCCCATTTGGTCTACTGGTACCATTCAGAACACGGTTAGATGAAGAGACATTTCCAACACCTCTCTCCACTACAATGTTCTTCTGGGCATCCCGAACGAGTTCAAGCTCAGATCTCAATATTCGGATCATATCTCTTCTTTCCAATGAAGACATTTGGGCAGGAGACAGGACTTGTGTAGGGACCCCAAAAGTATCCCTTTTACTGGAATTCAGATTCAAGAATTTCCTAACTGGAGCACTAGAATTTGCAGATGCAGTAATCTCCATATCAATTTGTCCAGAACTTGCTGATCTCTCAAAAGCACCAGCTGCCCCAAATGAGCTGCTGCGGTAGTAAGCACCACGGAAATTTTCACTTTTCCCCATCCTATCCACTCGACAAATGCCTTCTGCATGAATAAGTCATGTGTAATAAAGGGTATCCTCAGGTTCACTCAATTAAAAGGTTCCATTTCATCAGACCAAAGTCGAAAAATTCGTTCTTACAAGTAAAAACACATTGGAAAATATAAAAGGAACAAAACCAGTTTCCTCCCCGATAAAAATCATTATGAACACTTAAAATTTGAAACGCTACACAAGAGAAAAACAAAACAAAAGAATCAGGACACCACAAGTACCAATTTTGAGAAATAACAGGCGAATCCATGAAGAAAATCGACCTAGAAGAAGAGAGTAATTAACTTCAAATCAACGAAAACCTTTGAAAAGCTCGAATGTGAATTCGAGCAGTAAAATTCACCGGAAAAGCGCAAAAGGGAGAGAAAGCAAACCCCTTTAAAAAGCTTTCAGCGAAGAGGAACCAATAGAACGAATTCAATCAAATAACCAAAATTCAATTACCAGAAACTGACTTTTGCCCTACTTATATCCCCACCGAACTCAAAACATCCACAGCGAGAGCCAAGCTTCGAATTCCAACTTCAACAAAGAATCACGTCCCAGCCAAATCAAACCTAAAACCCCACACACCTTCTGAAAACCAAGAACACGAAACCCTAAATCGAAATGACGCAGCCGCCGAACCAGCGAACCACACCAACCCCCGCGAGCTGGCTCCAATACAATTCGGCTCCTCGTCGACCAAGCAGTAGCAGCAGCGGAAGCGGCGGCGGCTCACACTCCACACAGTATCGAATCGAAGAACCCTAGCGAACGGCAAGAGCGACGCGACGCGACGCGCTATTGGAAGAGAGAAGAAAACGAAAGTCGAATTTATGACTTCCCAATCTGACAAAATGGGAAAAGAGCAACAATGTTGCCACCGACTGCACATTTATACGAGGACTCCACGCATGAATGCGGGCCGTTGGATGTTTAATCCGTGTGATCTAACGGGTGAAGAGCTGTTCCGATATCAGCCGTCGGATTTCGTGACCGGCGGTTTTCATGGCGGAGATGCGAATCTGGTACATTTTAAATCCGTTTTTAATTGTTTTATTATTAAGTAATTAATAATTAAGCTGATCTAGTGTCATTTGTTTTGTCTGGTCAATCATTTTATTAATTAATTACTAATTATGTAGTTAATATATAAGCTAGATAAGGAGAAAAGAACATTGGAGTCCGGAGATACCCAAGGGAATCAAACTACTAACTGTGCTTAGAATAGAAGTAGTAGGAAGCTCATTGAAAGTGGTAACGGACAAAATTAATTGATTGAATTGGAATGGGAAAGTAGGGCTTAGCCACCTTGTTGGTTTTCATATAAGAAGAGAGAACATTCCGAAATACAGTGATGTAACTGAGTAACAGTCTTCCAGTAAGGATGATAATGAATTTCTGCAGCTTGGCCAATGACAAAATGACCATGAAGATCCTAATCTAGTTTTGGCCTTCTAGGTTCAACGAAAAAGGGTCTTTTGGGACTATAAAAAAAAAAAAAAAAAGGTCTTTTGGGCCTTTGTTATCATCTCAACTACAGAGCATGATAACTAGGCTTTTGGGCTGATTGGAGCACTAATGACAATGATGGGCTTCCCGCACGATGTTGGCAGACTGCCAATGTTGGGCTTTATTCCTGTTAACGAGCCCACTAAACATTAGTAGCTGTACCCGCTGGACATAGGCTTTATGAAACTACTCCTAGACCTTCACGAAATTATTTTCTCTTGAAAAATAGCCTTTTTTCCCAATAAATAATAGGAAGCCTATGAGTTCTATTTGCCATTTGGCGTCACCCATTAATCATTAACTAAAAATAAAACAAAGTTTATAAGTTTAGCATTCCAGAATAATTCAAGTTATTGATATCGAGAACAACAATCTCGTATTTGAATACTCGCGAATCATTACTTCAATATTTGATGATCAAGTAAATTGAAAGAGATGGAGAATCATAGATAGTAAAATCGGCAAACCTTTGATTCTATTGAGTTTTTGAACTTCACTTGTGAATATACTTTATTTACGTTCGGAATTTTTACTATTTTACAGTGAAATTTAATAAAGACGGAAGAAACACATTGTAAAATTCTTAAGTATATTGGCGAATTCAACCATATTTGATCAAATAAGTTTGATTTCAACGAGCAAATACACATTCATAAAGTTCGAAGTTATGTAAGAATTTCATTACAGAACCTTGTCATTTCTCAATAATCAAATTATCGGGTTCTAGCTAGTTATTAACACCATGTCATGAACCTCAATTGTGAAACAAATCGCATCACTATTTGTTGATAAGTCCATTATTAACAATAGATTTAAACACGAGACAAAAAAAAAATATACATCATTTCAAGTCCATTAAGTGACCTACCTGCCGGCTGCCCGAGAGAAGATTATTTAATAAATGCCAGAATACTCATTGTGAAAATTGTCAACCACTCGACTCGAGATGAAATCATAGCGCTCAATCGACATGTATATATGAGTGCATGATAAAACATCATATATATAGCCCGCAATTTTTAGGACGCAAACATACATTTTGTGCTACTGATATATATCATTGACATAGTAATAAACCTCTCCAGATTTGATCGAGAGGCCTTGAGAGTACATGGGAACCCTCCAATAATGCGGGCGGGAAACACATATTTGCTAGTCTCGACAACATCACAAACGTGATTTAGGACCATATCTATAATGCACAATTCCACCAGTCTAGCTTTTGGTATGTAGACCAGATTCCCCAATATAACTCTTGGACTCCTATAACTACACTATTGAGAAGAAACGAAGACTGGTTTATTTATTTTTTACATGTTAATGAAGAGAGTCTGCATAACAAAACAAGTATACCTTGAAAATCAAACCTACCATCTCCGGGTTACAAATCAACTACGAAATCGCGAAAACCCAGCCTCTTGTTCTCAAGGAGGATAATTACTTCCCATATGCATATAAAGCTAATTTCCTTGCTTTAAGTATGCTTTTGGGACAGCGATTAGTGTCCTTTGGGGAAAAAACTTCCCCAACCCTTTTAACTACGCATTTTAACCCGGCCCAAGGGTGAGTGCAGACTCAACGTCCAGCCTCCATGCAAGCCCACCATTCTCCAGCCGCCACACGTCACATGGCACCATCTCCTTCCTCCACGTCTCCCCTCTCACCCTCACCCAACACGTGTACGCTCCTCCTCCAATCTCCCGGCCAAAACACGCCGCCACCTCATCGTCCTTCATCACCACCCTCACGGCGGCCGCCGTCATCATCCCCACCATCCTCCTGTACGCGCCGTTCACCCACACCACCCGGTTGCAGCCGTCAGTTACGAGCCCCGGACACGTGTCGACACTCAAACGCATCTTCACTTCCTCCAGACCCGTGCAGTAAGCTAAGTCCGAGGACGAGATCTCCGCCCTCGACTCCACCGTCACCCGCGACTCCTCCACCACCTTCTCCCGCCGACACGACACCAGATCTGCTGACGCGGACACGGCGAGATCCAGGTTGCACCGAGACGGAGGACACGACTCATCATCTAGAGCTGCTCGTCGTTGTTTCTTTGCCGGCGCCTGATCACGTGCCGCGCGTGGAAGGTTGTTCTCCGGGAGGAGCTGGAGCGTTACGACGTCGTTTGAGGGTTTAGGAGGATGTGTCGGTGATGACGATGATGTTGACGATGAAGATGACGAGGTGTCCTTTCTTTTGGGATGGGATCCATTGTTATTGTTGCTCTTGCGAGCCCTATCGTACTTCCGTCTCTTTCTAGGCGTGCAGCTGTTTGTTGTGGCGGAGGGTATTTCCGTGGCGGGGGAGGAGGGGGAGGGTTTGGGGGCGATGGGTCGGAACCGGAGCATGAGCCGGTTGATGATCGCCGGACCGACGTCTTGCACCGATCTGAAGCCGGATCTGCAGGTGGTAGGGCTGTTCATGGCGGACCAGCTTATCATGGCTGATGATTCTCCACCGCGGTTCATCTCTCTGATGCTTGTTTGTTTCTCTCTTTCTATCGTTTCTTTCTCCGGCGGAGGTGGGGTTTTGTGAGAGATGAGGGAGCAGTGGAGGCGTTAATTAAGGGGAGAGGGTGGGAGACATGAAGGGATCGATACGGTACACGTGTCCTCAGGTAAACACGTGTCCTAGGGCAAATATTGGTATACAATGTTAGGCTGTGATAGGCCAGATTTTTCCCATGCTGCGTTGTCCCGATCCGACCCGACCCATATCTTCAAAGGTAAATAATATCTCCTGTTCTGGCCAATCAAGGTAAGTTTAGCAGTTTCACTTACATTTCAAGCTTTCCAATTAAGATAGAAAACACAAGAACAGCCGTTGATGATGTATATGGTGGTCGACCTATGACTATGAGTTTCTACGAATGGTCTTTTTGATGAGGTATGTTTCCTTGCCGTGAGTATTTCCGACAAGGGGAAGGGGTTGGTTGCAATGGCGAAGCTGGAGCTCATGATATCAGTTTGCGTCAAATTATATACCAGAACGAATTTTTTCGATCGTTTTATTTGTTTTTACAACAACATAGATTTATGTAATTTATATAGTTCTCTATTTGTCTACTCCAACTTGGTGATAATAATTTTGTAATCCGGAAAAAAGTCGCTCTTCGATTAATATCTATGTACCACAAATAATATATATGCCCCACGAGGGGTTGGTTTGCAATGGATAATTTTACATGTTTTTACAGCAAAACACATTGATATAACCAATGCCATGTATTCCTTCAAGTTGATTATTGTGTCATAAATTTCAAGATTTACACACTCTCCAATCTATAATAGATCCAAATCCTTGACATGGTCAAACCCTTTCTCAGGTATATATATCCATTATCCCCCATTATCTCCAAAACTAGATTATTGTTTCCAACAAAACTAAAGATGTGATTCACATAATGTCCAAATATAATCATAATAATACAATATATATAGTTTGGTATGAGGATTTGATGTGGGATAACATTATTGATACCTAGTTTTACGTTATCTAACTTTGTATTTGGCAGGTCACGTCGAGCCAACTGGTACCTTATTTGTATTATTATTGTCTACATCCCTTTTGTTGTTCATATACAACGTACAATGCACTTGGATAGCAACCAGATATTTTATTTTTCAAATGGAAATAAATCTCCAAGTTCACTTGTCCAGAACATTCGGGAGGAAATATCTCAATACCTGTAATGTACACTCGATCTTCCTATTGGATCAAAATTGCCAGCTGGAGTTTTTGACAGTAGTTAATTGGTAATTACGGAAATAATATATCTGGGTTTTTTGGATGATTAACTGCTAATAATCTAAGCGCAACGGAAGGTGGAGCCCAGCAAGGCAATCCATTTGGACCAATGGGAGAGGAGAAAGTGTTAGGCAGGCAGCACCGGAGGGACGAAAAGGGAAAGGGAGATGGGACACGTGGTAGTCTCTGGCAGCTGGGTCGTCCTATCGAGAAACCTACTGGTTTGTTTTTGGTTGGTTCGTTTGTTTAATTAGGGTTTCTCTTGAAAGCGGTGTCTGCGGGGACAAAAGAAGAAAAAAAAATCACATTTTGAGGGGCTCGGCTCGGCTCGGCTATGTTAGGTTCCAGAAGAGGACGAAAGGCGCGCCCTGGAAAGTGGAAACACACGCGTTGTTCCTGCAATCTTTGGGCTTGTTTGCAATCTTTTCAGCTCAATGTTATTCTAACTGGGAGTTTTGGTTTGATCCGTCGGCCCGGCCCACTGGGCCCGAAAACGAACTTATGAACCATAACAATATTGATGGCCTTCATGCAGTGTTATGTTACATGAAAAAAAATGGCAATGTTTGCCCTCTTTGATGTTGGTGATCAGCCTTACTAGCTCTATCCTCTTGGATATAGACTTTGTGAATTTAGGAAGTCTATTAGTTGTTCTTGTCCATTACTTATTTTCTGAAGAACAATTTTATGAAGTTTATATTCGAGCTTCATAACTACTTTTGAGTTATCAAAATGATATTGTTGTCAAATGTGGTATTAGAGTTGATGACTTATAGAAGGGTTTGTGTTCGAATTCTTAGAATTCCGATATTAATAATCACAAGATATGAGTTCATGGATTGACTTTCAATTGAGTACGAAGAAATTGATGGGTCCGAACTTGATCGAGAATCTTACTAGGCACAGCTAGTAGGATCATAGCATCATTTGATTGTATAGAGTATGTAAACCCATTATTATACACTAAGCCGTCGTCCATTGATTGTATTTTTATATCATAATTTAATTAGCATAGTACAAATCCATATTAAATCTTTATCTCGTTCCTGTATTACAAAATAAGTTGTATATAATTCATTATTAAACATGGTGTCACAACCTTCATGGTCAAAAGATCAATGCCCAAAGATTGACAACCAGCGCCCAACATCACATGTGACATATGATGGACCTGCACAACCATTCAATTAAATACCAATCATCTCAAACATATATCCTGCAATTTGTAGAACGTTCATACATATAATTGGTCCTGCCATCTTTTCCACATAATAACATCAAATTATCTTCTCTAAAAAGACAACTTTGTACGTTTGATCCCTAAAAATGCAACTTTGTACGTTTGATATATATAGGTCTTCAAGTTTTCGAAGGTCCACAACGACCACAAGCATGAACATATATGTACAATTCACTGTTGAGCTTTTCTTGGTCTATACACCATATTTAGTATTCAACCAGCGATCACCGACCGCATATCAAGATGCAGCTTTAACAACCGAATGTCAACCTTATGGTAAATTTTGAACAACATCTAACATAGATAATGTATGCAATAACATATGTACATTTCGAAGAAGTCTGTCTCCATATGATCAATCATCGATCTTCCTCGATCGTGAAAAGAGGCATCTAGCTACAATGGAACAAAACACCAATCATTAACATGAATCCATCAGTAAGAAGAGGAGGTTCTTCATCGTCATTGACTACTTCACTATATATTTAAAGCTGAATTTCAATTTCTAACATTGTACCAATAAAATTTAATAAAATATGCGTCAATCAAGTCCTAAATGCTATTCTCTTAAAAATTCACATGTTTTTTTTGTTAGTTATTATACAGTTGGATCAAGTTCGAGAATGTTTTTATATGTAAAAAGCATAGAATGCTGAGTATGAAATAAGGTGCCTCATATATTCTATAAAATCGAGAATGTATCATATACAAACACGCCCTAAGATTTTAGATGCATATATATCTCAAACAACAACCAAGAAACAATTAATGTTAAAAAAATTTGGCATTAGTAATTAGCAATTCTAAACTAGAAGCCACTCAAATGTTATCGAAAGCTTATATATTGCCCACTTGAAAATTTGTTTCATAAATTATGAAGATTTATTATATTTTCAAATTAAACAAAAAAACTTGATATCTAGAGTGGAAGTTTTGGATCTAAACACAAATATGTAAGATTTAGATGATCTGGATCGAAATCACAATTTAATTGATTTATGCGTTCACATTAAAGCAAAAATCTTAATTAACTTCATATGAATAATAACTACCGGTATTAGAGTCTAGAGATAAGTTTGAGTACTACTAGTTAAAAATTCCTTTTTTTAATAGCTAGTTAGACATTCTAAAGTGTTTTAGTGCCAAATTGCCATTACATAAGCATCTTATTCCTTAAAGACGGTATTATATGGCTTAGTATTAGACAATATTTTTCATTAAAAAAAAAAAAATTCACCACAACTTGCTCATTTTATATGTGTCCCCCCCTCTCAAACCCCTGCATGCATCATGCACGTACTCTCAACGTACTTATAAGTGCCCTCTTAGCATATAAGAGATAAAAAGAGTTAGACAGTATTGTGATTAGCCCCCAATCAATATGAATCGTGGTTTTTCAAAACAAAACGATTTAGACAGTATTGTGGTGGAAGTTTTAAGTTTATCATGAATTCATGAAGATATAAACTGAGCAAGAACAAATTCACTCTCCATTGTTAAACCAAAATCTACTAGATTTCGAGTTTGGACATCTATACTACGTACGGACGTACCATATATTGTGTCCAATTCTCGTATCATCTTACTTTGCTCTCTATTTGTATGTTGAGAAACAAAATTTGGTGGTCTTGATAATATTTTTTTTATGAAGGGGAACTTAATTATGTATATGCTACTTAATATTCTTATAGTTAATAAAATCATCCCTAGGTAGCTAGCTAGTTATCCTTTTTGTGTGTGTGCTTAACTTAGCTATCAAGTAGCTATATCTAGCTAGCTAGCTAGGCACGTTATTGTTTATTGTACCTACATTTTTGTATTTATAATAAAGTGGGTTTGGTTGAATCTGTCTGGTTTATTAGTTGATTATTAGTTTGATTACAAACAAACAACATTAATGGGACGAACCAATAAGCCGCTTGTCCTATGATAACAACGAGTCTCCTCTCATATGTTATCCACCTGTCTTCATCCTCCAGTCATATCCTAGGGGTTTGATAATAATAAATAATAAATAATAATAATAATAATAGTAAGAGCTATTCATGAAAATACACAACATATTATCCTTTACATCTTAGATTCTTAGTATGTCTATATATGTATATATCATGAACCTATTTTTTTTAGTCAAACATCCTAAATTTAGAGTATTGTGTTGAGTTGAAGTAAACTCTCAATTTAACTTCTCTTCGACGTAAATTATGAACTAAAAACCGGCTAAATGATATCATATCAAGCACCCAAATAAACCAACGGTCACCTCATCAATATCCATCCCCACCCCCTCCATCCCTACCCTGTGTGTGGTCCTTTGAGAATGGGTATATATATATAGGTGGATTTGGAAGATTGGTTAGTCCTATTTAAGAGAAAGAAAGAAAAGAAAGAAAGAAAGAATACTCCACAATTTATAGTTAAGTTACCTTGGTAGGTTATTGCTTTCAAGGAGCAATTAGGGTTCCTTGGGTAATACCCCCAACCAAATCAATTTCTGAACCCGGCCCAAGGGTGAGGGCGGCCTCAGCGTCCAGCCTCCATGCAAGCCCACCATTCTCCACCCTCCAAACGTCACACGGCACCATCTCCTTCCTCCACGTCGCCCCTCTCACCCTCACCCAACACGTGTACGCTCCTCCTCCAACCTCGCGACGAAACGACGCCGCCACCTCATCATCCTTCATCACCACCACCACCCTCACGACGGACGCCGTCCCCACCATCCTCCTGTAGGCGCCGTTCACCCACACCACCCGGTTGCAGCCGTCCGATACGAACCCTGGACACGTGTCCCCATCCAAGCGGATCTTCACTTCCTCCAGATCCATGCAGTAACCGAAGGCGGAGGAGGACGAGATCTCCGCCGCTGACTCCACCGTCACCCACGACTCCTCCACCTCCTGCCCCCGCCGCCACGTCACCAGATCTGTGCCGTGATGGTAATAATAACTATTATTGTCATCCTCGGCTGCAGAAGCGGCCACGGTGAGATCCAGGTTGCACTGTCTCGGCGGCAACGACGACGAGAGCATGTTCCGATCTACAGCTGCTGCTTCTTGTTCCTTAGGCGGGTGGCCTTTCTCCGGGAGGAGCTGGAGGGTGACGACGTGGTTTGAGGATTTAGGATCCGGCGACGACGATGAAGCTGACGTGTCCTTTTTCTTGACGGATCTATTGCTCTTGCGAACCCTAACGTACTTTCGCTTCTTCCTGGGCTTGTAACTGTTTGCTAAGGCCGTGACGGAGGGATCTGGGTTGGCGGGTTTGGGGGCAATGGGGCGGAAACGGAGCATGATCCGGTTGGTTATCGTCGGACCGACGTCTTGCACCGATCCAAACCCGCCGTGGTTGGTTGACCAGCTTATCATGCGCCAGCTGGATGGTTCTCCGCCGCTGTTCATATCTCCGATCTTGTTCTTGCTATGCTCTCTGTCAGTCTGTGGCTTTTTTTTTCTCCGGTGGAGGTGGGGTTCTTGGAGAGAGATATGGAGCTAGGTAGTGGAGGCGATAATTATGGAAAGAGGGGTTGGACGGAGAAAAAGGATCAACACGTGTCCTAGGGCAAACACCAAGAGAAGAGAATTAATAAGAGCATATGGTACTGTGGGCTCTCTGATTGGCCAGGTTTCCCCCATGCTGCGTTGTCCCCGACCCGACCCGTTTCTCCGTCACTCTGTCAAAGAAGGTAATTTCATTTGTTGGTCTCACTTTCATTTCAGCCCAACAAAACAAAACAAGGCAGAACAGGAACACTAAAAGCAAGAACAGCAGTTGATATATATGGTATAGCCGATCGTTCTATGTGTATTCTTTTCAGGAATGATGGTTTCTTGCAGTCCGTCATTGTGTCGGAGATATATGGGGTTTGTTTGGAATCTCTCTGTATGTCATTATCGTTTCAAATCACATATTATGTCGGTTTATTTTGAGAGCACTTCTATTATGCTATATAGCATTGGTATTTTAATGTACAACTTGAAGTTGTACCATACCATTAAATGTATAAGTTTATGTTGTACCATAAAACAATTTGTATCATTATGTTATGGTACAATTTTACAACTTGAAGTTATACATACCATCACATAAAGGTACAAGTACAAGTTGTACCATAAATGAATTTGTGCAAAAAGTATAGGTACAATCTAAAGTTGTACCATAACGTTAAAGGTACAATTTCAAATTATACCATAAAGGCAAAAACTTATAGCACCCATACTATATAGCATTGTAAAATTCTCTTATTTTGAATTACAATATGCTTTCTTAATTTTTATGCTTCGAAAATTTTGAGTTTGAAAAATCAATAATTTGTCGTTGAATTAATGGTCGATTTCTCCAATTACTTGACTGCGCGTTGAATTATTCAAGTACAATAATTATATTTAAAATTATTAACAATACATAAATATATAAATATCAGACCTACAAAAGGAAATTTAACGTTGTAGAGTAGTTATATATTGTAAGTCAACTCGTCGAGCCACTCCTTTGTCTCCTCACACATACATACCTCATTGTTATCTTCTTTTCTCTCCTTTGTTTAATTGTTTCTAATAAATAATGTACAATGTACGTAGATAACATTAAGATTTTTTCATTTTTATATTACTAAATTCAAACCCACTCGTCCAGAACATTCCTTCATCACACTGAGCCTATACCCTACCCTGTAAAATATCTCTATACTCATTTTTATGGGATATAGCTTTCGTTTGATGGTTAGTTGCTACTTAAGATATTCGAACTTAGGACTTACAGATTCAAAACCAGTGATATTACACCGTATCAAACCTTTGTTCACAAAATATATACATACTCTTACATGGTTACTTTTAATCTCTCTTACTACGTAAGAATTTTTCACCGGTGGGTTGACATTGGTTAATGCCACTGTATTCATTAGTAAATATGTACCCTTGTTGTAAGAATTGGATTGGATTAGCAGGTAGACCATTAGAACTTTCAAATTGGTTACAATAGTTGTTCGTTTTATTTTTAGGGCGGACTAGGATGAACCGAATAGTTATTCACATTTGGCCATGAAACCATATGACCACCCAAATTTGACTCGTTCACTATTTAAACCAAAGAAAATATATAAGAAAAAATCACTATAGTGTGAACTGTGAGAGAATATAACTGAACTAATTAATTTTATGTATACTTCCTTTTCTTCTTTTATTAGTCTCTTTGTTGGATTTACGTGATCCGATATCCACTTGCACGCTAATTATTAATTATAATTTTATTAAAAGAAATTGCATGATTTCTTTTATTAGACAGTTTGAATGCTCTATTAGAACTTTTGGTAATGAATGATATAGATTTGGAATTTTTTTTAATAGATACAAGTTGAGTCCTAAATTAGAGTGTTATACACATGTGCATCATTGATTTTTTATTGGATACGGATAGTTTCTACAAACAGTTATCGAAGAACCAGTTAACCATAGATTCATAAACCACTAATCCAACCAGCTATGAAAGCATAGGTAAATTCCAGAATAAATATTTCGGGTTTTGTCTGATTAGTTGCTACTGGAGAGGAACTTAATTGTAATTACGTGAATCAAAGAGCCGTCGTAAAGTAGCAGGTGCGTATCTAAGCGTGGGGTCCACAGGCCAATCTGTTTGGACCAATGAGAGAAGCGAAGGTGTTAGGCCAACACCGGGACACGGAAAAAAGGAAAGGGAGAGGGGACACGTGGTCGTCACTGGCAATATTATTTATTTATTTTCGTGTTTAAATTGTCCCATCGAGGAACCCACTGTACTGTTTTTGGTTGGTTATTAATTGGTTTTTTTCGAAAGTGCTGTCTGAGAGACAAAACAAATAACTAGAAAAATGTTTTTTTTGGTGTTAGGTTCGAGAAGGCGTGGCCTGGAAACACGTGTTGTTCCTGCATTTGCTGTGTCGGGTCGAATCAAAGGAAAAAGAAATGCTGCTTTGATTGGGATATATTGGCAGTCACCAGTCACCACCGACGAGCTCGACTATGATCTAATCAAATACATAAGTGGCCATTTGTAATTTTATATAAATAATCGCGTAATTAGTATTCCTTTTCCTTTCCGAGGGTAAAAATCTGTTGATGATAATGGCGAATCCTTGAGAGTGATAATGATTTGTTTGGAAATGGTATGGAAAGAGTAGTTACTTTGCATCGATCATTAGTGAAGGAGTGAGAAAAATGAATGATATGAACTGATTTTAACATGCGATGAATGAAGAAGGGGCTAAGAATTCGATGCCGACATAGTCTCGTATATATTGTTCATAATTATATGTTAAGAATTATTTTATGGTTTTGCTAGCGCTTGCATCTACATTTACTGTTAAGTGGGGGGAATGGGGTTAAATTTGTATTTACATTTGTCCAATAAAAAATTATTTCACTATTTAACTTTTTTTAGTTGATGTACTTGTCTCGTTTGAAAAAATATATATATCGATATCGATATTTTACTTTCTAAAATATATATGTTGGGCCAAGGAAGGCGTAGAGGCGACGCGCGAGAGTGGGATAAGTGGGGAGCAGCAAAAATTAACTGTAGCACAAATGAGGACACGTGTAGGGTAGGATGAGGCAGCATATATTTTGAGCTTAGATTTGTGACGTCATCCAGCCTCTAAAGTCTGAACTAATCCCCATCATTTTAGGGGCAAAGCCACCAATTAGGTTTGGGTTATGTTGGCAAAGTGCCACGTTCTCACTTTTAATTATAATGATTATTAATTGAACATTATTAGTTAGCATCACGCCTTCCCGTTTTAGTATTTTGCTGCCCAGCCATATTTTCCTTTTTATCATTCCACCCATTTACCCTTTCCACTTTCGACTTCTTACTTATATTTGGTACCCTTTTTAGGAGTTTTGACACACCAAGATTTTTATTCCCTTTTCTCCTTATTTAGAGGCCTTGTGTATTGTGTTTAGGGTTTCTACGGTGATGGCTTCTAACGTATTGGTTTGAAGTCCAAACTTTATTTTGATATGAGAGCACGAGGTGTAGACAGTGTAGTATTAGTTGGTGGTATTGATATGAGAGAAAGTTGGAATGATCAAATTACTATCCAGAAACTTGATTTCAAGCTAGCGGTATGTTGGCAATGAAAGAGGACTAGATGGTTGGGTCTTTGTCTTTTTGAGCTATGACAATTACTCAACGAAAATATTATTTTTACCCTTTTCTGAGTTATTGTATCTTAGTCATCCTAATTTTCCCACTAGAGAAAAGCTGAAACTTATTGGTCTAGATATGAAAATAGATCGATGTAGGAAAGATAAGAATATATAATTAATGCTGAATATTTTATATTTTTATAGATTTTTTTATAAATAAAATTATAAGGATTAAAACAAAAACAATAGAGTGATGCATGCAAGATTAATTTATGTGCCATAAGTGCCCTACATGCCAATATTGTTATCTTAATTAACAAGGTCCATTTGTAATTTTATCTTAATCCATTAAGAGTGATATTGATGATATAAAACAATATTGTTATCTTAATTAACAAGGTGCCACGAATCCTTAAGAGTGATATTGATGATATAAAACAATATTGTTATCTTAATTAACAAGGTCGGATTGGATGTATGTTGACCAATAAGAGAACCTTAATTAATCTTTCTTCACTATTGTTGTTGACTAAACACAACAATAAAAAGACGACAACATATGTAATGCAACGAATAATTCAACGAATGGAATTCTCTGTCATAAGGTGGAAAAGATACACTAGAAATTGTATCTTAATTAGTAAGAACATTCTTGATGGTCCACGTGTATGTGTTTTGAATATTCCGTTATAAATTTAATTATATGGTAACTAAGGGTGAAAATGTGTTATCAATTTAATTATATGGTAACTAAGGGTGAAAATGTGCTTGTGAGAGAATGAGTATGTTACTTAATCCTAATCCGTAAGGATGATTTATAAACTAATTCCATGTTAAGTTATAAGTATGAAAGGATTTAGAATTTTCTTATTCTTCACATGAATGAAAGAATAAAATAACGAGAATTTATATATTGGCTTAAGCCTAAGTTACTAAAAAACTAACTAAAGAAAAGCGATGACGATGAAGAAATAACGTACCTATGCATGTAACATAGTAGCTACTCGCAGTAGCCACCTTGTCAATGTCCTAACGACCATTGAGGTTAGTACATTCTAACATAATCAATGACTGTTGGAATATCATGAGTTCGCAAATCCTTTAAATGTATGTGGTGACAAATGAATTCAAGAACACATGATCCAACATGTTAGAACATCATGACAACAATACACGTACGTTTAAGACTATTAATCTAATTCAGCAGGGCCAATATTAATATTGAATTATTAGGTGTTATTATTATTAGTTCTTATTATCATCACTATTACTATTATATGAATATTGTCATGTAATTGATGATAATTGTTTATTTTCATATTCGTTTAACTATAATGTGTTTTATTTACAAAAAACAGACTACCTATAAAAATACAAAGAAAGGAAAGGCAAGGAAAAATTTATTAATTTTTTTCAAACTTTGATAAAAAAAACCCATACTAAATTAGACACATTTTTATGGAAGATATATAATATATGTTAGCTACATGAGAACCAAAAAATTGGTTCTAATTTAGTATGATTTTTTTCTAGAGCTTTAATTTTGGGAGTAATTAGCTATTCATTTTTCCCAATACCCATTAGATTGCCTCTTCGACACTAATGAACATATAACAGTTGGCTATATATATATGATCATCGGTGTTCACAAAAATATTACATGATTTTAATTATATTTTTTGTTGGAGAATTAGGAAAGATAAAACGAAATATGAATCAATAGCTCAATTTGAAATCTTTAAAATGCATTATAATATTGGAAACCTCCTAAAATTTCACTAGATTTAAAATTTTAGAAATGCATTATATCTTGAAATGTATACATTTTAGGAGAAAACACATCAATTAATACATCGATACATTACTCCAAATATACATGCATTCTTAAATCACGTCATGCTCTAAATACTTAATCTTATTTTATTTATAATATTAAAAAAAATGATTAAAGAACTCATCAACCGAACTACTGATAATATGAAAATGATCCTTGAAGTTAGGAAACAAAAATCAACACAATACACCCAAACACAAATTCAAGATTTCCCTCATCCCCTGTTAAATTGCAAGTAAACTATCATCCCCCTTTGTAAAAAAAAAAAAAAAAAAGGCAAAACAAACATCAAAGAGAAAAGCTCCAAAAAGCATGTAGAGATACATACGTCTAGGGAACAAAGAGTGAGATGAATGAATGAATGAATCAGTATGTGTCATTATCGGGAAGTTAAGCTCTATACCGTTGTACTCACGATCACAAACCAACAACACTTTATTACCCATATTGCTATTGGACCACTCCAACACATGCTAGCTAGGAAACTCAAACATATCACCTAACCTTCCCCATCCTCCAAGCTTTACATATATTTGTAGCTTGCTAATTGGTACGTAATATATATGCCTAACATACCCCACAACACACATAAATATGCACAGAAACAACAAACAACTTTGATAGTGAAACTTGGTACCTAATTCCTCATTTAAAACAAAAACTTTGAGATATCATCTAACCAATATATACCCCATCCCCTTCCAATCTCTCACCTATTGACACTTTGCACTCCATAAACACACACACACCAACCATCATTTGAGAAAATGTACCATATATACTAAAAAGCATCAACCTTTTATTTTGTATACCTTGATGACTACTACACTTTCCTTCTCTTAGTTTTTGAGAAGAAAAGAGAGGGAGAGGGAGAGAGAGATAACCCTCTAGCAATATTGTCCTCTCCATCCATCCTTATATACAATTACACAAAAATTATCAAAGAGAGTAGTAGTAGTAGCAAGGGAGGGTCATATAATGTGCCACACACAACCCACACACATATCAACATACTTAAAAACAACCTTTTACCTTTGTCTTCTTAGTCTTACTCACCATTTCATGGGGTCACTTCACTTAAAAGCTTAACCATAGCTTAGGCTAGAGACCCAATTTGAGAGCAACCTTAGTGTCCAACCTCCAACCATACCACCCTTCCTCCTCCATCTTCCACACATCACATGGAAACCTTACATTAGACCACTTTCCGTTATTGTTACTATTATCCCTAAACCTGACCCCAACCCAGCAGCTAAAAGCTGGGCACCCCTGGAAGTAAGGTCGCAACTTCTCCGCAACCACTAGCCGCACTACCACCTTATTACCACTGCCTCCCTTCTCGCCTGCTGCCGCACCCACCATCTCTCTATACGCCTGGTTCACCCACCGAACCTTATCCTTGCCGTCCGAAACGAAAGCGGGACACGTGTCATCCTGCAGATCCATCATTCGGATCCCTAACAGACCCTGTCCCTCAGCCACGTCCATGCACCCGCCTGTCACCCCTTCCGCCGTCACCCACGTCTCCACCTCCGCCGTCTCCGGATCCAGCACGGCGGCGCCGTAACTGTCGTCGCTGCTTCCGCGGTTATTTTTTGCACTGTTACTATTGTCTTCCACGGGAAGGTTAAGTACCGGATCCGAGATTTTGACGTCAGATCTGTGGCGATCCAGCTTGGAAGCCTCCGGAAGGAGCTGGAGAGTTGCCGGGAGCTGCACAAACCCTAGATCTGCCGCCGCTCCGCCGTCGCCACCTACCCTACTGTTACTATTATCATTATTGTTATTCTTCTTGGTGCTTTTCTTCTTCCGCGGCGCAGCTGCTCTAACCCTAACGTACTTACGCTTCGTCCTTACCTTGGGGACTAGCCTGGCCGCGGAGGATCCGGTGCCTGCTCCGGCGGCCGGCTTGGGAGCGATCGGGCGGAATCTGAGCATCATCCGGCTGATTATCGTCGGCTCCTCCTCTTGCACGCGCCCCGAAGCGAAGTTCATCAGCCGATACCCATCACCTCCTCCGCCGTCCATCTAGGGTGTTTCCCTGCCTCCGCTTCACCGTCGGATCAGGGATTTTACAGTCTCCCGGTGCCGGCGGTGGAGATTTCGGTTGGTTTTTTCGGGTGGTTTGTGGAATATTGTTCTGTGGTTTTTCTCTCTCTATCAGGTGGGGAGTGAGAGAGAGAAGGAAGATAATCTAAAGCAAATAGCGCATCACGGTGGCCGGGTGAAGAGCCTGCACGTGTCCGCTGGCTGCCGAAAGAGTCGGAGAATTGAACTTAATAAAAAATCTTTATTAAATTATAAGGCCGTGTTTGGCTAGCGTTTATTAATTTGCTATAGTGAATTTTACTCTCTCAAAGGAGTAAATCTTTCATCTGATATTTTGTCATGAATGGTTAGTCCATGCCTAACAACGTTGTAAGGCCGGAAGTTGCATATGAGTCATATGATTTGCTCTTTTTTTTTTAATAATCGTACTTTCTTTCATTCCATCCAAAAGAAGTAGAACAATTACAACAAATCGAATAATACAATAAGAACAGATAATCATATGATTTCGAGCAATTTCGAGCAACCCAAGCCATATGATTTACTCGATGCTGAGCATTCTAGCAATATAGGTAAAAGAAATTGGCAGCTTTCCAATCACATATATAGTAGGCAATGCTTGATTCACCCATAAACTAGTTCTCAAAAAATTTCTTTTTTCTTTTTGAAATGTAATAGTTAGTGTACTTGTGTCGTGTGTACGAATCATTATGCGGTTAAGACAAGGAGAACAAGTGCCATCATACCGGTGCTCGAACCCTCCTTCAACCAAGTTAGGAGCAACCCACAACAATGGTTCTTCAATCAACAAAAATCATTGTATCCCACCATTATACAGGTAGAACAAGTTCCCTTGGACATACGCAAACATTATAAAAATGTAATCTTATGACTCATCTGAGTTCGCCCCCTTCTATCTACTACTACATATAAACAAACAATATCTCTTCCTCATTCCATCACTTCCAAATCCTAAGAGCTTAGAATCAAACAAACAAACCTTACGGTCAAACGATTCCTAAGTGCTATTCTGAAAATGAAATTCAATAATGCCCATAATTTAATTATATGTCAAAGTCACAATTTGATTGAAACCAAACAAACCCTACCCAGGTATACAAGCAAGAATTTCCCTTTTGAAAAAAAAATGATAATATGTGGAAGGTGATTGGCCAGATGAGGGCATTAGTGGTGGGACCCTCCAGGGCGGGAAAGTGAGGTCGCATAAATGTCGCATTCCAGCCTTGTGATTGGCTAGAATCAATTCAGCCAATGGGGAGCGAGTACGTGTGGAGAGATGGAGACACGTGGGGGCACCTTATTTTGGGGGAGGGAAAGGGAGTTGGGGCCTATTGGAAAGTAGACACGCGGTCCAATCTCCGCTGCCTGCCTGCTTCCTCCGTTTCGTACAAATTTTAAAACAGTTTTTATTAACATCCTTTATTTTTTGGGGTTTAGCAAAATTAGTACACATCTTTATTCATTTTTTGGGGTCTACATTTTACAAAGTCCGGACATTGGAAGGTGAGTGGATGGATAAGGAAAAGGGGGAAGGTAGCCTTTATTTCCCATAATTGTTTTGTTCCATTGGAAACCAATGGAAAAGGCCAAACGGTGAAGTGGTTGTGCGATGAGGACGCGTGGATGGTGGGATGATAAATCGGATCTTCCCTCCAAGATTTCCTGACAACGAAAGAAAGCCAAACCCCACAAAACCAAATTACCATAACAAGATATATTTCTTTGTGTGTTAAGGGGGCTTGTTTGATTAGGGTTTAGTTGGCCCAATGAGATTGATGGATGCTCTATCCATCCTATCACTTCCATCTTTTGTCTTCCAATCAAACACCCTGGAATGTCCACTTCATCCCCTTACCAGATTGATACAAAAGGAGATAAGAAACGGGGAGGATTGGAGCAAGGAGTTGCCTCCATGGTTCGATGCACCACACAAAAACATAATAACCATAACAATGTGATAAACTCTATAAAATAAGTCAATGTGGTCTAGTTAGACCCTTAATCCGACCCCTCGCATGGTTCATCGATCGGACGAGTCCACCGCCAACCAATCTTACCAATTCATCTAGCCCGTCTTGCCTGCCTAGTCTAGATGAGGTAAGACTAGGCATGAGGGAACCGCAACCCGAATTCCCTTTTATGGCCGCAACATCAATGGCGGATTCGTGGACTAAAATGGATGGTTGCTTAGGGTGCACATTGAGGATCAAATGAAACTACACAACCGCCAACACCATTCAGCAACATAACCCTGGTGAGAATCTGCCATCGATATGGCCTCTTGTTGGAGTGTAGTATTGGTCCATATCCAAATTGGGCCCATTTGAAAAGGGGCTGGCTTTAGATTAAGCCTCTTCTGATTCAAGAGAAAGGTCATCAACTACTTCAAATATAAGCACCACCCTATTCTAACATCCTAAAGAGCAAAAAACATTCCGCTTTCAGACAAAACAACAAGAAATCAGCTCTGTAGTCCTGTGCAAAAGTTGCATCCACATCTCATAGTAGAAACCAAGTTCTAAACACAAATTCTCATGTCCACTTCAAAATGTGGTGTTTACATAATGATCATATATATGAGCTGGGATTTGCCTTATTTTCTTCCTGGAACCATAAAATAGAAAGAAAGAGAGACATAATAAGAAATATAAAGAGGATAAGGAATGCTGGTTTTTATGGAGGGATCGTTTTCACTCCACCCCACTCTAATAGAAAACCGACCACAGTTTAACATGGCAGTGTAGTAGAAAGTAGAACCCTACTCAATTTCTCTGGCAAAAAAAGGAACCACCAAATTATTTGCCCAAATTTCCCTCCAGAATGGAGAAGGATTAAACCGGATGAAGAAAGAACAAACTTAGTTGACAACGTCAACAATCAACTTGCGAGACTTGAGGACTGACCACCTCATACGTCGATGGTAACCGACCTGAAGCAAAGCCAAGGATAGTAGGAATATCCACTTGAATCCCATCTGACGATTAGGCAAGGAAATAAACGTTAGTCATGTCGATTTCTGAAAACATGTTGGGAACATCAGGGGAGTGGAAATAAAGGGTAAGTGGGACTTACCAGTTTCCTCTCTTCCATTTCAGGTTCCGCAGCCCATGACAAGAAAGACACGACATCTTTGCCCATCTACACACCATCATGAATAGTGATGCTGAAGTTGTTAGTGACAAAGTAATAATGACTTCGAACCTTACCAGAGATATATGAAGGTGGTGAACTGACCTGAGCCTCGGTTGCTGGGGTGCCATCTTCATACTCAACAGCACCATCGTTGAGCATCTTGGGCATAGCAATAGCTCCACCAGGGAAGTAAGGATTGTAGTGCAAGCCCTCACGGATCTACAAGGTCAAGAGAATTCTCGGTTAGACATTAATGAAAAACAAATAGCACAGCACCAAAGACAACCAACATGATAGAGTCATCAATACATAGACAACTACATGACACAGTAAGTGCAAGTAGAACTACATGTAATGATGTAATATATGAAAGCAGCTTCGATATAAAAGTGTGACAAACAAAAGGTAATTACAATCATCAAGATATCGAAATCCAGCAGGCACGAGACACAAGGAGCATAGATATCAACTTCCAATTTCTTAATGACCATGATTCGGACATCCCTAAGGGTAAGTGATGCTAATTAACAGCCAGGCGAGGCACAATTAATACAAGTAATACTAAACCATTTGTTAGTTGAAAACAACAGCATGTAACAGAGACATCGAGGTTGAAATTACCGAAATTCCAGCAGGAGGCTCACGGTACCCAGTTAAGAGAGCAAAGACGTAATTCTGGCCATTGTGACGAGCCTGAAAAAAGAGAGGAATGAGAAAAAGAAAAGTCCAGGAAGACTCAATGGCAGTTAAAATGCTCATAAGTGTAAATTGAGAATTACTTTTGTGATGAGGCTCAGATCTGGAGGATATGCACCTCCATTAGCAAATCTAGCAGCAGATTCATTTGGATATGGCTGAGGGAAACGGTCACTCAGTTTTCCTGGGCGGGTGAACATCTCACCTTCATCATTGGGACCATCGACAACTTCAATCTCAGCAGCCATAGCCTTTGCTTCCTCTTCTGTGTAAGCAACACCCACCAGATCACGGTATGATATAAGGGACATGGAGTGGCAAGAAGCACAGACTTGCGTATAAACCTGGTGACCACGTCGAATCCTATGGAAGAAAGTATAAGTACCTGATTAGTTACACAATAAAGACTTGTAACATTGGGAGAAAGAAACACCGATATAAAAACTCATGAGGGCAACAAATGGACTCACGAAGCATGGTCATAAGAGCTCAGGATGCCACTGTGAGGCCATGGATAGATTGGTGAAGCTAGGCCATGCTCGGCCTCATCTGAAGCAGATACAACTGCAGTACCCAGAAGCCCAGAGAGACCAACTCCAACAAGTGCCAATGCTCTCAGGGACTTCTCTCCAAAAGATCCAGCCTCCTCATGACCTTTCTTTGAATTGAAGAAAGATGAAACCGAAGGAACCTGAAAGGTGTAAACTGGAATATATTAACAATAGATGGAAAAAGTAGTGAACACACAAACTAACCTATGCAAAATAAGAACATGATTGGTCTGTTTGTTAATCAAAACAAATTCACTAGTTTAAGAAGTCTGCAATGTGGTTCATATAATAACAAACAAATTTACAGAGGCCATAGCATATCAACTAGACAGACGTCATGAAAAGAGTAAGGAGATCAGAATTAGACAGGGATGTAGAACTTACCATGGAGTGAGAATGGAGTTTCCTCTGAAGAAGCTGGCGGATAACCCCTCCTCCAGCCATTTTGCTCACTATCTGTTTCTCTGAAGCACATTGCAAGAAGAAAAAGAGCAACAATGAGACAGTACCGGAGGAAATAGACAACAGGTCAAGCAACAACCAAATGAAACCAAATCCTACACATAATCACAAATTCAACAGCTCTTTCGATTTCTCGCTTATAAAAAAACAAGGTTCATCTATCATAATTCATAAGCAAGCAGGGTTTATCCATCCATTTTACTGACTCTGTTTATCTACCAGTCCCGCCTTCACGATATAGCTTCTTTTTTTCTGAATCCTATAAAAAACGCTGGGCATACGCTGAAAATGAAATTCCATACGCAAGTTTTTAACTTTGGGCATCCTATAGTTCCGTATAGTTTCTCCAGACATTCCAGCTCAAACACAACACTCCCAGACATCGAGACACCATCCAGATTAACGAAAGCATAGAAGCAGCGTTTATGTATGAAAACATGAATTCAATTTATTACTAGCGTCAAAGCCCTCCAATCCGGAGGGAAAAAACCACAACTTTTCGTAATCCCCAGTGGCCCGTGGGAGGCACAAGTAATCCACACGCTTCTAAAACTCAACAGATCACAAAATAACTGAATAACTTCACTAACCCACCAAATCCCATATCTCAAAACGTTCCCCCATTCCCCCAACAGAGCACTTACGCAACCACGAATCAAAACCAGCAATCACAAACCACAAACGAACAGTAGCAAATCATAAGAGGAGCGAATAAACGCAGCATTCGATTCGGACTTACAGGGACAATTCAACAATCGGAACAGTCAAAATGAAAAAGAAAGGGAACCCTAGATAGCTAGCGAGGGATGAGATGCGGCGAAGAGGAGAAAGGCGTGAAAAGGAGAACTTACGAGGAGATGGGCAGGGAACGAAGTGGATACGGTGAAGCAGGAGGGGCGCAGAGAACCGGGAGATCGCCAGGGACCGGAGGAGCTGCCGCAGCTGAGAGGAGATGGGAAAATTAGAAGCCCACGCCGCGCGATCGAGCCAAAAGGGTGACGAACTGAGGAAGAGTGAAGGTGAGAAACCCAAACGAGAATAATTAAAAAACAAAAACAAAGGGAGAGAGTGAGAAATTAGGAGATGTAGAATGAGCCACGATTCGAACGATTGGTTTCTTCCTGCTAATTAGCGATTGTTGCCCCGTTGTTACCATGACTTGATCTGCAGCAGATTGGGCTTTAAGGTGGGCTGGAGACGACCCACGGCCCAACACGTATGTAATGTAAACATGCAATCACCAAGCTGATTGATTATCTGGTTAATAGGGGACATTCCATGCTGATGCTGCTAGAGTATTTCTAATTTGTTTTTTTTGATAAGATAGAGTCTTTCTAATTAAAAACAAGTGTTAGGGTGCTCTTTTGTGTTAGTTTCTGTATCTAAGTATAGTCTATAGTCTTGTTTTTTTTTTTGTTTTTTTTGCAATTCATCATCTTTGTCATAAAAGGAGGTATTGCACAATAGTATATCCAGAATGCGGTATTTGTGTAATGAATCTCCAGAATGAAGTGTATCAAATTTATGAACGTGTAATTCGACTTTCTTTAAGTACATGATACAAGTGAACTGCTGAGAAGTGAGAAACTTCTAAATTCTCCACTCAAAGTACTTAACTTCTAAGCATGTGACACAAGTAGCTAGAAACATTAAGCAAAGGGGCCTAGTAAAAGTTTCACTAGTTCCCTCAAAGCCACAAGCTGTACTTCCATTTCCACTTGATATTCTCTTTACAATGCTGGAGGAATCCATCTGTAGCCATGAGTTCGGATGTAGCCAGCTCTCAGCAGCAGCTCGTCGGCTTCTGCAGGCCCCCTGCTCCCCTGTTGGTACGAAATGGGTTTCAGCTCGCCATTGTCGATCCTGTGCAGAAGGGGTGTGAATATATCCCATGCAGCCTGTTCGATTCAATACACATGGAATCCAATGTAGTTTTACTTTTGATCCCCCAAGCATATATACTGTTAGCCAGTGGTTGCAGGGACTTTTCATTTACCTTCAACTCGTCTCTACGTACAAAATGCTGCTGGTCGCCATGAATACTGCAGAAAGAGAGTAGTTTCTAAGTACATGGGAGCTTTGAAGGAATGAAAAAGTGGTGATCATTACGTGTCGAGGAGGAGGCGTTCGTAAGCATCTGGAATGGTGACTCCATGATAACGTTGTTTGTACGACAAGTCTAGCTCACTCTGGACAGTTGACATCTCCAGTCCTGGCTGCTTAACCTGCACCAGATCAGGAAAATAGTGGCCAGCACGTAGAGCAAAATGGCTATTTTCAGTATGGATCATCATCAGCATCAGATTAAGAATCGAGATTTGCTGCACATACTGCCAGTTTCATGTACATGGCTTCTGAGGGCTGCAGTCGCATAACGAACTCATTTCTTCCTTGCTTTTCGCCTAAACAAACACGGACAAGGTAACAAAGATTAATCAAAGACATAGACTTTCTAATCGAGTGATCAAGCAAAATCCGGATTGCATGGTTAGATGACATACAATTGAATATATCACCAGGTACATCCTTGAACTGGACTCGAATATCTGCCTTTTTGGAGCTCAATGCTTTCCCTGCCTTCAGAATGAAAGAAACACCTGTGTTTATTGCATCCAGTGTCCATGATCATCAGAGATAAGGCTAACAATAGAATGTGGATGTAGGAAATCATCAACCAGTTACCTTCCCATCTTTCGTTGTGGATTCGGAGAATGATGGAGGCAAATGTAGGGGTGTTCGAGTGGTCAGGAACTTTTGAATCATCTCGGTAGCCATGGTACTGTCCTAGAACTACCTCTTCATCTTTGATTGGCTCTACAGACTGAAGAACCTGAAAGAAAGACTAGTGGATGAATACTGAAAAAATAATTTCACTTGATTCAAGTTCTGCATTTCCATAAAAAAAATGTACCTTAACTTTTTCATCCCTGATATGCTCAGAATCCAAAGAAACGGGCTTTTCCATGGCTACAAGGCAAAGAACCTTCCATCCAATCATCAGGAAGTAGCAGTCAGTTTATATGACAATCTCATCAGTTTTACTTCTAACACATGCTAATTTTACTTACTTGCAAAAGATGGTTTTGAATGATATCTCTAATTATTCTGCAGGGGGGAAGAAGGATGATAGCTACATATCAACTACTTAATCCAAGAAGCTCTAGGACAGGTAAGTTCTTTCCTTTACTATTAAGCTTTGAAATTGATCCTACAATCTCAGTTTAGGGGAGAAACAAATGTTGCATTACCCATATTCATCAAAATATCCACCACGGCCTTCTATCCCAAAATCCTCACGGAAAACAATCTGCCAAGTAAGGTTTCCGTTCATCATTATGGTTAACATCCACCTTGGAAAGCGGAAGCAAGAAGATTCTTTCATCCTTACCTGGACATTGTCAATGTTATCACGGTTCCAGAGTGGTACAAACAGGCGATTTGCAAATCGAAGCACCAACTGCAAGATTTGCAGTAGAACAAGAAGAATATTGGTCAAAATATAAGCATGATGGAATCTCATCAAAATGAGTAAATGAATGAGTCTAAGCATAGTTCATACCAAATTCTGCACCATTTCTTTCCCCAAGTAGTGATCAATGCGGTAAATCTGATGCTCCCCAAACAACTCTCCTATCGGGGAACTAAGCTTCTCTGCGGATTCCAAATCTTTGCCAAATGGCTTCTCAACAACGATTCTTGTCCATCCACCAAGATCAGCTACAAAACATTATATCAGTTTATCTCCATATAGATCAATACCAAAGGCTTAACAGACATTGAATTTGGTGTTGCTTTCCAACTTACATTTGTTCATACAGCATAACTTGATCATCTTGCAGACGACAGGATAAACCGAGGGAGGAAGTGCAAGATAAAACAACCTTCTACAACTTCCATTTGCACTACTTTTGGCATCTTCATGCTCCGAAATTTGCTTATCCAACAACCGGAATCCTTCCTCGGTATCATATGAACCACTTGTATACTTCATCTGCAACAAACCACTTTGAAAGCATATATAACATAGAAATATGGAGAAGCCCAATGCAGGAATAGGCAAGACCAACCAGTTGCAAGAACTCTGATACATCTTCAGCCTTAACTGAACCCTTCTCTAGATAACTGCAAACAATAATTTGAACAATACCTTCAAAGTGCCCATTGAAATACAGAGAAATGAAAGATGGAATACTAAAAACCATTCTCTATCTCACCCTACCTGCGTATACGGCTTCTGAGATCATCATCTGACATTTCAGTCCTTGCATACCCAAAGATGTGAAATTCACAGGATTGAATGAATCTCTGACGGATAGGTACACACAATTCCCAAAGGGTCAAAAATCAAATCAGAAAAGTAACTGTCCCGCAAAGGTACTTAAACAATCACTGAGTTTTGAATTGTGCGCCCAACGAGGCATCGTACCTGGCGGTAAAGATTGAAAAGGGCGGGAAATGTCTTCTTCTTGGCGAGATCACCAGAAGCGCCAAGAACGATGATTGAGAGGCACCCAGTTTCAGGCTCACTCTTCTCAAGCGGCTGGTTGCTGGAATCAGCAGTAGATTTCTCCATTGTCGTCGTTTCCACAACCGATCCCCAAGGTTTCCCTCTGATTACGGTGATAGCGTAATCTGCGGATTCTTCTGGGTAGAGAGGAAGAAGTGAGGCAGGGTGAGGCGGTGAGCCACGTGCACTGGTTCGCTTTCAAGCTACTAGTGGCTGAGGCTTTCACCATCTTTAACGCGGGTGTGTCCAGAAGCGAGGCGTAAGTGTAACGTCCTTAGCGGTAATGTGAAAACATATATAGCGGTGCATAAGCAACGTCCATTCAGATCAAAATAGCTCGAAATTTCCAAAATGACATGTATGATCATGAATTCAACTTGGACCGTATTATATATCTACCAATATAACTCCGCTAATGATTCATAAGACGGACGTGACATGGCGGCAACCTGTAAGTAGTGCTCTATTACTATTGTAACAGCTTCAACTCTACAATACAAAACATTTATTTCACTACCGATGCTTAATACAAACACCGCACAGCAGGCTCCAAAGGGAGCTTTTTATGCAAATTAGTTTTACATTACACTCTCAGCTGGCTTAGAACAAGCAATCCTTATGACACAAGGAGAACCGCCCACATTGTTGTGTATTGATATAAGTAGTACAGCTTTCCGAGCAAAGCAAACACGGTCACGTCACAGTTTTTCCTTCATAGTGTTGGGGGAATCCAAATGTAGCCGTGTGTTTGAACATATCCAGCTCTCTCCAGAAGCTCATCTGCCTCTGCAGGACCCCGGCTTCCCGGCTGATACGGGAGGGGCTTGAACTCGCCATCATCGATCCTGTGCAGAAGTGGCGTGAAAATCTCCCATGCCGCCTGTTTCATTTAAAAGAAACGGCATTAAGATTGAAGCTTCCCCTAGCACAAAGATAGTGGTGATTAAGGTTTAATAACAGTCAGCCTTACCCTCAACTCGTCTCTGCGAACGAAATGCTGCTGATCGCCTCGGATTCTGCACAGGAGGATAGAACACATGAATTTGCCACATAGCACAACATTGAGTTTTTTTGGAAGAAATGTGGGTAAGCTTACGTGTCAAGAATCAGGCGTTCGTAAGCTTCTGGGATGGTGACCTGTTGATAACGTTGTCCATAGGACAAGTCTAGCTCGCTTTGAACCGTTGACATCTCCAGCCCGGGCTGCTTAACCTGCACCAGACACCAAAAAATCTTGAGCAAATCGGACTCTTTGCAAGGGGTTTCAAGAAAGTGTTCTATGCTGGGAAATTGCCACGTACTGTAAGTTTCATGTACATGGCTTCTGATGGCTGCAGGCGTATAACAAACTCATTTCTTCCCTGGTTCTTGCCTGAACATGAAAACACGAGTCAAGGAATGAAGATTCGACATTCCAAAATCAGTACTGATACCTGCAAAATGTGGTGCGTTAGTATTTTACAAGTTCAGATGTCCATACATCTAAAAATATCGCCAGGAACATCCTTGAACTGAACACGTATCTCTGCCTTTCTTGAATTCAATGCTTTCCCTGCCTTTAGGATAAAAGGAACACCTGTGAAAAGAGTGATGCACAAGGTTAAGATACACAATTCACTCTAATATTTTCTGAAGTGTAAAACAAAAAGAGAAATAAAATCACCTTCCCATCTCTCGTTATGGATTCTTAATACGACCGTAGCAAATGTAGGGGTGTTTGAGTGGTCAGGAACTGTTGGGTCATCTCTGTAACCATTATATTGACCCAGCACAACCTCTTCATCTTTGATTGGCATTACTGATTGAAGAACCTGAGATTCTTTCAGCTATCAGTAAAGCTAAACACTTTTCCAAGAAAGAAGACTAGGTGAATGAAAATCAGCTTCATGACCCTATTTTCCTAAAACTTCTACATTCCTTTCCAGCAAACTTCATTACCAATCAAAATGGAGTCAGAGACGAGTAACTCGGAAAATTAAAATGTGTTAAGCTGATATTAGAAACATGTACCTTGACTTTTTCATCTCGAATGTGTTCAGGCTTCAAAGAAACGGGCTTTTCCATAGCAACAAGACACAGAACCTTACAAGAATGAAGAAGCAACAGTCAGTAGATGGTCTAGTCCACGAGTAATAAGTTGACAATGAGAATCATAATGTTATGAAGTATGTAATATTCAATGCCATAGCACGCTGCTTACTTGCAATAGGTGATTTTGAATGATATCTCTGATAATTCTGCAGGAAAAATAGAAAGAAAAATATGATTACTGCATACCAGCTACTTTAAAGTACGGAATCAAGTATGTTCTGATAAGTACTGTGCAAGTTATCGAGTCGAAATACTAATCTAACCAACCCACTTGAGAAGGTAATTATCAACTGTACATACCCATATTCATCAAAATATCCACCACGGCCTTCAGTTCCGAAATCCTCTCGGAAGACAATCTGCAGAAAGGAAAGGAAGTAAAATGATGCAAGTTCAGAGCCTATTATTATGCTAAACGATCAGTATGGATGAAGAGTAGACGAAGAGATTCACACCTGAACATTGTCAATATTGTCACGGTTCCAAAGAGGCAAAAAGAAGCGATTCGCAAAGCGCAGCACCAACTACAAGAAAAAAACGAAAATGAGCATGAAGAGTGAAATGAAACCAAGATGAATTAGGAGTCTAACATAAGTCCAGACATCATACCAAGTTCTGCACTAATTCTTTCCCCAAATAGTGATCAATACGGTATAGTTGAGGTTCCTCAAACAACTCTCCAATCTGGTTGCTCAGTTTCTCTGCAGAATCCAAGTCCTTGCCAAATGGCTTCTCAACAACTATCCGAGTCCACCCACCAAGATGAGCTAACACAAGGAATAAAAGGCCATGAATACACATGTTTCCAAAAACCCTGCGCATTTAGGCTAAAATCACTTAATCAGGTAATATATCAGCAATCATTTCAATGAGTGTAACTTACATTTGTTCATGCAACATAGCTTGATCATCCTGCAAACCACTGGATAAACTGAAGGGGGGAGTGCAAGATAGAACAGCCTTCGAGATGATCCTTCCGTGCTGTTTCTGAACTCTTCATGAAGTGAGATCTCCTTATCCAACAGCCGAAATCCTTCCTCGGTGTCATAAGAACCACTAACATATTTGACCTGGAAAACCACCGTGAGTTTATCGTTAAGCTGCAGCATGCCACAAGCTACAAATACCAAAAGCAATGCAACAAAAAGGGGCCCAAACTAACTTACCAGTTGTAAGAATTCTGATACTTCCTCAGATTTCGCTGAACCCTTCTCCAGATAACTGCATACAATATCGAATTCGATTGAGATTATGTATTGAATAATTAGATTTCGCAGGAATTCAAGATTACCAGAGTCACTCTCATCTCACCTGCGGATGCGGTTTCTGAGATCATCATCTGAAATCTTAGTCCTTGCATATCCAAAAATGTGAACTTCATTTGATTGAAGAAATCCCTGGAACCATACAGTAACATTCTTTTACGCAGTTCACAGGCAGAAGTACCAAGAAATCAAGCAACTTGGCAGCAAAACTGAAGCACAAGGAACCAATGGCAGCCGCAATGTTTACCTGGCGGTATAGATTGAAAAGAGCAGGAAATGTCTTCTTCTTGGCGAGATCACCAGAAGCACCAAGGACAACGATTGAGAGGCATCCAGTTTCAGGCACATTCACCTCAAGCGGCTCGCTCCTGAAACTAGATCTCTTCTCCACTATCCATTGCCCTCCTCCTGATCCCATTTTTCCTCCTGATCACTTTCCTCTGTGCCAAAATTTTTTGTGACACCAATGACCGATCCAATCCACTTCACCAAACCAACTCAAACTCCCAAAACTCAGTTTCTGTCGAAATCGAGCAATCACAACAAAACGTCGCCAAAACAGAATCACAGAGGGTAAACTCAGAGAACCCAAAAAGCAGAGAGATGTTGAAACTAACCACCACTAATCGTTGAGCAGAGAAAATAGAGAGGGGGGAGAGCAGGTGAAGTGGGTTTTGAATATCGGAATTGAGCAGAGCGAACGATCAGAACGAAGTTAAGAAAGCAGGAAAGAAGGAGAAAGGAAGACAGAAAACAATTTCCTTCTTCTTCTCTGTCTCCTTTATTAATTCAGTTGCTCGTTTGCACTTGAAGAGAAAAAAAGACGTTTTAGATGGCGTTGGCTCACCAAACTCTCTTTGCTTTCTTCTTCTGTCTGCGTCGACTGACAGAAGCAAACTCGTCAAACTCGGCCAGCCGCCGCCCGAACAGTTTCTACATTTGGTCCCTATTCCTGTGTGTTTGACCTTTTCAGGACGGAAGGAGTAGGAGGAGAAGTTCTGATTAGGTGCTTGGAAATTGTTGTGTCTTTCAATTGAGTCCTCTTACCAAACACTTTTTGGCAGATCTTGAGATGGTAGTGTTGAACAAATAACGGTACGATGGATGAGATCTTGCCAGCTAACTTGTTCCCTTTTCCTTACCATATATATATCGAGTGCATTACAAAATTCTTATGTAGATCACAGAAATCAAATTGGATTTAATTCGTATTTCAATATCGTAGTCATCATTCCTAACATTTGTATTAATTAAAACCATAAATACAATTTCAACAAAAAAAAAATTATAGGAAGAGGTTACATACTTTTCTAGAACGAGTGTGAGAAGTGAGAACGTATATTAGAAAACTCGTAATGGGTGTGATAGTAGAAGCCACTTGTTTTGAGCTCCCAATGGGTCGCCTCTCCAAACACCAATCGACTGATATGGGATCGGAAAACCTTCCTCAAATTTTACTACATGTCTTAGAAACCGACATGAAGTAAAGCTTGCTGCTTGTGGAAATTCTTCAAGAAGTTGGAACTTAACATGCCAAAAGATGGTCTGGATCCTGTCCCCAGCATTGGTTACATGGTGACCGTGGGCTGGACAATCATCATGCTAGAACACAATGATGTGATTGAGTTTATTAAGATTTGGATCCAATAGGTTGGAAATATTTAGCCAAATGTTTTCGGCTCTGTTATAGGACACATTAATTTTGGTAATAAAAGCTTTACTTGTGTTTATGGAAGAAATTGATCTTAACATTTTGAGTTTATATGAGAATATGGTCATGCACTAAAACTCAATTGTTTATTATTTTATTGACATAAAATTAATTTATTTTACTAATAAATAAAATCCCAATTGAAATAATTTATATTATGAAAAAAGAGCCAGTTGTTCAACTCTAGAAAAGTATTCACTATTAAAAAACTAAGAAGTCATCCTGAGAATAACGATTTTAAAAGGAAGCTAAAACTTCTTATAGAAAATATTTTCGATCTTTTTTGTTCTTCTTTTTATGCTTGGGAGTAGGTGATGGGTTGATGTGAAAATGATGCAAAATGATAGTTTGAATTCAGGTGGGCAATTTGGGTTGGTTGGTGAGGAGAGGAAATGAATCATGAATAGTGGCGTTTTCTTTAGAGTTTGATCTTTAAGACAAAGCCTTATTTTGAGCCTACTAGGTGTCCACAAATGCACAACCTTTTCTTCCCCGCATTTGGACTATTTTTCTATTACCCATTCAATCATGAACTTTTCCAATTTCGATGGTTGGGATAATAATCTATAAATTTTAAATTAATATTAATAAAATGAAAAATTGACAAAAAAAAATGAAATGAAGTGTTGCTCAATGAAACTAGAGGTGGTTATATCTAGACATTCTGTAGCCTACTCTTAAGTTGAACTGTTTGTTTCCACCGGTAAACTCATGTTAATTTGTGTGTACATTTACCTCTATGTATTTGAGTGTCTTAGATACCTTGTGGAAATTGATCAAATACTTTATCTCGAGTTTAAACCAAACTTCGGAGTTCAATCCAAACCACGCATATCATGGGGAAGAAGTGTTATTTTTGTTGTGTTTGTGTACAAAGAGGAAGGAACAAAAATGTGTCCAGCATTTGGTAATTGTACTTGGAAAGTTGTTCAACTAGATCTATTTCTTCATTGCAGTATGGAAACTGCAAGTCAAGCTGCCATCAGTCGTTTGTTTAATCCCAAAAGTTCAAAGGTCATAATAGGTAGGAACAATACAATATTTTCCCACTCCCCACCAACAGCCGAATCTCCCAAAAAAGGCATATGCCTTTCTCCACCACCTGCCATGCCCTCTTGAGTCCTGATTTCCCCACAACAAAATCGTTGCCTTTTCCATTCCCCTTTCTTTCCCGTCCACAGTACACCTGGGATCGGATGAAAGGGGAAGAAAACGGAGAACCCAAACTGAGCAAAACGATTCACTAGAGCAAGACTAGGCCCAGCCCACACAAGAAAGAACAAACCCATTCATGTGTATTCACAACAAGCATCCTTCATTTCCCAAGCGCGATATTGACCTTTCACAAAAGACATAAGACTGTTAACAGTAGTAACTACTAACTATGATGCAATCGTCCAGCATCAAGACAACGCCACCTTACAGTTACACCCCCATGGCTTTCATCCCTCATAACCCTATGGATTCACCCCATTTTACAGTTGCGAAACTCCTACGAAGGGCTTACCTTGCAGAACAAATCAGATCATAGTTTCAGCCACTTGGGTTTTGCAGGTTTCTTCCCGGCGGATTTAGGCTCTTGGGGTGGAGCAGTAGCAGCAGGTGCTGTTGTTACTGGTTCTGGTGCAGAATGAGCTGGCTCAACTGGTTCGGGAACGATATCCAAACCTTTCAGAGCCATAATCTCTTCTTGGAGATACGGACCAGAAACGGCAGCTGCATCATCCGCTGCATGGAAAAACAAATAGTTTTAGGACTCGCACTCAGGGAGAAGTGATCAGTCTGAAGGGAGAGAAGGAAACCATGAATGACCTTTTGGTAGGTTGTATGCAAAATACACAATTGCACCGGGGATGAAGCCTGCTGAGTAGAAATCAACTGAGAGGTCTTTGATTTGCTTCTTTGGAGGAGTTGTATCTGCAAAATAAGCAGATTATCATATTAACCTATTTCTGTTCAAGGCTGAAAAATTCCTTACAAAAATGAACATTTATAAGTAGATAGTAGTATCCAGAAAACACCCGTGTAGCACATACATAGATAGAAAGGAATTTCTGGGTGAGCAACCACTTTCATAAGAAGGTCAAATAAGCTCTGTAGCTTTTCAGACGATTGGAATGGCACCTCCAGTGTATGATTATCAGGGAACCGAACTCTAATTATAGCCTGATTACAATAACAAATTCAACAGAGACAAAACATGAACAAATTGGCTAGTGATTGTGAAATGGAGATTGTATTGACAGAACTCAGCCTTCACGAACAAAAAATAATTCAGCATGTAAAGATTCTATCAGCATGTATGCTACTGAGGATTTTTGAAGTAAAAGCATAGCAGCAAACCTTTGTGATCTTTGACCTGCGAGCTGCTTCTTCTGCCTCACGGAGTTTTCTTGTCTTCAGCTGTTTATCTGTCAAAAAATTACTAAATGATCAACACTTGTTCAGATAAGACTTCTCTTAGCATCGTTTCGGCCATTTAAAAACCACATTCAGCTTATTCATTGAAATTAGTAACTCTATTATTAACAGGCTATGACATGGGTCAAAGCTAAAAACAAATTATACAGATTCATCCAAAGCAGGGTAGTGGCTTCATCTATGGGTGCTAAAAGGAGTTACCTTGCTTCTTTGTTCCAAGAATTCGATAATAGTCCTCTGCTGTAAACTCGTAAAACTCATCTGACTCGTCTGTCAATCAAAAGATGAAAGTGGGACATTAACGAAAATAAGTTCCCACTCAGGACAAAAGATGTTATGATTTTAGTGAGGTCTATACCATCATTGGACACCTGAGTTGGGGATGCAGAGACAAGGGAGGTCTCGAATACACGAAGATCCCGGCCAAATCTTTCTTTCACAGCATCAAACTTGGCCTACATATGACATATCCCACCAAAGGCAAAAATAAGTTCCACAACATTAGCAGAAGCAGTTCCCAACTGAACAAAAGGCAGATAAAGACGATTTCATCACAACCAACCCAATAAGTTGAGCAAATGCAGAGCTGACCATTTTATAAGGCACATTCTACTTATATCCACATATCTTTTATTCTATGAGACAAATCAATGACATCCAGTAAAGACAGAATGCTCTACGTTGAACTCGGTACACGATGGTCAAATACCAGTCTTCTGAGAACCACATTCGCTTACAGCTTAACAAAAGCATCACAGACAAGAAAATCCCTAGAGAAGCAACAGTAGTGAATGCCACTGACTAAACAACAAGAGATGAGTATACTACTACATATATGGACATCATTATTTAACTCTCACAACAAGATCCCCTCAGCTACAGATATGACTGAGCACCAGATCTTGACAAAACCAGTCCCTCACAGGATTGTTCAACGCACAATCGAATCAAATACTTCAATTTCCAACAGTTCGTCTTCAAACCGATGAATCCTTCTAGCTAAATCAATTTCTCAGCAAGCAAAACCTCATTCCATTTCAAACTCTTACACACTATAAACTAGCAGCGGATTCCGACTCAAGACCAGAAAGTACGAGCAAAGATAAACAGAGAATCGCTGTTTCAAGTAGAAATAAAGCAAAATGATAAGTGGGAAGGGGACCTTGGCTTCTTGAGCTTCCATTGAATCGGGAGTGGTGAGCCTCCGTCTCTTGAGAAGCACAGGAGAAGAATCAGCAACGATCATCACCGTCGCATCCACAGATCGCTGTCCAGTGCTCCGCGTAGGAAAGTGATACTTCCGTCGGAAAAAAACGGAGCTCTCTTTCGCTTCGCGGCTTCTCTCCTTCGATTCGTTGCGTCGGAGCGGAAGGAAAGGAAAGGATTTCTTCCCCAAAATGCTTGGCTTGTTCAGTAAGTATGAAGCCTGAGCTCGCACGTGCTGTTCAGGCCGCAGTAGCTATCTTTCACACGTGTTCCCTCACACGGTGATGTATTTCCGGGTGGGTTGGGCCTTCGTGCCAGCAGCAATAGACATACGAGCTGGGTTGAGCCCAATTTTTTTGTTTGGGCCTTTTCACCATATTGTAAGGCTATTTTCGTGTTTGTTTAATTTATGCAAATGGTTAATTATTTCTATTTTATTATAATCATTAATTATCTACTGAAGATAGATAGATAACAAGAGGAATAAAAATATCCCTGGAAAAGTAAAGGTACTACAGCAATGGAAGTAGGATCTTTCCTCCTCTGAAAAGAAAAGCCCCCAAATCCTCCTATGAGCTGCTGCTGCTGCTGCTGCTATATATATATACCTAATCAAACAACATAATAATCAAAGCTAGCTGTGATTTGATCCCCGCACCACACCACACCACCTAGAGACCCAGACCCAGACCCAAACGCCCAAAACAATTAAAGCTCCTTGCCCTTGCCAGCGGATTTGGTGGAACCAGTAGGCGATGAAAAAGGCTCATCCTCCCTGTCCCTGATATCCTGGGCAGAGGACGAAGAGCTCGCAATCTCCCGGGAAGACGATCGACGTGTGAGATTACCAAAACCACGAGGATCAGGCTGAGGCTGAGGCTGAGGCAGAGGCTGTTGGTCAACGCTTTGCTTCTCCAGATCCGTCTGGGCATCCTCCTCATCATCACTGGCACCTTCCGTCGGGGGTTTCTCGACCGGCAAATTCACAGCTGGCTGCAGAATCAACCCAGGAGGAGGAGGAGCATCGTCTGGTCGGTCCTGGAATCCATAATGACCCCTCCTGCCCTTGTCGTAAGCAGCATCGTCGGCCGGACGGTACTCGTCGAGAAATTTCGCTGCAAAAATCAACGCTATTAGTACGCCAGAGATCAGCAGCGCAAAGACAATCTTCAGACTCTTGTCCTCGTGATCGTCAAGGCTCTTCTCCTCCTCCTTGCACTCGCACTTAGTCTCATCACTCCCCGCAGCTACAAGACTCCAAGCAACACTGGCCGCCGTGCTGTTCGAACAAAAGGAGATCTATATCAGGACGAGCCAATTCAAATTCAAACAAATACGTACTAATTGAAATTAGAAAGATACTCACCAGATCCAAGCACTCGTGAAATCAAACCTCGTCCTGAACATCAGAAAGCGAGAGATGCTGAAGGCATACACCGTGTAGCCAAGCACAAACATCGGGTTCAGCCCTTCTTTCGTGACAACTATGCCTAGCGCCACAGCAAACGCGATGCCCAAACACTGGAGAGTAGCCTGGCCAATCCAAGTCAGCAGGTGCGGTGTCATCCCGGTCAGCCGCCACCATCTCCCGTGGTAAGCAACTTTCGCCCAGCAAGCAAGGAAATGGAAAAATATCACCACGCATACCCAGGTCGCCACATGGTTTTCCGCGCTAAAGTATCCCATCACCAAACCAGCAGCTACAGCCAAAATCAACCAGGAATAGTATTTTTCATATTGATATTTGCGAAAAAGCTCGAATGGGTTGACCATGGCGGAGGAGGGGGAGAAAAGGGAAAGACGGTGGAGAGAGAGAGAGGATTTTTTAAATCTTTTTTCTCGCAGGCAGGAGAATGAGACGCTTTTTGACTCTGCTCCCTACCAACCAGCAAACAGAATGTGCATTATATATAGATGATCGCCCATCCACGTGGCGGCATATGATTGGATTTCTCGTATTAAATAGGATCGATTCCTCCCAACGGCCAGGATGAGACGCAAGCTACATCAACAGCCAGGATGAGTCCAAAATGGATAGTTGTATTTGGGGTGACATGGATCGAGCGGGCCTACAGTTGCTTCTAGAAATTCACTAATTCAGGCAAACAATTTCAAAATCAAAATTTACCCAAAATTTTCGAATTGTATGAAAAAATCGAAAAAGTTCAATCGTGGTCTTAGCGACAAAAGTTCTTTTTCACCAATGTCTCCATTCTTTATTGCCAATCGATCCCTCTTCTTGTTTTTTGTTTTTGTTTTCAATCCATTTATATATAATAATGTTTACATACCAGTACTAACTGCATTCTACCAATTAAAATTCTACTATATATGTAATTAATGTTGAATGAGAATATTGTAATGACCATTTAATGTATTTCGTAATTTGGATGATTTTTAAAGATATTAAAAATGGATATAAAATTATATTCTAACAACTTATAGGTTTTTTAACTTCACTATGAAATTTTTTTACTGGCCTCCCCTTATCGAAATTTCTGGCTCCTTCCCTGCCAATCTCTAAAATTTTGTTCAGTATCAGTATTAACACCAAATGAATTACTTTCAAAATTACAAATCAAATATACTAGCTCCACAAATCATTATCAAAATATAAAAACAAACAATGTTGTGGTGTCAATACTCGTGCAAAACAAATAGGATAAAATCTCAAGTATAATAACAACACACTAGAAAAAGGTGGTGCCTAAGAAGCGCATGAACAACACATTCGGTATCGGTATTCGGTGGGTACACTGTATGTTTCCGGTATACCGAATACCAGTTAATCGGTATCCGGTATGTCGGGTACCGATCGATTACCAGCCCTACATGGCGATGCTCTAAGTATTCATTCAGAAATTTAACTCATCAGATGTTGGGATAGTCGGGGAGGGGCGGTGCTGCGGGAGGTCCATCAGTTGTTGTCAGGGGTGGTGTGGGATGTGGTCCAATTTGTAGGCAGGGAAAACAGTAGGGTAGCCATAGGGTGGCCCAAAAGGCTCTTTCTTTGCACTTGGGTCCGATCGGAGTTGTAAACGTTGTGATCTATTGGTTCTTGGTAATGCAAACTATCTCCTCATTTATTAGGTAAATTACTTCTACTTATATTATTTGCCACCAATACATAGATTATCTGTCGGTATGCTAACCTAAGATATATAGCAATCATCTTCAATATGTTTCGTTGTTGGGTTTGCGTGGGTGAGTTACCGGTTGAAGGAGATTCTGAAACAAGAATGTGGGAAGGGGGCATGCAAATCAAATGCATAAGTAGGAAGGGAAGAAGGATATGAAATGCTAAGGTCTACGAAATAATTGATAGATTGGCATTTGATTTTACAACTTCGGAAGCCTGCCAATCTATCTACCAGAGAATTACGTTGTAAGTAAACCCGCCCCTCTTTCTGAACGCATTAATTTTACAACTTCGGAAGCCCCGCCACTACACTACACAAGCAATGCTAGTGCTAGTAATAAATTTAATCTTTGCAACTTGTAAACAACCTCGTCGCCAGCCTCGCAATGCAGAGTACCCTCAAGACGACATTGCAACAACCTGAGGTTTATGGCCTCGATCAAACGGTGTGTTTTGGCCAACATCAAATTTGTTTGAGTGGCAAACATGAAATAATTCGCCCATGAAAAAGTCAATGCATCAAAGAGGACATTTATGAGAAGAACAAATATTATTGTAAAAAAAAAAATAATAAGAGAAGAACAAATATCAAACTCCATACTTAACTACTTACGAATGGGAATGGTATGAAATAATGCAAAATAGATTACTTATGTTTCTCGTATCAAAATCGGGAATTCATTCTAATAATATGATGAATACACGGCACTGAAAATTGTTGTAATTTTTTTTTTTTTTTTTTTTGTGATTTCACTTTAATATAGCCATACGACCCAAATCCTATTCTAGTTGATAAAAGAATAAATTCTTATATTGAAAACTTCTTTTTAATACACTCTAATATTGACCGTTTCATAAGCCTTTCAATCAGGCACTTGCTTCTCGCCACATTATAATCATAATAACATTTAAAACGAGACTGCAAATCAAATCACGTTCAAAATAGAAGAGTTCATCAAGACCACAAGAAAATTGGATAATTATCGTAAAAAAAAAAAGATAAGGAAATCAAAGTTGATAGAATATGATCACGGGAGAGGATCAACGACCCTGGGCTGATATATGTCCAAACCTATTGGATTCCATCTACACGAGACTCCCGTCCCACGTCGACGGTACCTACTTTGGCGGTGTATGCAAGAACTGGTACCAAGTTCACTCTCCAGTGCAGTTTCCAATCCCCTACCAATGGTAATTAGCCATACAAAATTCTCTAGCTCCGACATCGCGCAAGTGCGAGAGGATAACTGGCTTTCCGTACAACTACGTCAAATTCCACAATGGCTTGTAGGTGTCGACATAAAGATCCTTGGGAGGGCAGGTGCGTGGTTGCTTATATAAGAGTATGGCACTTCCTTAGGTTGCTACAATCCTCTACTCCGAAGTCCCACAAACTACATCGTACTTCCCAATCCGAGATGGCTTTTCTCTAACTACCGCCTCAATCTTCGGGAAACTTCACCAGCAACAGTCAAGGTCGCTTTCTCAGCACTGCCCACTGCTCGTGACTGTATGATCCTCATGGTGTATGGAGACAGCTATCTCAGCACGGTTCGTTGTAGTGACGATTGGATTTGGAAGACGTATGATTTCTCCTTGAGTGGGAAAAGTGGACAATCTTGTCTCGGCCTAGGCTACAAAAAGGAAAGATTCTTCTGCTTATTTGAAATGGGGGATATGTTAATTTTCAGTGTGCACCATAGTGAGCCGAGGATGCTTCTAGCGGCCACTAAACCTCTGCTTTCCCAGCAACTCGAGCGATGGGACACCTTGCGCGTTGTGGCAGTGATGGAAAAAATGGATGAGGCTACAGCTGCAGATGATCTATTATTGGTGGTGACTCATTGGGAGCGAGATCATGAGGCGAGTGACAATGATAGCTTCCGCCTTATGGAAGCGGAGGAAAAATTTACGGCCACGACAAATGATCTATTACTGGAGAGTAATGATGATGATGATGATTGTGAAATGGGGTTGGTGGAAGACGAGGACTACAAAACGAGGATGCTGTTAGTGAAGGATCCATTGCCATTGAAGAGGAATTTCGACGGCTTTTACATTATCACATTGATTTTTTTTGCTTGTGTATTCTATTTTAATCTTATGGCATTTGGAAGGATATGGACTCACAATTAAGACTATATCACGTACACAAGGCGACGTGACGTGGCCTAAAAAAAGTTTTTGAGTACGATTCCATACTTTCTTTAAATATGTACTCACTTATTTTTTATGGTAATGTATTGAAAATTGGAATCTAATTTCATTTTGTGTTTTTCCTTCTTTCTAACTTCTCTTTGTTACTACTCTCTTTCTTTCATAATTCGTTCTAATATTTTGAGCTCATAATTCATATCAAAGATCCATGCGCAACGTAATAATGAAGCAGTAGTTCTTCATTTGGATGAATAAAATTAGAATTGATTAGAATTTAGAAGGAATGGGAATGTCGAAAAACGCTCTCTAGCCCCCTCTCTCTCTAGCCCTCCTCCCTATCTCTGACACAATGAAAAGAGCACTGCGTTACCTTACCCCTCTCCTCTCCTCTCCTCTCCTCTAGTAACCAGCCCAGCAGTATGAATGAAAGGATAAAAAGGTAAAATGAAAATGGCATCTGGCAGCTGGCCTTGCGTGTTGCAGGAGCCAGCTGTCTCTCTCCCCAGGCTCACAAACCCGTTATTTTGTCCTCTCTCTCTCTCTCTCTCTCTCTCTCTCTCGTGAAAGATACTATCCATGACCATGTAATGTAAGTGTATTTGCATCGATCGTATGGTCACACAATTAAATAAATTTTGTTGTACAATTTCAGTCATTTGTGGGTACGGTTTCGTTAGTGATCGAACAAGTGCATATGACAATTACGATTACTCCTATCTTAATTCTAATGAAATCATGGTTGTTATGTTAGTCGTTGGTGTGCCTGAAATACTCTCACTACTATCAAACTATATATGTAGTGCTAGCCAATACCGGAAATATCACTTGTTCAACTGGCTTCTATACAAAATGATGTTGTTTTGATAAATTCAACTTAACCATTATTTTGGGTATTCAAACATAAGGACTTGTCATTTCGTTTCTAATGATGTATTTTATGTAAATAAGGATGTCGATGTCATTTGTTAGTTTCAATTATAAACGTTTAACGTTTTGAATGAATATGAGGAGTTTTTTTTATTTTGCTTGTAATGTTGTATTTGTTAAAGTTTGGATGTAGCTTGTAGAAAATTTGTATTGAAATAGCTTATATATGTGCGTAATTTATTTGGAGTTAAACACTCTACTTTTCCTACATGCATTTTGTTAAAGTCGCCATGCATAAACTAGCATTTATCAGTTGTACTCTTATCGAATCATACCACATATCACTTGCTAAACGGATATCTAATAGTATTAACCGTCCTTTGAATAAAACTACTACTTCTCATTCCATCTCTCCGTAATTTGTCTCAAAGAGTTCGATACCATATCATTACAAAAGTTGACGCATGAAGATTTGGTACTAATGTTTATAAACTCACCCAATGCATTTGGCAAAGTTGGACGCGGTTTTCATCAATTTCAAGTTTATTCATCGTAAAGAAAATTCAAAAGCCCCTTATTTTATTGTTACAAGAACCGAATCGGACTAATGGTTGGATCAATGGAACTGTCAAACAAGATGTAATTATAATGGTTTGTTTGCTTGAATGGTTAGAGATGAGTCAAACAATATTTGTAACGATTAGACATAAAACCATATCACTATCACAATTTGACCGGTTCAATGATTCAGTCTGTTAACTACAAAGAATTTGAAAATAAAGAATACAACGTAAACAAAGACCATCCAACCTTGATTATCATTTTTGCTTCCTCTTCTTATTTTGTCAACCTCATTTTTCAACTTTACGTGGTCTATTAACTAACGAATCGAATGCCAATTATATTCCATTATTTGCTTATGTTTGATGTTCTTTGTTCAGTAGGGTAAAGTTGAAATTCATGATGGATTTGTCATAAAAGAGTTACTACTACGTGAACCATTTGTAGTTCATTCCCATTTAGTATGTAATAATAGCTGTATAATAATTACATAAATTACAAGAACTTTATAATAAGCATTTTTTACGTTTACGTATTGAGTTGACCATAAGATTATATATACATATCTTAACTTTTGTATTTAGTTGCTGTCCTACGCTAGGGGTGGGTTGGTGCTGATGGTAAAGCCGTACTGTGTTCAGCTACAATAGGGGGAAACCACAGAACAAAAGGCCTCTCTCTCTCTCTCTCTCGTTACGTTATGTTGTCGCATGTCCTCTTTCGGGTAATTTTGTTGTGGAATTTTTTACATTGGTGACTGTGAGTTGGATGGTTTCATTAATGAACCCACTACTGACCAATCCTCTGTCCATAACTATTATGTCAAGCCCCAGAGGTCAGAGGGTCTACGCTCTGGATTGACCAGGGGCTGGAATTTAGGCTACAAAATAAAATAGCAGTGTCTAGTTCAAACTTTATCATATATACGACTCATGCTCCGAACCAAGGTATTGAACCATAAACAAAAGGATGATACCAAATATCATGTGCGGTCCATATCACATCTTTGCGATATGGTTTTTGTATGCTCCGATCTAGATAGGTCAAGTTAAGCACAAAACAAGCAGTTTAATTACCTAAGGGGTTGTTTGAAAGTTGCGATTGTTAAGTAGATATATACATGTGTAATATTATACATGTGTTGATGAATTGTAAAATACAACGTTTGATAAGTATGATTGTAAATACCACATCAACTAAAAGCTAAGATAAAAACTAAGTTTGATGCATTGTAAAACACAATTATCTCAACAATCTCTCATTTTGAGTGATAGTTCATGTATTGTGTTTGCTAAAAAATCAAAGAAATGATACATTCTAAACAATTCAAGTATAGTAACAATCTCACATAAACAATTGCAACTTCCAAACAACATTCACCACACAAAAATCAAGAAAAGATGTTTTTGGTTTCCCTAGTGCTGAAATTTCGACACCCACGCATAATTCGATAACCGATATCCAAGTAAATAACAGAGACACAAAGTCAGAGCAACCCAACTTCCACTATAACGTCTTATAAATTAACATAATGTCATATTGTTTCTACTAGTTGGTGGAATGTGGTTTGACGAAAGATTGGACGAGATTCACAAAATTAAGATTGAGACTTGGGTATCGTGAAAAGTGGGAAAGTGTCCGAGTGTGCTACTAACATGCGCCCAAAGTTAGTTGGGTCCACGCTCTGTCACATAAACCACGATATGAACCAGGCTACACTAAAATATAAAAAAATATGATAATACAGACCATGGACTAAATCAAACATTTTTTAATGGTCTACGATCGAGACTAAATTGTGTGATCCAATTTTACTCATAATTTTCAAACAATTTTACTGGACTTTTATTCGTAGATTTTGTCGTTTATTTTCCATCTTCAAGAAAATGAACTTTTGATAGGTATATTGTCCCTTATTCTTTTCACCACCTCGCCAGTCGCCAGATATGAGGTTGGTCTTCGTTAATAATTATGACTTCATCCAAAGTGTGCTACGCTTCCCCTTATGTACAATGTTAAAATTAAAATGGTTTTGTCACTACGCTTTCCCCCTACGCCCTATCATATATATTATTCTCAGTTTTTTTCATTTTGTTTTCGATTTTTTTTATATAATGAAGCAAAGATACAAGATAGAATTTGAATTGAACATTTTTGGAAAAAAATTAGGTCGTCAAAGAATTTGAAAGTTGCAAAAATCAATCCGAAACATGCTTTTGTAATAGCTGCTATCTTGCCTTTTGTGCTTTCCGGGTATGTTAAACATGTCAATATCATCGAATCTGATGAAGAAAATTGTTATTAAGTATGGGAATTTTTTCTAAAATATAAAACTATACAAAAAAAAAACATTGAGTTATGGTGATGCGGTCAAAGAAAAGCTACTACATATTTACGGTATGATATATCTACTCATTTTCCCTTTCTGATCCCTCTCTGTTCGTAAGTTTGGCAATTAGAATTACCAATCAATTACCGCAGTCCCATTCACAGTAAAAACAACACTAACCTATAGCCCGGCCCGTTGGCCGCATTTGTTTAAGGAAATGGAGTTACAATATCTATAATGATAGTGTCGAGAAATGAGTCTTGTTTTATATTATCATAAGATTGTTGCAATTTTGCAATTCGTTGAAGACGAACATGTAATATGAATGAACATTCATAATAAGTTAGAAATACATTTGAAGATTAGCTAATCACAATAAAAATACTTACATGAAATTTTACTAATCACAAATCTAATCTAGTTGAGTATTACGACAAATAACATGCAAGTCCAAAATAAGAAAACTCAATACATTGTCTCATTCTTCATGACATGGTACTCAATTCAACAAAGGCAAAAATAATTTCACCAACACAAGTTCACAATAACCAAATGCATCGTTCCAGGGACCGACTGTGACCATGACTTCAAATGTCTGTTCTCCAAGCATGTCCAAGCATGTTCAGCATTGATAACATCTGCATGACTGAATACAGATTCAACAATCGTTCGTAACTGTGATGACGGGAAGACGATGTCAACACCAATGAATTCGTCCTCAATTGTGAGGTGGACGAAATGGATTCTGGATGCAGGGGACCAGGACGTCGTCAAATTCGTTACACGTCCGGATAACAAAAAAGAGGTGCCCTGATGTAAACACAGAAACGAATATTGTCAAAGCAAATCGATAAAATGCAGCATGCCACAAAAGGCGTACGATTAAAAAGAAATTTATTTGTTTAGTTACCTGATTTTCGACATCCACTTGCAGCATAATGAGATCGATGGTGTCGGCACGCTCACAAATTTCAAGAGCATCATCATATTGCAGATTAGCAATAAAACCATGGGGAAGCCTATATATTGGACTGTAAGTTTTGGCATTAAGTAGTGAAAAAGAATCGAAATTACATGATGTAGTATTTGTTGGATGCATGAGCAGTACTTACTGATTGAATTGAGGCAGGCCCGCCATATTGAATGCAATTCGCACGGTCAATGGAACCGAAGTGTTTTGTATGGGAAGTAGTAAACGGAAATTGTAACATGAGAGAAAGTGGTATCTCCATTATATAAAGGAGAGAAAGTGATTCTACACACGTGATTTACTTGGCCGCATGCAGTGGAGTACGTGTGTGTGTGGAAAGTGGGATAGTGGGGGAGTGGAGAAGGATTTGTGGCCTCGTGGGGGAGTGGAGAAGGTTGGCCATTTAGAGTTCAAGAGGCGGGTGTGTCACGGAACTCACGACCCACCTTTTTTTTTTCTTTTTTTTTTAGGGGAACGACCCACCTTCTTAAAATCAAACATGCGCCTTCCTTTTATTTTGTTGCAATTAAAAATTCAAAAACAAAAGAAGGTAAGTACAGAATAAAATATAAAGAGAAGAAAAATCAGTTCACTTTTCCCAAAAAAGACCTAGCAGCCGCCCAAATTATGCTTTTTCAGTTTTAATAATTCTCACTTTATTCTTTTATCTCTAATAAGTGAAACAATAATTGTAAAAAAAAATTGTTAAGTCTACCAAGTAAGTCAACACCGGTTTATGATCGGTTTTTCATATCGATTAACCACCGGTTATTTGATAAACCTTGAACCCTTTACTAATCCGGATCGATGTCCGGTTCCGTTTTAACAACATTGCTAATTGCGACTGTGTCAACAATTCTTGTCCAAAATTGCCTCTCAAAGTTGCTAATTATTATTTGATGCGCCAACCCGGCCGGCCCGGCCCACACCACCACTAATTAACATGAAATGAAAATCATAATGAATGTATTTAATAAAGAAATAATGGCTTGGAATGCGGCAGCCTTCACCTCATAGAAGATCCAAAAAAATCGGATACTGGGCAGTAGAGGAGGTGGGGGAGTGGGGGAGTGGAGAAGGATCCGCCCAAGGTAGTGTAGGTTGGCCTTTTTTTTATGGGAATAGGTTGGCCATTTTGTTTCAACAAATCCGGCTGGGCATTCACTCTCTAACTATATTTTATTTAACTGAACCATGCTTGGGTTGTTTTGTGGACTGGGTTGTGGTGTTAATTTAGTTTAGTTCAGTTGCGACTATGGAAGTTCTTCTTCGTATTGCAATATAACGGTCACACTCGCATACCCTTCGGTAGAGTAAATTGAGGTACAATTAAATATAAGGTAGAGTGCATAAATCACATTTCATATAATTGGCTGTTAAAAACAGGAAAATAATTTGGACAAATTGAGAACTCAAGATTCAAATTGTAACGACCCGATAAATTTGACAGTCTTAGTCCTCAAATCGAATAAAACATAATACATCAATAAACCACTACTCAAAAATCTCAGTGAACACAATGTTCTGCATAGTCTTCACCGGTTTACCTTGAGAGTCACAGCTAAGAATCTTGAGTCCCCTTTCCGACGTAACTCGAGACATAGCAACATACAACTGTCCATGAGAAAATACTTGTCTTTGCAAGTAGATGCCAACGTGATTTAATGTTTGACCTTGACTCTTGTTAATTGTCATTGCATATGACAGTGCAATTGGATATTGCCTTCGAACCAGAGTGAAATTTAAGCTCTTGTAGTGGACTGATAGACTTAGGCGTGGTAAGAAAACTGTATCACCAACATGTGTCCCGGTCCAAAATTCGGACCTCAATAAACCACTTACCTAATCTCTTAACGATCATCCGAGTTCCATTGCAAAGCCCAGTACTCTGATCCAGATTTCGAAGCAGAATAACAGGGCACCCCAACTTCAATTTCAACTCATGTTCCGGAAAATTCCCAATCTTTAAAGAGTTCAAGAATTCAACTGTGTAGTCCTCTTCTTCAACATGTTGATTCTTGGCATCAATCTCTAGCGAATCCGAACTAAAATAAGAAACTTCTTCACCAGGAAATAGACCCAATACATAATTGTTAATGGCCGCAACAGTGTCATTATGAGGGGCTAAGATAGCTCACTCAACCAAATAGGTTGACATATTTTCAGTGGAGAGTAACTGACCATATATTTCAGCAACAATATCAGGAATTGGATCACTGCGACGGGGAACA